CGGGCTCATAACCAATGAAACGGATAAACCAATAAGGCGGTTAACTCCGAGTCGGGGAAGTCGGGGAGTCGATTATCCGGACTGCACGAGGCTATATATGAAGAAGAAACTTAGATTATACGGAGGGTGACAATGATATCTATAGACACTGTAGATGGTAGAATGAGTGCTTGGCTATCTAAACGAGTGTGTGTGTCCGTATATGAGGGATCTGTCGGCCTTGGTAATCGGACAAACTATTGATCCACCTCGACTTTCATCAAGCCGCATGGATATGTAGTCTGGCACTTTCATAATTCAAGCTTTGTTGCGAATTTCTCGGATACGAACTCTCAATTGAAAATCTAGGGTCGATAGCTTGAACTACAGGCAGCTGAATTACAGGCAGTTTTTTATATGAAAACCGCCCTGAAAACGCGCAAAGCATGAATTGATCGATTGTCCGTTCCCCGCGCCGAAGTAAACAGTACCGACAACGTCGACCGGCTTCTATACCAAAGCGACAAGCATGGCCAGCGCCTCATCCATATCAGTTGGCGACAGCAAACGCTTCTCTGCCTCAAATTTCCCATCAAACCTACGCCACAGCCAGACCGCCAGGCCTTCTTCTCCCCAGACCCCCCAACACCAACTCCGCTCGAACAACTCCTCCTTCGCAAGTACCTCGTCCGGCTCGTCGTTCCGCAGTGAAGAAGATGCTATTATATTCGAATTGGGCTCGAGATGGCTCCGAGCAGGTTTCGAGGGCGAGAGTACACCCATGTGTACTGTGGGGTTTGGTCCGGAGGAATCGAGAAGAACGGGTGATTACCGGGGATGGTTGAATTATGGGCCGTCTACCGAATGCTCTGTTAGTCCTGAAGAGTGGGCGAATTCATATGAACTATGGGGAATGGATCTGCGAAAGGTGGACTTGGGTCTTGTCGAGGATAAGATTGAGCGGGTGGTTCGCGAGACATATAACAAGTACCTGTTAACGGACGCGGGGACGACACGGCTGGTTCTTGTTATGCCGTCTCTTATGCCGCATCCATTACTGGCGTCTGTTCTATCGACCTTGTTTAACCGCTGGCGGTTTCCAAGTATCACGCTCCTACCAGCTGCAGTCATGTCCGCGACAGCTGCCGGAGTACGTTCAGCAACGGTAGTGGATCTGGGCTGGGCCGAAACTACAGTGACTGGCGTCTATGAATACAGAGAAACCGCACACAAACGCAGCACTAGGGCAATGAAACACTTACTCCAAGAAACAGGTCGATTCCTCACCCAGCTCACCTCCAGCACTCGAGACCCAACAACAGACGAACTCTCCGTGAGCTTCGAATACTGCGAAGAAGTAGTCACCCGCTTCGCCTGGTGCAAAACACACCAAGAAACTGAACCAACCGACCTCCCAAACACCGCCATCTCTATACCTTCCCCCTCAAACCCGGGTTCCGAATACATCGACGTCCCCTTCCTCAAACTCGCCGAACCAGTCGAAAAAGCCCTCTTCGCCCACGGCATCCCAGAGTCCGACCTCGACGACGAGGAAAAACCCCTCCCTCTACTCCTCTACAACACCCTCCTTGCTTTACCCCCCGACGCACGCGGGATATGCATGTCCCGGATTATATTCGTTGGAGGAGGCTCGCACATCCCAGGGATCCGCCAACGCATCCTCAACGAAGTTAACAGGCTAATCAAAACACACGGTTGGACACAAGTCCGCGGGAAAGCCGTTGAGCGCCAACGTACCCGCCTCCAGGAATTGTCCCTTACTCCAACTCCAAACCCAAGCACAAACACAAACCCACCATCAACGGCCCCATCAACAGGAACTACAACACCAACGCAAGAACCCACTGCCACCGCATCCCATACACCGTCAATCGACGATGAAGGAGATAACGAGATCGACTTTGTCGAGCAGAAACTCCAGCGCAATCGCGATAGAGACTTCAAACCGCCTGTCCAGGGTATTCTGCGAGAAGTTGAGTCGTTGGGACCTTGGGCTGGTGCGAGCCTTGTGACGAGTTTGAAGATTAGAGGGATGGTAGAGATTGAACGCGAGAAGTATTTGCAGCATGGGCTTGCGGGGGCGAGTCGAGATTTGGAGCATGGGTATGTGCCGGATAGGAGGTCGGGATTGAGGACTGGGGGTGATCGGTCGAGTTGGACATTGGCGGGGTGGGGTTGATTATGCTGGATTATGGATTACCTGTTTTAGCGTTTGTTGCGAGTTTGATATTAGATACCCGAATGATAGGTTTGGAATTGGTATATTTTACGATACAATCATGCATTCAGCCCAATTAGTCTGGTTTAAGAAGACAACTATTAGTACCAGGTAGTATGTACATAACAGGGATCAAGCAATCGTCCCAAACTTATAAGTAGCCCAGTTAATCGCTGGAGCAGTATCCGGTGCATAAACCTGGTACGGCGACTGTCCCCATTCAGGGTGGTTGATCCCATCAATCCAACCCTCAGGCTCAATGACCAAACATCCATACGCATTAACACTGCTAGCACCCTGGCCTTCATTCCGCTTATCCTGCGACGGCTTAATCGGGATAGAACCATCCTGCCCAGGACACGTGTAGATCTGGACGGCTTGCTGGTTGCTCTTGACTTCGAGAGAGATACCCGTAGTGCTGGAGTTTGCGTGGAGAATGGAGACAAGCGAATCCTGCGCGGCGGATTGAGGTGGACGGTCGACGATGAAGCAGTTATCGTAACCTGTACAGTCTGTTCCGCAGAGACCTTCAGCGTCTTCAATGTCCTCACCCACAAGTTTACCGGCGGTAAAGTCGGCGCTGCCGTTGTAGGTGCTGTGAACATCGAGGATGGTGCCGTTGGGGATTAGAAGGCCGTCTGTGCCGATGTAGCGCCTGGACAAAGGTAATTGCAGGAAGGTGTCGTCTAGGATGTTCTCTTCTTTGAATGCGTTCAGGTTCCAGTAGATGTGATTGGACAGCATAATCGGGGTCTTTTCGGTCAGTGCTAGCGAGACCAATTTGGTTGTCAACAGTGGCAGACCGTCGGGGTTGTCTGGCGTGCGGTTGTTGTCCACGGTAAAGGTAGCATGAGTGACAATATCACCCGGAAAGTCTTCGAATCCGCGGTCTAGCAAGGTAAAGGTGACGGTGGACTCCGAGTACGTAGTGACGGTCCAATTGCGCTGGTCGTAGCCCACATAACCTCCATGGAGAGTGTTGAGACCTTCATTCTCATTGCTCGGGATCTCGTATTTCTCCCCGTTCAGGACGAATGATCCGTTCTTGATCCGGTTGGCATACCGGCCCACCACGGCACCGAAGTAGGTATGGCTCGTTTCGGTGTCCGTCAAGTAGTCCCTGGGGTCATCATAGCCCAACACAATATCCTGTTGGTTGCCGTCGCGATCGGGTACGAGGACAGATGTCAATCGCGCGCCGTAAGGGATCAAAGTAGCAGTAATGTTCTCCGCTTTGATTGTATAGGCCTTGAAGGGATCAACAGCAGGTTCAGGCTCAGCAGTTTTCGACGACGGCGCACCAGACAGAGTCACAGAGCTCTGCGCTTGGGCCAGCACGGGCAGTCCGTAAAGGACGGTGGAAAGATAGGACCCGACGTGCATTTTGACACCAAGAAGCGCGGTGACTGTGAAGAAGATTAAACAATATAAGAATAGAACACGCGGCGAGAATCGCGCAGGACAGAGTAAAGCGAGCAGCCGGGGAATGCGCGAGCGGGAAGAAGGAAGGGGGTCCAAGGGCATAATATATAACCTCTCATATAGCGTGATCCGGAGAATGTCACTGCATGCTGACCAAACGCGGAGGCAGGCCGAGGGATAAAGAAAGCCTCTATAGGAAGGAACGGTTGCTTGGTTGGTTGATTATTTCCCGAAGCTGATAGGGGAAATTTGTGGACGCAGGAAAGACGTGGGGAGAGTGCCTGAATGCGGGTAAAATGCCTTTAAGATTATTTGATTCAATTCGTTCCTTCCCGTTTTGTATAGATGTTCGCAGTCCAGCGCTGCTTTCCGATGGTTGGTGATTTCCGGGGAAGGAGACATGCCGTATTAATGCCTTATATAGAAGGCAGAAACATGAGTGCGGACGCTAGCCAGATGCGGAAATTGCGGGGGACGCCGATCTTCGTGCTTCGTTGTTATTTCTTCCTCTCGACACAGCGCAGGATAGCAGTGCCTGTCCTTATCACGAGCCTTTCCATACAATATCTATCGAGTACCTTATGCACAGCAAGTGCTGTTTCTTGACTGACAGAGGTGCACAGAGCTGCACTCGTGGACATTGCGTCTACCGTACAACGGATCAAGTATTTTCCCCGCTTACCTAACCAACGCGTCCCCTCTTCGACTGCCCGATCGGGAGACGTGTTTTGGTGATTGCGACCGTTGTTGATGTTGTTGACGGATCGAGATGGCTTGCTTTGGATGGGCTTTGGTGCCTCGAGAATGAACTATTTTGGCCACTACTTTTGATTACCAATACTGCCCTCTGTATCCGGACGCGGCCGCAGTCGCCGATGATCCGCCTTAGATTCCTCGCATTTCGACATGTCCTCTCGCAGCTCTAGCTCTTCTTCGGACATTCTTGGACCTGCTGGCGACTCCGAATACCTACTCTCCTCCCCCACGAAACCTCTCGGCGGTCGGCAACCCTTCATGTCTATGTCTCCGGCCCCTAATTTCAAGTTCCTGCAGACGCCAGGCTCTGTTAAGGGCAAGCGTCAGCGCCCGAGTCTCAGCCCGTCGAAAAGTGCGCATTCCATCCGGTTCGACGATGTCTTGCTACCAGCTACTCCAGCGCTTGCGAAATTGGCCGGAGGACAGCCCATGTCCTTGTCTCCGGAAAAAGGTCAGGGTGAGAGCGGCAATCCGTGGAGAATTCGAGTAACGCTGGAGGCGACGCAAGATGAAGAAGATGAGGCGAATAACCAAAAAAGCCCTACGCGCAGGGCATTATATCCCTCGACGACCATGACGACCAAGGTGCCCCTGAAGGATGAACGCGACCAACCCGAGCCAACCCCCCGACGACGCAGAGGCCGACCGAGGAAGACGGAGATTCAAGCACTACCCGATGCGACATCGACCCCAGCGAGTCCCGGACATACACCAGGTGCCAAGGGCGCCAATGGACAAAGCAGACCACGAGGGCGACCACGCAAAGGTACGCCCGTGCCGGTCGAGCGGCAAATGGAAGAGCAACCAACGCCGGTTCCCGACCCCGAACAATCTAGTCCGTTAAACCTTGAACAACCAACTCCGGTGCCCGCACCTGGACGACAGCGAGCTAGTTATTTGAACGTCGACGAGGAGGAGCAACCGACTCCAGCTTCCGTACCCGATCAACAGCGATACGATCCTTTTAACCTCGAGTCGGAGGACCAGCCAACTCCAGGCCCCGAATTTGAACAACGATCTAGCCCATTGAATTTTGAGCAATCAACTCCGTTTCCCGACTCTGGAAGAAATCGACACAGCCCGCTAAACCTCGAGGTGGAAGAGCAACCAAATCCAGATTCAGAACTCGACCAAGAAAGATATAGCCCTTTGAATCTCGGCGCAGATGGCGATTCCGAAGACGATGAGCTACCGGATGCTCCGTTTTCCGCCTACGAAGAAGACGAGACGATGCGACCAGACCCGACGGATTGGAATCGGAGTTCCCCTCGAGTGACTTTTGCTGAACCTGCGTACGAGACGCCGGATGTCGGTGCCATAGACCGCGATGACGATGACGGGAAGCTACACTCGACGCCGTCTAAAATGCCGTCTTCTGTTCGCCAAGAATCAATTCAAGAACCACTTGATTCGTCCCCAGCAAACGCATTTAATGCAGGCCGTACACCTCGACCACCACGCCTCTATCCTACGCCTACATCATCATCGCTGGTCGATGAAGAGAATAATGAACAAGACAATCTGGACGAAGACGCACCAAGTAGCGAAATTCATGATATTCAAGGCGACGCCACGGATAATCCAACGGACGATAATGATGACCCAGCACACGAACATCGTGATCCTACGGACGAACACCGGGAATACGATTCAATTGTGGAAAGTGAAGGGTTCAGCATGGTCTCGTTGGATACTTTGCCATCAGCCAAGCAACATGGGATCAGCACAAATTCAGACCGTGCCAAAGGACCTCTCCGACCTTTTCTTCAGCGCGAATCAATCGGCAAAAGAGAGAAAGTGAAGCGCAAAGCTTCCTCTATAAGCAGCAATCACAACGAGAGTGTACGCGCGAATGCATCGCCCAGTTCAGAACCTCCGCGAAAACGCCAGTCTCGTTCTCCACCTAAACGACAGTCCCGTTCACCTTCTCATCGACGAAGATTAGAACAGCCTGCGACACACTATGAGGCTTCTGAACTACATGCACCTCCGTCTCCACCGGCTGAACTCCCTGCGCCGATCCCGGCTGATAAACGGCCTAGACCGGTCACCCGGCTGGCTAGGATTGTCCGTGCTGGTATGGCACTTGAGGGTGCCTTCAGGCAGAACCCGGAGGTAGAGAAACGACCAGATAGCAAAATTGCTATTGAGGAACCCAAAAAGCGCTTGGAGACCGTGTTTAGTGATCTTGACTACGATACCCAACAACAACTACGAGCGGGTCTAAGCCTTGGCCAGGAAATCGCAAAGAAGAAAATACAAGCTGAGGTAGAAAGGGAAAAGGCCGAACAAGAAGAAGCTGCCAGAAGTGCCGCCACGCCAGATACCCACGACCAACACGAGGACCAGGGATCAGAAGATGAAGAGCAAGATACCTCAGAAACCCCGCTCCAACAAGATCGGAGATCGGTTCAGGATACACCTGGGCCAGAAACTGCGATGAAACGACGAATGGCCGAATGGCAGCAAGAGAGAGAGTCCATCAGTCATGAGATTGACAAAGCCAATTCGAGCAAGGTCATTGTTATTAATAGCGATGATGAGGCACAGCAGAGTCCCGAACGTGGTAGGGCCTACCCTGCATTCGACATTGGAGGGCCAGACTCAGATTCGGGGTCTGATTTCGACCAAGGGCCAGAGTTGGAGCCAGCTTCAGAAGGCAATCTGCCGGAAGATGAGGCAGGCTATCCAGACGAAGCATACGAGGCAGACGAGGTAGGGGATGAACAGGAAGATGCAGAGGTAGAGGAACAAGAGGAATACGAAGAGGAGGAACAACACCCGCAGGCGCATATGCAACAACCGGAAGAGGAGGAAGAACAATATTCGCCAGAGGAAGACGATGACGGATACTCGGACATCTGGCAGCAAGAAGCACAAGAGCATAGCCAAATATCGCATCAATCTTCCACACATCAAGGTTCCATGCATCAAAGTTCCATGCATCAAACCTCCACACGTCATGATGAAGACGATGCTGGCTACAGACAGGAGTCTAGCCCATGGAAGGATGATCGATCAGCTGCCCCGAGCGAATACGGCGCATTTTCCCCGGCACCTTGGACTCACCAGCGGGAAAAGGTACCCTACCTGGGAGGCCAATCGCGAGTACGACAATTACGTGAACAGGAGGTTGACATGTCGATGTTGCTTGGTGCATCCAACACCCCAAATCATTCTCGCTACTATTATGGGAGAAGCAGCCCCTTGAGCGCGGCCAGTGCACGGCCTTCGCAGCGGGAGGCACCCCAGTCTTCCCCGCGATACGCCGAGAATGGGGTGCATGACCAAGAGCAGCCGCTATCGGAATTGGGACTGGTGTCGAGCCCTCTCAAGCACTCGGACGACGATGCGTTCCAGATTGATCCGACCACCAGAATTGAGCATGAGAGGATGCAATTTGATAGGCGGCGGGATCAAGAGGAGGAAGACTTTGAATATTCAGATGCCGCCGTAGCCGAAGAACGCTCTGTTGACGGAAATGTGGAAATGACTCCACAACCTCCGCGACCCGCCAATCCCGCCAATCCTGATGTTCAAGGATCGACCTGGTTCCAAAGACTGGCCTCATTAACCCCCGGCTGGCTGAAAGCACCAATAAGAAGGTCTCCTTCGCGACCAAGTCGCGTGAGTGAAGAATATGAGGACTCAGATGATGACCCAGTGAGCGACGATGGCTCCGCGGAGGTTGCGAACGCGCATACCCATGGATCCGACAGGGCAGACGTGGAGGAACAAGATGAAATGGAGCGGAGGTTCAGAAGCTCTCGACGATTCACCGAGTGGAGACAGTATGAAGAACCGCAGAGCTCCCCCGAGTCACGCGCCGCTCAACAACCCGACCGCGCATTTTCCGCCCTGGGAGAGGAGAGCCCTGTGCGGGCCCGACCGCTGGCGGTGTCTGGGCATTTCAGCGACGAACACTATATTATCCTCCGACGTCTGTACCGACTGGCAGCGCACTTCCCAGAACGGTTCCCATACTATCCGGCGCCCGGACGCGACCAGATTATTGGTGACTGGATTTGGACGTCAGACGGCCGACATGGCGTGCCCGTTACCGAAGGTCAGTTCGCGGTGATTGACCAGTTTGTGCAGGAACTGGCCACCGGCGACCTAGACAGCGGCGGGACGGGCCAGATCGGCTGGACGGAGGCAGACTTACACCGACGACTGATCAGCGTGATTATTGGCGAGAAGATTAGAGCAGAGAGAAAAGCAAAAACAAGCGGAGGCGACATGTGAGCACTACTTTTGGCTATTGACCGACGTGGCGCCGCCGTTTCGTGTTTGAGTTGGCCGGATTGGTCCATAATTGCTTTCCTCCCCGATGTTAGCGGCGCGCCGGTCGAAAGACTATTGGAAATGGCGCATGCTTGGTGTTTTCATTTATTTTATTTTTTTTCTCTGGGGAATATCACATATTCGGGCTTTTTTACAGGTGGACGACTTTTGATTTTCTGTTATTATCTTTTTTTGTACATGTACAGTGTTGGCGTGGAATTGGGATGCATTTCTTATTCTTGGCCTCTTATCTTTTACAGGTTAGCATTGGAGTGATTGCTGTATATACCTCGATTCTGGTCTTGTCCTATGTCATTGAACATCACATACATGGCGACATACACATGCCCAACTTTCCGATGGCTTCCAACTATGCAAATAAGCAAGAACCCTATTATACCTGGCAGATACATAACATACCTGACAACGCCAGTGCTCAAATTGATCGCCACGTTTTCACGCCCATCGAGCCTGCATAAGTCTCGATTCGTATCGGGCCCGGCGCGACAACCTAATGATTGCCCAACTAGACCACATACTCTATGCTCCATGCAATACGGAGTAACCAAGAACTATGGAGTAGAAACAAGAAACTAAGGCCCTGGCGGCGGGGATTACCCACGCGCTGCAGGCATTAGCCTGGGAGATCCATAGACCAAGGGAGGAGAGGGGGTCGGCCCCCGGAAACTAACCACGTATACACACGGAGAATGGAGTACGTACACCAGTGATAAAAGTAGAAGCGCTGAAACGCCAATGTCCCACGCTTTCGGTCGCATTCGTGTAAGACAAAAAGCGAGGCTCGTGATACATCTACTTATATAAACCTCCATCCCTTTTCAAGAACCAAGCTTTTTACAAGAACAGACCAAGACCAACCAAGCACGAATCAAGAATTCCATCCAGCCAGTCAATCAGCAAAATGCGCGTTGGAAACAGAGTCAAACATATCTTCAGCTTCTCATTCACCAATCGTCGACCTAATCGATCAATGTGGAAAGAGAAATCCCCGGCCGCTGTCACCGATGATTCCTCCTCCTACTCAAACGACTCGGACTCCGACGATGCGATTCACATTTCCGAAGACGAAGGCTCAGATCCCTCAGATGTCGATGTCGACGACGATGACGACGAATATGCATCGCCAAGTAAACGCGTGCGGATAATCAGCTGGAGACTTGACAATAACAAGATGGTTCCCGGACGATGCCGGTGGACGCTGGAACAAGAGAAACGGTTAAAAGTTGCGCAGCAGCAGCTGGCAAGGTGCCAGAAGGCATGGAGTTCGGAGCAGGAGGTTTGGTTGAAGCATGTATGTTCCTGTCCTGCCCCTTACTACCACATACTTGTACCTTTGTACACCATGGTACGCAATAAGTATGCCGTATGGAAACATGCTAACACATACATCTATGCAGATCGAAAAGCTGCACGAAGAAAAAGCCGCACATGAGGACTTTGTACATCTGCGCGCAAAACAGCAACAAGATGAGCGTGTTCATTTCCGGAAAGCGTTGAAGCGTCGGGAACAGGAACAAGGGGATTTAGGGACAACAAGTGATGAGGATGAAGGAGGTCTACGGAGGAACCAGAGTTTGAGTCGCTTGAGGCGGTTACGGAGGTTTTCATGATTTATGCTTTCTTTTTCTTTTCTTTTCTTTTTGCATTAGAACATAGCATTACGGATTGCATGTATATAGTTTAGGATGCCTATATTCTTCTATTTAGGCCTGGCTAGATGATGTCTGACAACTAGGGTATACCCCACGGGCAGCAGTGACCATGGAGCATCCCGTCGCTAGAAAAAGCATTCGACGATGCCGGAGAATAGCCGTCAATGACAGATGTCATGGTTTCCGGGAACTTTTAACCCGTTTGAGAAACATCACCACGCGGGGTTTCTTGGAAAATACAAGGCTATTTGGTATGACAGAGTGCATCTTTACATCAATATCAGCGATGGTTATCTTTACAATTCGTAGACAATGCTATTTTGGACATTGAACAGTTAGTATTCGACTACGATGCCGCGAGACGGCTCGCGTGGGCGATTGCGATCGTATGAAGCTTGTCTTAATTGTCGGTATGTGTTGCTTACCTTCTTGCATCAGTATAGATCTAATGTCAGATATCCAGACGAAAGAAAACGCGATGTCCGGCAGAGAGGCCAGTGTGCTCGAGCTGTGCTCGTCTCAATCAGACATGTCTCTATACCTCTGGCCGGAGAGCGTCGCACCAATCGGTAGGACATCTCTGTACATGGAACGGGATATGGTGTTGATGTTTTTGAAGGAGGACAGGCTTGCGTCGCTGGAAGAGAAGGTTGATTATATCATGAAAGGATCTAGGTAAGCATCTTCCGATACTATGAAGAAGGCTTCTAACAATTCCAGACCTCATGATGAAGATCCATCTCCTGCCAAGTCGTCATCAAATTCACTCCCCAGCGAGTCGAACTATGCCCTCGACAATCTACTTGCGCCTGAGCTCGGCTTCGAAGGCCCCGAAGATTCAAGTCTGCATATCTCATCACTTACCGTTGCCAAAGCAGTAGATCTCTACTTCCAGTACTGCCACCGACAGCCGATTTGGTGTTTCAATTACGAAGACCTTGAGGAAATGGGTTTTCTGCCAAAGGAGCTTGTCTATAGTATCCTCACGCTGACGACCCGTTTCTGCGCCGCCCACGACAAATCGCAGTTCTATAGCAACACGGCGAGAACATTGATCATGCTTCGTGTTGCAAGTGGCACGGTGGACTTGGAGACAATTGAGAGCCTATGTCTGCTCACATATTCGCTCTTCATGGACGGAAACGTGTCCCTGGGTCAGTTCCACCTGGGGTTCGCGTTTCAGCTTTGTCTTACGGCCATGATCGATGTCGAAGCCGCTTCACCAACCCAGAGCCCTCTATCTCAACGGAAAAAGAGAGTCTTCTGGAGTCTTCTGTCACTAGAACGGTCGTACGGCCACCAGAACAGATTACTTAGACTCTCCGCTGAGCCATTATGCCCCTGCTGCGTTCCAGACAAGACAGAAGACGACGAGACCATGGGCTGCTTCGACCCCGAAGTCGACATATGGAGTCTATCCTCCCACTTCGGCTGGGTCTGGAGCAGAGTGCGAACTTACGTCTCTGACTGCGCCCATAACAACCTCAAAGAACCTTGGCGCCACGACTCCATGTACACAATGATCCTCTCCGACCTGACATCCGCCGAGAACAAGCTCTCCCAGAACCACCGCTACGACTCGGTCAAGTTCTACGAACGAACAGCACCTGAAGTCCGTCTCAACAAAAGCTACTGGGGCCCCTGGCTGAAACTTCAATTCACGTACCACTGCATCCTTACCATGCTCAACCATCCGTTCCTATATATCGTTGCGTCGCAGCATAATCCCAATTTAGCGATTCCAAATGCATTCTGGAGAAAGTCGAGTGAGTTGGCGCTGCTGCACGCTACATGGATTGTGAGGATCATTGATATGGTGACGGAGAAGGATATGAGGCTTACAGAGGCTTTCTTTGGGCATGCGGCCGCTGTTGCTGCTACGGTGCATCTTTATTATTGTCGGGCTGCGGATCCGAGGTTGAAGTTCAAGTCAAAGACGGATTTGGCAAAGTGTCGGAGGTTTTTGGAGGGGTTTGTGGAGTTTTCGCCCGCTTGTCGGGCGTTAGTGAGTACAGCAATGTCTATTAGAAAGGGATTTATGCTGAACGTCACAGGACCAAACGCTGGAAAAGATAATACATATGGCATTCGGATCCGAGAATGTCGACTACGACTGGACACCCTCCCGAATCTATCTCAGCGTTAGTCTAATGTGGGACATCCTACGAGCGAACTGCATGCCCGAGTCACAAGAACCTTCTACAACCGGCCTCCTCCATCCATCCCTCACTCCCACCGCCACACGCGAAAGCTCAGCCCAAAGTTCATCCACATTAGAAATAATCGTTGCTATGTCCCCAGAAGTCACTGTAAATACCGCAGACGGGGGACAGGCAGCGCATATGCCTCCCAGGGTCCGAAACACAACAGCGGCAATGACGACTCCGGCGCCATCATCTCCGGACATTGACCTCAGGGGAGAGAGATTGGTTGTGCCGAGTGACAATCTTATGCTGAACACACCTTGGCTGTGGACTGACCCGAGTCAGTTTGGGGACGTGGATGGGGTGAATCGGCAGGAGTTGGAAAATAATATGGATGGGTTGTTTACGTGGTGGGATTTGGGGAATTTGTAGCAAATTATTATAGATTTATTTTCTTCTCTACATGGTGTGTTTGTGCGTGCATAGTATTAGATGCAAAAGTCGCTATTATCTTGTTCTCATTAGGTACATCTCAATAAACATGAAGCAAATCCCGTCTTCTAAAACTATATCTTACTCTGCCGCGACGAAGTAGCCTTCAGCGCAGTACTAAAACTATCCCGTTCCTGGAAGGTCAATTCCCTCCTCTCCGGACCACCACGGCTTCCGTCTCCCTTGAAGGTATCATCCTGTGACTGATTCTTGTACTCCGTCGGGAACTTCCACTTCTCCAACAAGTCCTGTGGGAGGCTCTTGTCGAAGCATCCGACGATGTACTTTCCGATGTTTGGCAGGAATTTAAATGCACTGTAATCATCAGTCAGCATGATCTAGGTAATGAGGTAAGGGGGGTATGCTTACTGTCCACTTCCACCAGTCGCGATGAACAGGTTCTTGTGATCAGGGTGATAATCCATGATGAAATCACCGGAAGGCGTATCATTGTACCAACACAATCCCACCCTCTCGAAGCCTCGTGGCTCCAAATCTGGGAAGATATCCTTCATACCGGCATGGAGTCGCTTAATCCCATCTTCGGGAATGAAGTTGGCTCTAGCAGAGGGCGGAGCGTTCGGAGGCGCGGAGATGTTGTTTTCACTAGACTGGGTGTACCCATAGCCATGGCAAGCGACTTTCAGGATCCCGGTACCGTCGTGAGGCGGGAAGCAGAAGAACCCGGTAGACAGGTTAAAGTAAATAGGAAGGTCCTTGAGCCTTACCATTTCTTCGGGAGTAAGGCGCATGTAGCCCACGATCTGCGCGGCCGCGATCATGGTATTCCACGAGGGAATGAGACTCGCCGACCAAGCACCAGTCGCGACGATGAACATGTCACCTGCGATGCTGTTCCCGCCACTCGTGCGAACAGCCTTGACAGTCCCATCGGACCTCTTTTCAAAATCCGTAACATTCCCATTTGGCCCCGTGATAAATGAAACCCCAGCATTAACACACCTCGCCGCGAGCCTCTGCGTCGCCAAACCTGCATCTGCCCACCCAGCACTCGTATTACAAAATGCGTCGAACCCCGGAGACCCCAACTTTCCGGTAAACCCAGGAAACTCCCTCTTCGCCTGCTCCGCCGACGGCACACTATGCCACGGTTCCCCCATCTTCGTCAACACATCTCTCGTCTTGCGACTATACTCTTCCGCCATCTCCTGCACGGGCTGCCCTGGGGACTCCTTCTGCGTAACCCATAGACAGGGCGTTTGATGGAAAGCTTCTTTAAACGTCGGCGTAAGCCAGAGATCATAAGCTTCTTTGGCCATGCGGGCGTAGACTTCGTCGCCGTAGTCGAAGCGGATTACGCGGGAGATGTCATTGGAGGAGCCGTCTGGGACGGGGGGAAGGGCGCGGTCGAGGACGGTAACATTTTGGTAGCCTTGTTGTTTGAGGGTGAGGGCTGTGCCGAGACCGAAGATGCCGGCGCCGACGATGATGATTTTTTGGTTCTTGTCGTTGGTCATTGTTAAAGATATCGGGAGAATTGATGGTGAAAGTAGGTTACTTTTGGGCGGACAGGCTTTATAAATCTACAACATGCTCGATCTTGCACGCTCAATTGGAGTACGTACCCCCCGCAGAGTCGGTGAAAATTGGGGACGGAAAAAAGTAGCTAGTTGTCAAATCAGAGCTTCGGCTCAAGCTATCAAACATCCACCTTAGAAGCAGACCCAGCTTTTCCAACACTGTTGTCTGGTCCTGCCTGTCCCTTTCCTGGAAAGCATTACCCAAAAGAGTAATCAATATCTATCATGCATCCGGGCCCATAATACTCAACATCCCGGGACCCGTGCACATGACTTGTCCGCGCAGCTATTAATGCACAACAATCCCGTATCCAGCAATAATTTGACCTCGGGATGGTAAGCTCTTGGGTCTCGGATGGTCTCCGAACCGTTTTGAACGGTTCCACCGGACCGGGTTAGGGCTGTTATCCCCCCGCATCCGCTCACGTGAGCGGCTCCGGTGTAGATGGTGAGATAACTGTTGGTTGTTCGTGTTTGTTCTATTTTGGTGAAAATATGCTTCTTGGGATTTATCAATACCGTACTGGAGATAGTGTATGGTTTGCATGATGGGGTCTATTGTGGGATTCCCCGCGCCCGCGTGTGTTGAGATAACGAGAATTCGACAACCAAATCACTCTGATACTAACAGACGACGTAACAACCAAGAGAAGAAGGATACCCCGATATACTCCTATTTCTGGGCCCGATGCTCAACACCCTTAACTAAAGATGCCTGAAATGTCCCAGATCGAGACGAGATTAGTCAGCAGGATGGCGATTCCGAAGGATTTGCCGAGTGCAACCGACGCATATTGAAACATCGCACTCTCGTTTTGATGACTCTTTCCAAAAGCTCCGATAATGCTCCTCCAACTTGTACAAGGCCTTGAAGGTCTCAATGCTTCTACGATTTTCTATGGTTCCATAGCGCTCGTGCTGCTGCTAAGCCTAGTCTTTGCGGCTATCGTCCGAAATGGAAACACTTCTAAAACACGCAGATCACTTCGACACCTGCGCAAACTCGGCCTATCCAGCAGCAGCAGCAACATGACAGACCAATATCATCCCAAATACGCCATACCAGAGCACACCGCAGCCAATGGTCCAATCCGCATCAAATCAATCTACATCCACCCGGTCAAATCATGCGGGCCCATCGAACTGAATCGGGCCTTACTTACCAAAACCGGCTTCATGTACGATAGATGTTTCGCAATTGCAGCCGAGACAGACGGTAAATGGCGGTTTATCAGCCAACGAACTAAGCCGGGGATGGCGCGGATTGAGACCGAATTGTGGCTTCCGCACGAGGGGAGTGATTCGTCTGATGTGTTGGTGAAGGCGGGTGGGTGTGTAGTTTTGAGATTTAGGGATCCGGATGTTCCTGATTGGTCTAAGTGGTTCGAGACGTTTTTTTATACGGGTGATTTCTTTGCAACACCTGAGGTAGCTGTCGTCGTGCCTCTCCAGCCTGTGGATAAGTTGAAGTCCAAGACATTCAACATCCACCGCCGTGACACGAATGGTCTCGATTTGGGGCAGATTCCGTCTATCGCAGCAGCGCTGCCTAAGTTGAAGAGATTCCTTGAAATCCCGGAGAGACAACCATTCACGCTCTTGAGATGTACACCCGAATCTCTCCTCCGTACGGATTTGAATCTCGCATCGCTGGAAAACATCGGTTCGCCGGCTGTGCATGGCTACACGGATCAGCAACCAGTCAACATCAACAGCTTATCATCGGTACACGCTGTATCCACTCTCCTGCCAAAGGAAAACCAACCTATGAATGCACTTCGTTTCCGCGCAAATATCTGGGTTACAGGTGCTCCTGCATACGCAGAGGAAGCATGGAAGCGTTATCGCATCTTACCCAAACCGGGAAACACAGAACCACGGGCTGATGTAGCACCGGCATTATCCGTAGTCTGCCGCACGTCTCGATGCACAATACCTAATGTCAACCCAGACACGGGCAAATTTGACGCGGACATCCCGCCGCCAGAAAAGAAAAAGGGTAAACCGCAGCCCAGCACGACTTTGGTGGAGTATCGGATGGTCGAAACGGGAAATAAAGCGGCACTTGGATACTTGGGTATGCATTGCGTGCCGGAGGATCGGGACTTTAGAAAAGCTGAGGAACAGGGGGAGGGATTGTACGTTGAGGTTGGGGATGAGATTGAGGTGCTTAAAACTGGAGTGCATGTTTATGGGTCGACGGGGAATGATTACTAGAGTTGCGCTACGATATGTTAGATTTAGACTGCACATACGCTCTGGTTTGAACTCCTATACATATGCAGGGAATTCTGATACCATCCCAAGAACTCGCGATAGCATGAAATGGTCTTCTGAAGTGATTATTTGCCAAATTGGGATTTGGAGTCCATATACCCACTTTAACCCCTCTACCCGCTCTATGGAAATCTTGATCATTCTCGGTAAACGCTCTCCCGTCCAACCAAATCACGCATAGCAATCAAATGATCCAAAAACGGCATAGAACCATGAAGAATCATTGACGAGGCCCGTTTTTATTGGCTGGGAATGAAACCGTTATCAACTTACGGGCGAATACCCGATCACGGGGTCGGGAGGAACCCTCATTGTATACTATAGGAGTTGGGATACCCTGACTCCAAGGCGACTATATCAAGGCCCAGCACGCCCAGTGAAAGTCAATAATCAATCATCATCAGTTTCAACTTCGGAAGCATACTCTTCAATTGTTAACTACCACAATGTCCCTCTGGAAGAACTACTTCGGTCTTGGACCAGTCGCCTCCTCCGGCGCCACGCCCACCGACAAGGAGACTCTCTCCAGAGCCCTTCCTGCTTCCTGGTACACCTCCCAAGAACTCTACGAGCTCGAGCGCCGCTCCATCTTCTCCCGCAAGTGGATCCTTACCACGCACGCCCTGCGCCTCGTCAACACAGGCGACTGGATACAGTACAAAATCGCCGGATACCCAATCGTTCTCGTAAAAGACCGCCAGGGCCAGATAAACGCCTTTCACAACGTCTGCCGCCATCGCGCCTTTCCCGTCGTCACCGAGGAATCAGGTACCTCGCGAATCTTTGCCTGCCAGTACCACGGCTGGTCCTATGGTCTCAATGGTAAGCTCGCCAAAGCCCCAGGCTACCAAGATGTCGACGGCTTCGACAAGTCCAAGAACGGGCTCCTCCTGATCCACGTGCACGTTGACAATAATGGGTTTATCTGGGTGAACCTGGATGGCGGCGAGAAGCCTGAGATTATGTGGGAAGATGATTTCAAGGATATTGATCTGCAACCAAGGCTCAAGGATTTTGATTTTACGCACTATGAGTTTGATCACACATGGGAGTTGGAGGGAGAGTATAACTGGAAGATTCTGGCGAATAACTACAATGAGTGCCAGACATCGCACCCGGATACTCCAGTGTTGGCGGATCTGAGTGCCTACGCTGCTGATGCAAAGCTGGAGCAGATTGAGCGGGAGCTGAAGGTTGCTAGCACTTACTATTTCCCCAATGCGAGCATGACTGTCTCGTGAGTTCCCTTCCTCCTCTTCCTTTACCCAGTCTGTTATGATCTCATGCTAACCATGAAGACCCCACTTCTTCTCCATGCAACGCTCCGTCCCCATCTCCCCCACAAACTGTGTTATGAAATACGAAGTCTACCGCAACAAGTTCTCCTCCACCGAAGAATTTGACCTTATCAACCAAGTGTATAAACGCATCATGTCCGAAGACAAGGACCTCTGCATAAACACGCAAAAGAACCTCAACAACGGCGAACTTCATCCGAAGATGGAGAAGAGCCCATTATACTTCCAGAATACAGTGCGGGAGATAGTCACCGAGCACCGTAAGAAAGAGGAGAAAGAGGGGAAGGAGATTTGGCCTGCTAGGCAGAGGTTGCCGGAGACGACGGCTGCGGGGGTGAGTAAGGAGGATGATGAGTTTTGTAGGGAGTTGGATATGACTGGGAAGAAGGGACAGAAAGATGTTGCTTCGGAGGGATGTGGGATGGAGGGGTGTTGCTCGGCTGGAGGGATGGGGGGTGGTGCTAGTGGTAGTCTTGTTTATTAGGTGTTGGATTTGGGATTGTATGATTTAGCTATAATTTGGTATCTCGTTTTGTTTTGTTTCATTTGCATAATGAATACCACGACCAATACACATGTTTGTACATTTTATGTCTTACATCTTCAGCAAGCTTCGTTTGGAAAGAGAATCATTTGTATTCCTATACACAACAGAACTACTATGTTCCACAATATACTAGTAGTAATTTTGAGAAACCACAGAGGTTTTGCGAAGATAGCAGTAGCATTATTCAGAAGCAATTTGAGCACTATTTGACAATCTGTCCGTGTTTACAGCCGTTGATATTTTCAACCCTAACAAGACCACTTTAGCGATAATAGCAGCGACACTAAACATACCGCAATACCTTAACTCAATTAAATCCCACACTTTATCTCCATCCCAATATACGACCAGCAAATACATGTTACATCGGTACACCGAGACCCCTCCAACATGCAGAGCCCATGCGGGGTAACGCACCGCGCTGTATAACCCGTTCAGGAAAAAAGAACCCCATTCCCATGCACGGTATACTTATCCGTCCCCACTGCCCTCGTACATCTAATACAATCACAGCTCAGTATAGCACCATGATAGACATCTCCAAGAATATCAAATGACAACTACAAATAACGATTATACCAACCCCATCCACATACTTCCAACAACAAATACTTCCCTATTCTTATCCATGATAACAAAACCATGCCACCTAAGACAATCATAATTGGCGCCGGCATCGTCGGCGCAAACCTCGCCGACGAGCTCGTCTCTCGTGGATGGAGAGACATAACCGTCATCGAACAAGGACCTCTCAATCTCCCCGGTGGTTCGACTTCGCATGCGCCCGGGCTAGTTTTTCAAACCAATGGCTCGAAAACGATGACGCAGCTTGCTCGGTATACAGTCCAGAAGCTGGCCTCGATCGAGAAAGATGGGCAGAATTGCTTTAACGACGTTGGTGGGTTGGAGGTTGCTACGACACCGGAACGGGCTGAGGAACTGAAGAGGAAGTATGGATACGCGAAGTCGTGGGGTATTGAGGCAAGGCTCTTGAGCGCCCAGGAGTGTGCTGAGGTGTATCCGCATTTGAATAAGGAGGTTGTGCTGGGTGGGCTGCATACGCCCAATGATGGACTGGCACTTGCTGCGCGCGCGACACAGTTGCTTATCGAACGGACTCGTCAGGCTGGTGTCCGGTATCTTGAATTAACGCCCGTTACCGGTATTGAACAGACTAGTGGCCATGTCACAGGAGTGACAACACCCAACGGTACCATCCCTGCGGATATCATCATCTCCTGCGCCGGCTTCTGGGGCGTCGAGGTCGGCGCCATGGCCGGTGTCTCAATCCCCCTACTCCCACTAGCACATCAATACGCAAAAACAACCGCTGTTCCGGCACTCGCAAGTCGAGAAATCAACACGCTTCCCAACGGCCGCAACGCAATCCTCCCTATCCTCCGCCACCAAGACCAGGATCTCTATTACCGCGAGCACGGCGAGCAGTATGGCATCGGGTACTACGGTCATCGTCCAATGCCAGTTCGCGCGGCAGACTTGGGCTTAACGCCAAAGCACATTGATGAACAGAATATGCCATCTCGTTTGCAGTTCACGGCGGAGGACTTTGAGCCTGCGTGGAAGGCTTCGAAGGAGCTTTTACCGGCACTGCGCGAGACTGAACTTGCCGACGGATTCAATGGCATCTTCTCATTTACGCCAGATGGCGGCCCGCTTATTGGGCAAGCACCAAGTTTGGATGGCTTCTATGTCGCTGAAGCCGTATGGGTGACACACTCCGCAGGCGTTGCAAGGGCTGTAGCGGAAATACTCACAACAGGCGCATCTCAGATCGATGTCGCAGAATGCGAGCTATCCCGCTTTGAAGAAGTGCAAATGAGTCGGGAATATGTTGATGAGACATCGCAGCAGAATTTCATCGAGATATACGACATCCTACACCCCCTACAACCCAGAGAATCCCCCCGCAACCTCCGACTCAGTCCCTTCCACACCCGGCAAAGGGAGTTGGGAGCATCTTTCCGCGAAGTTGGAGGCTGGGAGCAGCCGTCCTGGTACGACGCAAATGCAGAGCTGCTCAAGAGCCTTCCAAATGAGTGGAAACCCGTCGAGCGAGATGCATGGTCTGCGCGGTTCTACTCGCCTACCGCTGCGGTAGAGGCGTGGAAGACACGCAATGCGGTTGCTGTTTATGATATGACCACGTTTCATCGGTTCGAGGTATTTGGTCCGGGTGCTGTCGATTTGCTGCAGCGGTTAGGCACGGGTGATGTCACTGCGAAACCAGGGACTATCACCTATACTCTTTTCCTGAATGAAGATGGCCGCATTCGTAGCGACATTTTCGTAGCTAGACTCGACACAGACCTGTTCCAAGTTGGCGCGAACTCTGTTACCGATCTAGCCTATCTCACTCGCGAAGCACGCCTCCAATCCCAGCACTCCCCGGCCCAATGGGTCCGAGTCCGCGACATCACCGGCAACACCTGCTGCATCGGCCTTTGGGGGCCTCGCTCTTTCGATATCATTAGAAAAATCACAGCAGATGACTTTTCCAATAGCGCCCTTCCATACATGCATGTGAAAAAGGCAACAATCGCCGGCATCCCGGTCACAGCATTGCGCAAGTCCTACGTCGGGGAATTTGGCTGGGAGATCCAGACCAGTGCTGAATATGGTCAACGATTATGGGACGCTATCTTTCACACAGGAAAACCGCATGGACTTATCGCAGCTGGCCGCAGTGCTTTCAATGCGTTAAGGCTGGAGAAGGGGTATCGCACTTTTGGCACCGACATGACCGCCGAACACGACCCATTTGAAGCTGGTGTTTCTTTTGCCATTGTGGATAAGAAAGTAAATTATGTCGGTAAAGCTGCCGTTGATCAGCGCTCTAAACGACAACCAGCTCGGCGGCTACGCTGCCTCTCTATCAACGACGGTCGTTCCATGGCCCTTGGGAAAGAGCCCGTATACTATAACAACCAGGTTGTCGGGTATGTCACCAATGCAGCGTTCGGGTATACAGTCCACAAGCCGATTGCCTATGCCTGGCTACCTGTGGCTGTGACCGATGGCGAGACCGTCGATATCGAATACTTCGGGCGCAAAATCCAGGCTACCATCACATCCGAGCCACTGTACGACCCGCAGATGAACCACCTACATGGCACCAGCCCCATTTCCGAGCCTCAGAAACCATTGAAATCTCGACTATAACCGCATACGGCAGTCCGGTGCGGGGAGTATCGCAGTCCATGGAAGGCGGCGCTTTCCTGCGCAGCGCACCATATCTTCGCCCACGGCTTTCTCCGTGGCATCCCGAGGAGACCCGTTTTTACGACAGCGCATTGAAAGTTCACGCTAGAGCAGACACCCTTGTCTTGTACTTTGACGCAGCCGGGACGGTCATGGCGCTGAGAAGTGAAGAAGTACCTGACAAGCTGTACGAAGATCCGAGGCAGTGCGGGAGGAGTTTCCCATGAAGAGGAATTGGAATTCTGTAAACTCTGATTAGGTGTGAGCATAATTGTGTACATAAGAAGTGTATCAATCACATCGTCGTTAGTTGTCATCTTCCCGGCTGACAGGTCTTATCGGATCGTCTATCTCCAAGATAGGCACTTGGCATCTAATTGGCTTCTAGCACAGACTCGTTCGTATCTTTGGGGTCGTTCTGAACACGGACAGAAAGAGAACTGCCAGGGATATGGGGAAAGAGTCAGAGGAGAGTAGGAGAAAGGATTCACATGACTAGGTCACGTTGTCTGCTATTATCCCCTCATCTTTGTCCTTTCTTTCCATTCCCTCTTTGACTCTATCAGTTCCCTCTACCTTGTATATCAGTCCTATATCTAGCAAGCAACCAATAAATAATGCCTAATCCCTTGCGGACTCGATAAGACCTATTTCTTCCTGTAAGTCTAGTCAGCTTGACAGGTTCCGGGATATATCATTTGCTAACGGCCTCCTCTGCAAGCCACCAGGTATCATCCTGCTCTGGCTCTTATACTTCCTCCCACCACGCCATTTCCCATCGACTCGCCATGCCTACATCATGTCCTCCACCAATTCTCTCTGGTGGCCTCCTGACCGCGTCCAGGCCGCCCTGACTCCCGAATACATTGTCGGCCAGTTACCTCCCAGCTGCTTGCCCCGTCTGGTCACCCCGCTACCCTGGGGCGAGGGTCTGACCAGCGAGTCTTATCTCGACTGGATTGTCACCAAGGCTGGACGATTGTTTCTTATACTTGCGGACATTGGTATCGCGGAGCGGATATTTGCTCTCGTTGATGCTTCCGTGGACGATGTCGACTTGCCATTTGCCGCGCATAGCATTGACCTGCTTCATCTCTCTCCGGATGGTGATGATCCGGCCCTAGATGCAAAGTTCTTCCATGCCCAATGGCGCTTCACGGTGCGGGGAATTGAGGAAGGTGAATATGTCAAGTTCACGGCCAACGAAGGCGTACCAATTGAGGTGCAGCGGACAGACAGCGCATTAGCTAAGGAGGGCGTCGAAAAGGTCGTTCTAGCTGGTGCTGTGTGTCGAGTCTACCTCCGTACGCAAGTCACCATTGGGGCTGCACCGCATTTTTTCGAAGAGGACGAAGTGTTGGAGGAAATACGTTCACTGAGACGACTGGCCCATGACCATGTTTTTTCCACCTATGCATCATACTATAGCGCGATCGACAAAACCGTCTGTATTCTCTTCAACGGACACTATGAACGCACGCTCCTATCCTTCCTCGCAGATCCGCCGCCTACCTTCAAGCGTCTAGAAAAAGCCCGTCGTCGACATATTCTCGTCAATTGGCCACATTGCCTAGCCAATGGTCTGGCATGGCTACATGCACATGGCCATCCCCACCGCGGTATCCGTCCATCCAACATCCTCATTGACGCTGAATTCCGAATCTTTCTCGGCCAATTCGAAGAACTGGACACCCTCCTCCCACCACTGAAAGTCGACGACGTCGAGGCATACCAGTACGGCGCACCAGAACGCTGGCAACGCTCCGCTGCAGTCCAGGACACCCAGCCCCATCAGACCCTCCTCCTCCCTTCCGGCGGCCGCACAGCACGCAGGCCGTCGATGAAATCCGCAAAATTAAACCTTCCCAAAATACGGGTTCCATCTAATCTTGACAACACAACCACCAGATCCGACTCGGTAGGATCCCAAGACACCGCTATCCGAATTAATTCCCCACGAGCCCGATTCTCGTTCGCCCTCTCAACAACCTCATCTGCCTCATCCGCCTCCAGTGACGGCAGTAACAACAACGTCAACTCCCGCAAACGAATCCTCCCATCCATCAGGCAAAGACCAATCTTCTATACCCCCTCCATCGCCTCTTCATCATCTTCCTCTGGCGCCTCCGCCCGTCCACTCTCCACAATCACCACCAACACAACCATAGACCAATCCCTGAATAATACCAACAACAACAGCCAAACGATAGTCCAAACCTGGCACGCGGCCACAGCAACCGCCACAGCATCAGATATCTTCTCTCTCGCCGCTATAACCCTTGACATCCTAACTGTCCTCTGCAAACGCAAACTCTCCTCCTTCACACACCACCGCGGCTCGAAAAATCGTACCGCGGGGCGTGGTGGTGGTGTTGCAGATTCATCCTTTCATCTCGATCGTAACGCAAATCAAGTATTCTCATGGGTATCCTTGCTAGAAAAGGATGCGGAGAAGAAGCGCAAGTCCGATTTCGCGGTTTTCGGAGTCGGGGTACTGGGGATGTTGAAAGTGTCTCGAGGCATGCTAAGCAGAGGGCCGGATGTAAGACCGTCAGCAAAGGAAGTTGAGGGAATGTTTGGGGAGTTGATAAAGAGGGCGGGGATTGAAGTCCATTGTCAGCCATCTGCTCCGGAGAAAGTTTCACGGACTCAGCAGATGTCCAAATGCGAGAAGGTTGATGCTTATGTTGCTCCTAGATCATTTTCTGCTGATACAAGCGGACATGATAGTCCGTCTCCATCGGATTCGATTATGGAGTTTGATACTACTGATTATCCAGATTATCAGGATGAGTATATTCACAGTAGTGACTCTGAATGAGATTGAGCCCGGTTGGATATATCAAAAGTCTTTCTTCCAGTTAAGGTCTCACGCGTCTTCAGCGGAATCCAGGGGGTACTCTCACTTTACTGTTGTTCTGCTATGTCGGTTGGTTATTGACCGAGTTTGCAACACAACGCTATAACGATCCTTGGGGGAAGGGGGAGGGGAGATAATATTTCACCTCACCTTCCTTTCTATTTTCCTAATAATTTGTCATTAACTGCTCTTATATTTTCTTTTAATCATGTCTCTCTTGTCTTGTTACTATCACGCAAGGTGTTTATGGAAAGGAGGGTGGATTGTATTGAATTGGTGTACCTCATTAGCGATTAGTTAGCTGTATGTGTCTTATTCTTAATCCATTTTGCAACTGAACATTTTGAATAAGGCTTTGCTTTTTCCCAGACTGATAGCGATGTGAGCGGTTTTGTATGCGTGTCATACACCATCATATGCCCATGTACTAGACTTAACCATTACTGTACAACGAAAGACCTATATTCAGTTCCTAACTTAAAATACTATCCATCCATACGACAAACCCATACTCCGTGTGTCAACCATCAAACCCAACTAAGCATCGCCAAGGATATTCCTCTCAAAAACACTCGTTGTCTTTCCGGTATACTGGTTCTCAATCTACACACCGATTAGCCCCATTCCCTTCCCTTAACAAACATCCCATCCATCCATTTATCAATAACCGAGGATAGGAAGTAGGCTCACCTCATATCTCGGCTCTTCCTCACTAGCACCGACATTCCGACCCGCCTGGCTACCGGGCTCCGTGAGGACGGACTTGATGGTGCCGGTACTTTCGGAGGTGCGGGAGTCGGGACCTTAACAGTTAAAGGTTAGTATATGAAAAGGAAAGGGATTTGAAAGAGGGATTTATTTTGTGTTATGACACGTGGCATGTGTTTACCTCCAACGGGCTTGTAGTGCACGGCTTGACCGTTGCGGTATTGAGGCATTTCGTTGGTTATTTTTGTAAACTTGGTTTGTAGGCTTTGTCAGTGAAGAGTAATTGTTTGCGTTACTTGCCCGGATTGGTGCCATTCTTATATTGTATGAAATTGCTCGTGAAAACAGGATTATTGTGGTTATCGAACATTGTGGTAATCGAGGATTATGCATTTCAACTCCAACATGACGTGTCGGAGATCAAGATCAATCGAACTTGAGATCTTGTCCTGAACTACTTGTAGCCTATAAGAAATTTGAGAAGTATAGATCATCGACAACATGCTTTACGATTAAGTTAAAATTGGTGACGTCCGAGTGATCATTTAATATTAGTTGATATTCAACGCTAATGGCACAGCCGGATTATTCATACGAACCCTAACTGTCCTAACCACTGTACTCCATACAGTGTCTCGTACAGTGACTGCAGCGGCTAAACATCTTCCTCCCAAGGTGCCCTAGCCCTCCGATAACTAACCCCCCACACAAACCGACTCACCATCGGTTCTTCATCAACCGCACAATGCATCCTCCCGTCTCGTCCCCTGAACCACCCCAATCCATACCTCTTTCCCTTGCTGGCCAACATGTCAGTCATTTCTCGGTTATTATATAGTTCCGTTCCCGTGAAATCATTCAGCATGTGTGATTGATGGATGAACGCGAGGATGGAAGCGATGGTTGATGGTTGGCGGGGCATGAATGGTCGGCGGCGGCGGATGAAGATTAGGATTGCGGAGAGGATCATAAAGAGTACGATAGCCATGGATAATATAGAGGAGGAGTAGAAGGAGTGCCGCGTTTCTGTTTTCACGGCGAGAGAGGAGAAAGTAATTGTTAGGAGGTCGGAGAGAATGGAGCCCAGACCGACGAGCGCGACGAGCCAGTGGTGGTTGCGGAGGGACTTGAAAAGAATGACGCCGTAGGGCGTGCCTTGGTAGTCCAGGGTGAGAGTTTGTTCCGGGCGGGCGTTGCCTTTTGTGAGGGTGTGAAAGGGTTCCATCATTTTCACGTTGAATTCCAACGTGGCCCAAAGCTGTTTTATGAGGGTTGCTACTAGCACGGGAAGCCAGGAGGCGTTGAGAATGACGTGGTTCAGCCGGCGGTTGTAGGTGATTACCGGGACGAAGGGGAGGCAGATGACCATGAAGATGATGAATGACATTAGCCAGACTGGGCGGAGGATTATGGGTTGCGGGTTTGGTGGTTTCAGTGGTTTCTCTGTTTCGGATTCGTCTTCGCTTATGCCTGTGTACTCGCCCTGCCAGATGGTGGATTTGTAGAGAATGTATCGTCGGTGTTGGAGTTTCTTGTGAATGTCATCATGTAACGACTCGTCCATTCCTTGAAATTCAGCCAGGATATGCGAACGGTTCGCCATGGCCGCGATTCCAGCGACCCCGAGAGGGTCACTAAGAAGGCCTGATTTGCGACGCAGCTGAAAAAGCAGCACAATCGCGAGGACAGCAACAAGAATAAGACACGACGTGACCAGCCGCGACCAAACGGGGTCAACGCGAAGGAAGTACTTAAAGTCAGCATCGCACGGTTGATCTTCATCAGGTTTTAGCGTGTCAGGCCTAGGACCGCAAGCAGGGTTTCCGGCCGGCTTGATACTAGGAGACTGCAGCGACGGCACAGCAGTTGTGGCTAGAATTGTCCCGATAGCAGAGACCAACACCGACCAATGACGATACTTTGCAGCCTTTATTGGAACAAAGTACGACCACATAGTCACGTAGTCCAGGTTGAGACTCTTCTCTGCAGTATTACCGGTCGGCTGCGACAGCTGGTAATACGGCTCCAAGCGCTTGACCTCGTAATCGGTAATTTGCCATAGCACACCGTATGCGACAGTCACAAGCGTGGGGAGGTATTTCCAGCAGAAGAACTGCGACACGGGAATGTCGGCTACCTCGTTGTACGGAATCATGCCGCGTCCCTTCTTTTCCAAGATACCAGACTTCTGATAGAGATACTCCTGCACACCCGCCAGGATGAGCGATAAAACAGCCAGCATGATGATATAAGCACTCCTCATCGAGAGCGGCCGCCAATTCGGTTGCTCTGGGTCGCGAGGATAGAAGTAGCTGAAGTTCGTCGCCGTCTTCTTTCCTAGATTTGACAAACCTGGCTCTGATGGTGACCCCATACCTTCCAGCACACTCAAGTCGACAGTCGCGGCGCGCTGATCAACAGAAACAATTGTGTTTGTCTTGTTGGCCAAATCCTGTCCGTGCTGTCTCATACTCTTCGATCGCAGCGCGGGGTGTATTTCAAGACTCAGCTTGCCCGCAGGCTCAGCGAAAGAGCCACCCGAGTCCGTACGGGCATGGCCTTTCTTCTCATCTTTCAGCAAGGAATCGCTCTGATGTTGTCCATGAAATCCCTCAAAAAACGAAATATCCACACCCGGCATGTCCTCCGGGGGTACATCGTGCACCTCATCTAGTTCCAGTACCGAGTATCGATCTCTGCGAGGGTCGATGGTCGCGCGGATATCGGGTTTCGGCCGTTTAACAGAGGTCAAGCGCTGGATTAGCGATTTCCTCGGTTTTACATTCTGCAAAGTATTCGGAGAGCTCTCGGTGGGTTCTGGCGCTGCGAATCGCACCGATCGTGTTCGCGATCGCGGTACCGGTGTCGGCGGTGGAGGGGAGGGCGAGCGCTGCTTCTGTCGGACAAGAGGGTTATCTTCATTGTCTGAATGCGCATAATCCGCACCGGAATAGTCGATTTCGCTGGTGTTCTGATGTGCCTGCGAGATATCCCCTGAATCAGAGGATTCGGCGGAGGGATTTGAGTCGCGCATTTTCGCAGGCATTTACATCCTGCGACTGATGTGTCAGACTAAACAAATCCTCCGTAGAGAGAAAGCAAATGTAAATAAAACTGGACAAAGCGCCGACTATCAACGGGCTGTCAAACGCATGCTAGCAAGAGTCGGTTCGGGAGAGACCGAGAGAAATGGAGATGAGGATGAGGCTGAAGAATAATTAGAAACATTAGTCGGCAGTAAGAGCAAATGCAATCAATAAGATCGGCCATTCTTCAATTCGTCGGAAAACCCGCAGCTGAGTCTAGCCTGACTAGCTGCGCATAAGCTGCAGGGGTCAGAGTTATGGTGGCTGGTTAGTCTGTTGTGCAAGTATGCGAAGGAGTACTCTGTACAAGCAGTACACAGTGAGTATGTCCTTCTTAATAGATAGCATTCAGATTATTGTGCCATGGCTGAATTGACAAAGTTCAAGCATTGAGAGAAAATAACAATTGTCTCCAGCATCGCTGGTCACGTGACACCACATGCATCACATGCATAACAACAACCCTACTCTCCTTGATACTCTGGGCTATTTCCGAAGCAAGAAGAACTCATTCTCTAGGTCCAGAGATACGAGGTAATGATGCGAACCCAGTGAACAATGCCAAACCCATTAACTGGGATCGATCTACTTAGTTAGCCGGCACTCAATGGCTCGAAAGTATATAAATCTTCAGTTTAGCCTTTTCCTCCGGAAGATATTTCCGCTATTTCAGCCGACGACATTAAGAATTCAAATGGCCACTAGCTATTATCTGAGGGGTACCCGAGGATGGTTATTAAATCCTTATGATTTACAAGCTAATAAGTGTAAGAGGCGGAATGACTCGTGTGCAAGCCCACTTGTCCATAACACATACTATAGACCGGCATTCTTTAGCTGGAGGCACATTTACTTTTTGTAAACAGTTCTCTGTTTTCCCGGATCTGACTCCTCGGGTTTTGCAGTCAGTTCATTTTCAGAAAATAGGAGAAACCTATAATCAATTACAGAAACCGCAAGAGATGCTACTGACTCTGTCCACAAGAGTGGATCACACCGGTTCGATGCATCCGATTCCAGTACTTGATTACAACGTCACAAGTACTACAACTCGAGTATACCCTATAGCCAATCCTTTGCATTCTCAGGGGTATAAAATTTATAGAATCCTATGATAGAAGAATACTCTAATCCGCTCCGTATTATTTTGCGCGTCATGCGTCTCCCTGCAACCTAGCTAGTAACATCATTGCCAGTTTACCTTCCCTTTTCACCAAAACTAAACCCCAGCCCTAACCACTACCCCTCACAACCAGATCAATGTCCCGGCCACTTCCGAAACAAATCCCCCAGCAGATCCATCGGCGCCATCATCAATCCCACCGCGCTCTCAAACGGCCCCTTACTCGGCGCCCCAGGATGGCTCCTCGACGGCACGAACATCTTCGTGCGATCAAGGGCCCGTGACAACCCAACAGATTCTTCCTGCGAGAGTTTTCTGTCGAGCGCGGGGATGTCGGTAGTTTCTTCCCCGTGGGCGTGGGTTCTAAAGTCCGCTAACAAGGATTGGAGGGTTGGACGAAAGCGCGGGTCGGAGGGTTTGAGGGTCTGAAAGGTGTGTAGCTTATTCTTGATCTACATCATTTATCAGCACCATCATTACAGACATACCAGAGGTCAGATCCTAGGACAAGGCGTATACCCCTTGATGCTCCCCCCTATCCCTCTCAGCCACTTCCCTCCCCCACCCAGCCCCAAGATACCTCTCCATAGCAGGGTACACCACCAACTCCTCGGCAACCGCATGTCTGGCTAGTTCCCAGGTGAACATATTCTGGGCCCTCGTCTGTTCATCTGCGTCGTTTGATTGCAGAATTTGCTCGCCACAGGAGGTTATCTCGCGGTGATCTTCTTTTACGGATTCTAGGATGCGGAGGTGGTAGGTTGGGCCGGAGGCTTGGGTGGAGTAGGCGCGGAGTTGGTGGGTGGCTGTTTCATGGAGGAGGTTCGGTTCGACGATGGTGTTGCTTGTTGTTGTGGTTGTTGCCATTGCGATAGTTATATTTAGAGTCGGTTTGGGGGGTTTGGGGGTGGTTATTGGTTTGGTGGATACGGCTCTGAAGATGGTGCGGAGCATGCCTGTTGTTTGATTGAATTGGAGTGGACTACGACGTTGAGGTAGGGTTTATGGATAAATACAGTGACATGATAATGACTGCAGTGCGTTCAGATACAAAAATATCAAAAATTATATCAACATGATCATAACCCCACTGACCCAACAATGACATTAATGAGCCCTAACTCGGAATATCTTCCCTATCCCCGGTCCAGGAGCCCTACCTCAAGTAACCTTCCCCAGAATAGTATCCCGGTAAAGCTAACCAAAAACCAACGTCCTAACCTCAATACTTTCCCTCGGTTTCCCCCCCTGCCCCTCCACACTCCTCGGATCCACAAATGCACTATGTGGTGCCCTCCCCGCAACCACCCCACCATCTCCTAAAGCCGTGCCCTCCGCAGAATCTGCACACTTCAACAATAGTCTCTCCTCATTCTGCAACCCAGAAATATACAACCACCGTTGCTCATCAGAATGAAAAACACCCATAATCTCCCCGTTGCGGTGCGGATACCGATGCTGGATATTCACCAGGTCTCGTTCGGGGACGATACTCTTAACGTCTGCTAAGGCTAGTGGGGCAGAGACGACGGTGCCGTTGATCGGGCGCCAGACGTTGATTATCCGGAAACGACCTTTGAGCAACTCTTCTGCTTCAGCTTTGTCAGAGACGTGGAGGCGTACGCGCTCTGCGGCTGCGGCGGCGGATTGGTCGACGTGTGCGCGGTTCACGGGCTGTCTAGCTGCTCCAGGCCCTTGTCGACGAATCGTATGGTCGAATATCACGACCTTGTGCGCGCCGGGGACGTTGTCTAACAACAACTTCTCAACCTCAGGGTAGTACACTCTCTCCACCTCTTTATCATCATCATACGTCTGATAGCTGGTATCCGTGTGTACATCCTTGAGCACAGCGAAAGCGTTTTCGTCGAGGGTGTATTTATCCTCGGTGCCGCGGGCATCGGTTATGTTGACTTGGAAGGGGACTTCGTCGAAGTTTAGCTTTGGTGTGCCCGTGGGTGGGTCTTCGACGTAGTTGTAGAGTTGGTCGAGGGGGGTGGTGGGCCAGGGAACGACAAAGGAGATTGTTGCGTTGATGGAGCCGCGGGGGACGGGGACGTCCTCTGTTGTTTGGAGTTGAGTGGTTGTTGTTGTGGTGGTTGTTGTAGACATCGTGTGGGGTTGGGGTTGGTATGTTGGTATGATAGTGAGGTTAGTGATGCTGGTGACGATGCTGGCTGATGCGATGTTAGTGATCTCGGATGCGGTTATATATGCAGTTTACCTCGGACAATGCATTTCTAATCACTCCGCTTGTATACATGGCGTGCTTTTGGATGCAATGACGTCAGGAACTTATCAATCAACAATATCTATTGTAGAACTATACTATGTAGGTAGATACATTCTTATAAATCAAGGATACTATACTAAATCCGAAAGAGGGGAACCAATGACGCCAGCCTATCCAATGCTGATACCAACGCCAATTAAATCACTAATAGCAAAAAAAAAAAGTAAACGAAGCAATCACATAAGAAAAGGAAAACGATCACGCCTTCGTCCGCTTATTACTCGTCGTACTACCCCCCAACATCTCCGCCCGATCCCGGTCATTTCTAAGCGGATACCAATGCACCCCCATCGTAGCTGGAAAGTCTGGGTGCAACATGCTAAATCTGTGCGGATCCTGCGGCACGCCATCTACCTGCTCTGGGCCGGGTTCGAGAAGTACCTCGATTAGATTGCGGTCCACCCAGCCTGCGGGCTTGCTGTGTAGTCGTTCCATGCGCGCCCAGTCGTCTTCCATTTCTTCGTTCATTAGTGGTGGTGGTGGAGGGGCGCTGGCGTTGACTCGGGGTTGGTGGTTTGTTAGGAGGTGGTAGGGGAGATTTGGACGGATTGCTTGTTTGTCGGACAGTTCGGCGAGGGCGTTGAGGGCGCTGTTACCGTGCGTGCGGGTAGATCGTGTCGCGTGGAAGTTCTGGCTTGCCGTCCGGACCATATCAGTAGTCGGAGTGCCGTTGTCTTCCTGTCCGGTATGGTCCCCTGTGCCAGACGCATCATCCGCATCGGTATTATTGCTCGTTCCAACACCCCCTTGTTCCCCCCGCTTGGAAGTCGAGAAGAAGTGTATCGTAGCAATATGAGCCAAATTGGCATGCGAACTGAGCTCCTTATCCGTGAACAACGATTGCAGCGAATAGCTAGGCGGCGGCTGATGCTGCGCAGTACTAGCCTTGGCCCGCTCCACAGAACCTGCATCCCGCACCGGCGAGCCCACATCATCCTCAGGAGCCTTCCGCTTCCTCTTATTTAAGACCTCCGATCCAATCCCGTTGCCCAATTCATCCAAATCCATGCGGTGACGGGTATGTCTAGTCTTGCGATTCCCATGGACCCCACCAGGACTAGCCGGGTTGGTAATACTGAACTGGTTCGGATGAAGGAGCAGCGAATTGGTATCCGCGATGTCTAATTGCTCCTTTTCCCTCATCAACCGACCTTTCTTCCCAGTGATCGTCTGTACCAACCGTTCCCGCAGCGTCGATGACAGATTATTATATTCTTCAGCGGCGAAATGATTCCGAAACGCATATTCCCGACGAAATCGCTCAAGGTTGTTTTCATGGCGGTGCTATAATAACAAATTAGCCTCACCTCACAAACAACGAGCAATAAAAAAAAAAAAAAAAAAAAAAAAAAAAAAAAAAAAAAAAAAAAAAAGAAAGAAAGGAAACCTACCACCAACATAGCTAACTCTCCATCCCTCTCCTCCTTGACCCCATTAACCTCTTGCACAAACCTTGAATACCACATCCCCGACAACCCTGCCATCTCCCTCCCAAAAACCCCCCCGCCCACAGTCCCTTCCACCAGCCTGGCAACCTCCTCCGCCGAATCCGGCAGCGGCCCTGGCACATAGGGGTCCGCGTTGTTGATCAGCGTCATGTCGCACTGCAAGGCATGTAGCTGCTGGCGGAACTGGGCATCGCGGTTCTGGGAGAAGGATGCGGTAAGGTCTTGGAGGCGCTCTTGGAGGGCGCTGCGGCGTTTGTCACGTTTGGAGACTGGGGGGTTGCCGTTGTTTGCGTTGATGTTGGCAGTTGTAGTTGTGGTGGTGGTTGGGGGTGCGTTTGCGTTTGCGTTTGCGTTTGTAGGTGGTGGGCTAGGGGATTGACCTCCTCGATGGGAGTGGATTGGAGGGAAGGGATGCATTGCTCCGGGTCCAGAGGTAGGTGATGTTGGGGCCGGTGAGTAGGCCATTGTCGTCCTCTTCTCTCTTAGTCCGATCCGTCAGCGACAGCGCTAAAACTGTAAACCAAGTAGAAAAAGAAAAATGATATGAGACACAGATCCAAAATGCGTCTTTGCAAGTATGCCCAAGTAAGAACCAGCAGAAACAAACACACAGACGAGTAAACGGGGAGATCACAGAAAGCGAAGCGAAAGAAACACTCGCGATGGAGGCGGATTTCCCCCGATGCGGAATGGTGCTGGCAGTATTTTACCGCCCACATGATGTTGTTTTTTTTTTTTTTCCTTTTTTTTCTCCCATCGCTGTCCTACAAACTTAATGAGATTTTGAATGATTACGAGAAAATCAAAATATTCGTTCAATTACCATCAAGCATAAGCCAACATAACATACACCTACAAGATATCTGACGCCGCCGTATGTCTCCAAGACTACTCCGCTCCGAACAACTCCGGGTCTACAAACACAAACAATCTCATCAAATATCTGTCATTGAATAGCAATCATACAATAAGTCTGTAGTAGTAGTCTGTAGTATCAGTATCATCAATCTTATCATACATATCCATACCAAATCAATAAACCTGTCCGTAACTGTCTAGTCAAATCGGACCCATTGTATACACCTGAATAGAGAAACCATGCCAAACACCTGCCCGTGACACCATAAAACAAGAAAAAGGGTATTCATGTCCAAACCGCAGACGCAGGCGCAAAAAAGGAAGATTAAAAAAAAAAAAAATGCTGAATCAATCATATCCGTTCCAGGGTCCAGCCACCAGTGAAACTCCAACCCTCCGTGCGCCGTCAGGTTCGTACCGTATGAAGCAGTAATAAAATCAGCAAGAAATTAAATCGAAAAATGCAAAGAAAAGTGGGAGACGAAAAGAATCACTGTGATCTCCGAATCACAAAAACACCAAGTTCAACCCCATCCTGGTGCTCATTCTCCTCACCATAAGGCCGTCTGCGAATGCCATCGAGAATATCACCCAGCAGCATCGCCGAGGTAACTTCCTTATCGGCCAAGAACATATTCGAAGACGTGCTAGTCTTGTTGACAGGCAGTCGACGACCGTTCTGCCAGTACAAGCTGAGCACTTCCTTCATTCGGGCTTTCTCTTGGTGAATGTACCATTCTGTCCAGAGATTGCGGTCCAAATGAGCGTTGCCCTTGCGTGCATCGACAACACTGAACTTTGAAGACTGTGCACTCAGGTCCTCGCATAGTTGGGATAGGTTTGACTTCATCGTTTCAAAGTCATCCATTTGCGAGACAGACGCCAGTCGGCCTAGGGAACGGGAAACATCGGCTGATAGCTCGTTCACTACTACAAGTTGTCGCAGAAGCGGGTCAAGGATTGGACCGAGGTACTGCGACTTGAAAGTAGAACCACCACGCTTGGTGGGATAGATGAACAGGAGCGAACCACCGTTAGGGGAAAGCTCACAAATCCGGTCGACCAGGTACGATGGACGGCTGGACGAGAAGAGATCTTTGTGTTCTTGAGAGGATGACGGTGGGAGATACCGCTCCAGAACAGAAAGTTGGACCGTGTGCGGCGGTACCACGGGCATGGGCCAGTGCGATTCCTGTATCCCAAGAACAGGGCCCCGGAAGTCATGGTACGTCGACACCACGGCCGCATTAGAAAAAATGGTGGAGTTGAAGTAATCCTCGCCGGCAGAGAGCGGGGTACTTGGCGGAGAAGTGGGAAGGTTGGAGAGACTGAATTGCTCCGGAACGGCATGGGTAATATTAATATAGGGAGATTGACCTTGTTGCATATGATTCTGAACAGCCTGTACCATAGCAGAAAACACGCTGTCATGGGTAGGAAGAGTAACCGATTTATCCGAAGCACGAGGGTACGGCAGCGTCTGGGATACAATCTTGACTGCTTCCCCACGTCCGTTAAAAAATGGGAGTTCCGAGACTAATTCGTTAGAAACTTCAACTCGACCCAAGGTAGAGGAGGGTACCTACTCGCAGCATCAATTCCATTCTCCAACCACGTATGATAATCAACATCCATCTCCGTCGATCCCGGACTAGCCGCAGCACTAGACAACTGATCCGACGGGCTACTCAATCCATCAACCGTAAACGGTGGGCGAGCATTGTCCATATTCATATTGATATTCACATTCGCGTTCGGGCCTTGATCCAAGGGCTGGTCCAAACCTGGCCCTTGAACCTGGTTGATCTGTGGCTCGAGCAAAAGCATCCCGGCCTTGGGGTTCCACTCCACGTGGTAATCGTGCTCGTCCGGAGGCGTCGGGGGAAGAGCGGAAGGGTATTCCCCTTTCCAGATAGCGGGGGAGGAATTCGGCGAGGGGGGAGAGGAAGAAGGTGTAGAGGGAGCGGCGGAAAGACGGATTTGTGAATCGACGGAGAGGGTTCGAGAACCGGGTCCGGAAGCGCGGGAGAGGAAGCGGGAGACAGAGGAGGGCTTTGTGAGGATAGAGCCTTGCGAGGCTCGACGTTTGAGGTTTCTTCGGGGGGATTGGGATTGCTGTTGTGGTTGTGGTTGTTGGGCTACAGAAGCACACGGGGAGGTCGGTGACGAAGAGACGATGGGGCTTTCTGGTAGCATAGAGAAGGGTCGAAAAGGGCCATGGCACTGCAAGTGATGCATGGGCGTGGATGAAGAGAGGTGGAAGGCGACGTAGAGACGAGGGAGGATTAGACAGCCATAAGTCGATAGCCGAAATGTTAAGCCGAGTCGATGTGGAATCGGGATGTTTCGAGATGAGACGATACGACACCGATTGTATAGAAAATGTGGAAAGAGTGAGAGAGAGTAAGAGAGTGTGGGAAAGAGAGAGAATATGAAAGAGGAAGAGAGATGAGAGAGAGGGAGAGGGAGAGATGAAAGAGAGGAATGACGCCGGGTCAGTCGCAGCCAGACAAGCAGACCCAAGGATCCTACAGCCTGGCATCGGTCTAGACCGGCAGTCATGGTCAGAGATATTCACTACTATACCACTATACTACTGCTGCCACTACTATAATCAGTCGATATGCCTATTACCTCTATTTCTATATCTATTCACCCACACACATAAACACGCTCTATTCCAACAGTATCATAATATCCTCTCTCTCAACATCCTGTCCAATATTCCCAATCCGGCTAGTCGCATTCGCCGCGCCCAGACCCCACCGGCCAGTCTAGACCCGGGGTGTTCTGTCAATTTATTGGCTCTAGTGGCTGGACCCGACCCGCCCACGAGGCAATACTTTTTTCACTGAGATTTTACTTGTACCGAGTGCAGAGTATATAATAGTAGAGTAGTTGTAATATATAGATATAGATACAGACCACTATATATGTAATATATCCTACAGAAGTAGATTCTACAGAATGGATGCAGTTCTTTACTCACAGTACCTGTACGTGTACATGTACAAACTTGGCCTTGGCAGTCACGCTGACGTCGAGATCGATCCCTAGAAATCTCCGTCGGGGCCACCATCTGGCCAGACCCAGATCCAGCGAGCCCTTCCACTGGTCCGTCCTCTACGAGAATCATATCACATGACTGTTCTCTGAACCCTTCTCTTTCCATGGTTTCCATGCATTTCCAGCACTCAATGGCACGACTCAATTGGTGGACGCGCTGTCTCGGAGTAATTGGACACCAGCGAAACTGATCCAGTTTCACGGTCCGTCTGGAATTAATGGATGGCGATGTTGGGCCCAATGTTGGGCCCGGATCATGAATCGGTGGCGGATTTGCAGACTCTTCTGGAACCGATCCATAGAATATGTGAGTGCGTTTGTGGGTAGGGCATTGATCTCGGAAATTAAGCTCGATCATTCCATGCGAGATTATCTCATCATCTTTTGCCCACGGCCCTTCCATTCGTTCCAGCACATGTAGCAGACTGCGTGTCACCATTGACCAGCGTAGTACGGTCCATGGCCTGGTGAAACGAGTCTGCGGAGATAATCATGCCTGGCCAACCCAACTCGGCCGGACCGGGCTGCGATGACACGCGGAACGCCGGAACGGATCACATCGTGTGGCTGGTCTGGTTCTTCTCGTCGGGCGCAGTTCGGTTGTGGTAGGGTTGAACGAGTACGATTTCTCGTGCAGAATGTCCATTGGAGTGGTAGATGCTCCGAGTCGATTGCCGTGTTGGTGATTTTGTAAGGGAGCGGGATCCGCGTAGCCGAGTATGACTCGATGCCGGCTAGGTGGTCAGGGACTTTTCTATTTCAATAGAAAAGGATGGGGATGGGCTTACAGATTGCCCAATAGAAGTACGTTTAAGTCACTGGGACGCAGATGGACACGGCGTTCCAGCCGCTGAAATCGACCACCACGGATGTGCCTAGTATGCCCAGGCCAAGGACGATTAGTGGGTATAAGATGACCATTGTGACTAGACCGAGTTCGATGAAGATATTCAATCCTTTCAAAGTCACGTCCCATTGGTGAGTGCGAGAGAACTTGTTGTTCGCATGCCGCTTCCATAGACTAACCTGCACCAACGCAAGAAACACAAAACAAGCCAGCGAAACCGCAGGAGGAGGCGTATCTTCCACCATCGATTTCCTATACGTATATTTATCCTCAAACGCACAGCAGATCAGCGGCGGTGGTTGTCCACCGCACTCAAACACCGTATTCTCCGACAACGCAAGACTATCCGGCTTCAGGTCCCAATGACTGCCCATCGAGAACGTGGCATAGATAGTAACACGGTAATAGTAGAGTAGAATAAAGTGTACCACAACTCCATGTCTAGTCTACAGCAGCCACAGTCCAAAGGTGATGGGGACGTTGGCTCCGAGTGCCACGCATCTGGTTGTTAAGATGTCCCTCACGAGCTGGAGTAGATTGCTAGCATCGAAAATGTCAGGGGTTCTGGACAGTGCTAGAATAGAGGCGAGTTTGATGGCTATCACGAAGTAGCATTAGGTTTCTTGGAACTCGACTAGGACGAAGCGGCTATCAGGTGATGTTTGGCGGTTTTTTCTAGGAGCTGGGCACGTATTCGATTGCGATAGGCCTTCTTTGAACAGAACTCCCCAAACAAGCCAGTCAAAAAATTACAAGTCACAGGAAGTCGAATACCCGTACAATTAACCGAATATATAAAACTATGCTCGTCTGCATAGCATATGATATCAAAGTCTATATTCTTCATTAGCTTAATTTATATAAATTCTATTAAGATACGAAAAATAAACCCCCAGCCCTGCAATATCTGCATTAGGCTCCAAAGACAACCCATACCCTTCTTTACCATACTTCTCAAGACGTATGCAGTCAGCCGTCGCATTGCAGTACCTGACTATACATTCGTAAATTACTTGGACAAAGTGGCTGTTGAATGGCAGAGAAGCCACTGAAACATCGTCTGTGGTGTTGCCTAGGGAGTAGAAAACAGCTGGAAAAGGTGCGAAAGTTGAGGAAGGTGTATTGGGGGTCTAGGCATGGTGTATTATCCATGATTTTCGTTATCATTTGCGGCGGTCATGAGGGAGGTTGGTTTAGGGATAATTGTGTTCTTTATGTGTCTCGTATGGCTGAGGCTGATCGTCGCTTCATGATGGCAGCTGGTGATAATAGGATGGTACAAGCATAGGGAACCGGCAAGTGATAAGATTGAAAAACAGATGGAGCTCAATTGATGATTTATCACCCGTATTAGGTATAGACTAGTCTACGGCAGTTCGCGCCTACAGCGGGATATTGGTAGATGGAGTAGAAGAATATTTTGTAGGTTATTATTATTGTGATTACTGATATTAGACAATTAGGTATGTAGGTAGAGTTTTTACCGGAACTGAAAACAATTCAGATCCTCGCGACCATGGTCGCTGTCGTGTCTCGTTAAGAGAACTTCCTCCACACTTCTGATGTCGTGCTGCCCGTATCGACGCAGGGGTTGCAGTCTCAGATGCTGCGTGTCGACGTGTGGTCATTGAGTTGCTTCAATGAGACGGAAGCGTGGGAGACGGACCGAGAAACGAAGAATATCGACCCAGTCGATACGTCGGTCTCCGAGTCGGTGCTCGCTGCGTAGGCTTAGGATGGTGCCTTGCATATTTCGGAAGCGAGTATGTTGTGAAGCCGTGCCATTGACGACTTTGGCAAAGGAGTTATAAGAATAGCAAGCAAGACCAAAAGTGGTCTCGCGCGCAAATGATTCACGTCATGTTTCTTCTCCGAGAGTCAACGCTGCGGACATGGAATCGCTGGTGACGGCGGCTTTGCATGAAGCAGTTGTTCATCTTAAGACGCTTTTGGTCTTCGGCAGCAACTGGCACTTGCTTCCAGGCACAGTTGGTCTGCTTAACGGTGTGTACTTGGGTTTGCGACTGTTCAAACTCCTGCTGCTCTGCGGTAGACTGCAGATCCAGACACTGCATCGCCAGCTGCTTGACCCCGTCGGTCAGGCTGCAGGCACGGTATTCAATCTCGGGCCAGAAGTCGTCTCCCCAGAAGGTATCCTCGCGAACAGCAGTCTCCAACGTCTCGAGCCAAAAGTCGAAGGACGGAAGACGTCTCTTTCCAACAGGCACGTCGTGGCCCTGGAGGTGACCGGAAAGGAGGCACGCAACCGCGATGAATCTGATGGTGGGTTCGGAGTGCATCACATGCAGCACAATGCAGGCGGGGCAACGTTCAGTCAGGTACCAATCATGCTCCTCGCTCAGGATGCAGTGCAGCCATGCATATGCACTGCGGGCTTCGCCCTTGAAAGCGCGTTCAGGCTCAGTGGCGCGCGAGCTGGGGAGGACACTAGTCGCAATACGCGAGGCCTGGGTGTGCAGGAGGAATAAGGGGACGAGGAGGGTGTGGATGATGTCGCGGTGGAGACGGAAAGACTCTTGGTCTTGGTGGGAGCAGGAGTCGCGATGGTGAGAGCAAAAGCTGTACAATATTAGCATCCAGCCATCCCTTCTGTACGGCGCAATGCTTACCTAGGAGCATCCATTCCCAATTCCTGGCGGCGCAAGTGTTCCCTCACCGCAGTGAAGGCATTGTTGTTTGCCAGGTCCTCCAGGTGCTTCCTGGGGATCTGAAACGGCGAGACGATCCCAGTCGACATGGTGAATCCTCTTTAATTGTGCAGTAATATTGTATTCTTCAGGTAGTTTTATAAGAAACGAATGACGGCGATGGTGACGTCCGCGACGAAAATGGAAACCGAGGGTTGGCCAATTAGAGACGAATGGCAAGATGTCGAATACCGTTGGGGACGGACAGAACCACGGATGGCATCATTCGGATACGAGTGATGAGCAAACGAACGTTGGAGGAATACGGATTATAAGAACCTCGAATGGTGAAACCAAAAGGAGTCAAAAGAAAAGGGACTAGAATCGCGATGGAAAAAGCGCGGACAAAGCACTATTTAAACTAGCAACTAGTGTGTACTGCGTAGTATGTGCACAGTGGCCGAAAGCGGCCCGTCAGGTGAGGCACGTCATCCACGCAAGCCTCGCTGATCATTACACGGGCGTCGTTTCACTTTTGCGTGGTGTGACGGTGATATTACCAACGTTACCGTACCTATTCCTGATTAGGAGACTGTAGCGGAAATTGAAGGAGGATCTCATTGGACAATTAAGGGGCATAAATTTTGTCAGTGGGGTCGGAACTTACGAACGCTTGTGGGGCTTCAGGGTCTGGTCGGGTCTTTTTGCGTTTGTTAAAATTACAGTATTTTATTTTTGGACCCTTATCCTATGTACTCCTGGACAATAGAGTAACAGTAGTAGTGACGGTGGTAGTATACTCCTATTTGTATAGTTATTCTAATTATACAGTGGCAACCTATTAATATTTACTACCCCGTACTATTACTCCGTACTTTTATTGCCTGACTGTGCGGAGGCGTCCGTGGACATTCCAAAAACAAGAATTCAACTGCCGATCGATCAAGTTTGCTGGTGGACGATAATAATTAATGCCATCACGCTTGGGCTGGGGACGATCGCGATTTCAGGGGTCAGCCCGACGACCGCTTTTACTATATCTGGTTTGGCGTTGATGCCTCAGGCACAAGTCATGTGACTTTGTACCAGACACCCAGATTCCAGGTTATCCAGGTTATCCATACCTCAACTTCACTTGTATTGTCATGGTTATGTCCGGTATCTAGTTATGAAACCAATACTCCATAATAGATACTGTTGAAAATGAGCCTGAATGAATCTGACTGGACCTGACTGGACCTGACTGAAACGATACTCATACAAACAGCAGCCAGTGTCTCCATAGTGAGCGATATATCGAGAACACAAGTATCACCACTACCACTACATTGCCCACCACCGAGATAACCGTTTCGTAGGTGCAATCCTAGACTGCATCCTGGATGGCCCTATGAATGTGCAACGACAACTTTGTCTACATGAAACATCCGCGTTGCTCCTCCAACAGTTGCACATTACCGGGCCAAATCTCTTATTGCCTCGGATTCCGCTTCATCTCCGATATGCAATTGGTTGCCCTCGCAGAATCGCAAACACATGGCGTTGTACTATGTATGTACCTGGTCCGAGCGGTACTCGAATTGACATCACTCAAGCATGCACAAGTAGTACCTGCCATGTACGAATATATCATGTGCATCTGCGCTGCAACTCTCCCCAGACGCGTTGGAGATGAGACACGCGAGATTGAAATGTTCTACGATGAACGCTTTACATGTACTACTACCGAAGAACCAATGCTATACAGATCTAACTATACGCAGCACAAAATGAATGTTTGTTCGGCAATTTCCATGTTCGGCTCTGCGACAGCCCTTGCTCCTTCCTTCCTGTAGTTGACTGCCCTGCCAGACATAGCAATCTGCTCCTTCCTGGAATACCATAACACGCGGAGAACTACTCCTTTTTCTCGCATTCCTCTCTTCTCCTCTCCCATCCTCTCCCATCCTCTCTCCATCCTCCCGATCTACGCACGTTTCGCAGATTTATTGGCTCCACATTGTTTCTCTACATCCTACCCCTTCCACAACGCTGAAGATCATCCTCTGATTATCAGACTCCTTCAAAATGCTCTCTTCTCTGGCCTCGTGGTCCACGGCGTCGCTGCTTCTCGCGGGTCTTGTCCCGACTGCCCATGCTGCTGTTGACAAGATCAACGCCGTTGGTTCCAAGTTCTTCTACGAGAATGGCACTCAGTACTACATGAAAGGTGATGATCGTCCTGCCAACCTCTGACATGATCTACCTGCTGACCGCTCCAGGCATCGCCTATCAGCTCGTCCCCGATGATCCGCTCATTGACACGGATCAGTGCAAACGCGACATCACTCGCATGTCCGAGTTGGGCGTCAACGGCATCCGAGTCTACCATGTCGATCCCACTGCCGATCACACTGGTTGCATGAAGGCGTTTGCGGATGCGGGCATCTATTTGTTTGTCGATCTCGACACCTTTGACACCCAGATCGAGCAGGTACGCTGTTTGCAAGTCTGATTCTCCACTTGCGCAGCCAGCTAACGAATCAGACCCACCCCGAGTGGACTCAGAGACAGTTTGACCGATTCAAGGCTGTCCTAGATGAGTTCCAAAGGTTCGACAACACCGGTGGCGTCTTTGTCGGCAACGAGGTCATCACGACCAAGGAGGGATCCGCCGCAGCTCCGTATGTCCTGGCCGCGGCCCGTGATATCAAGGCTTATCGCGACCACAAGGGGTACCGTCCGGTCCCCGTCGGATACTCTGCCGCGGATATCGCCGAACTCCGTCCCATGCTCCAGGAATACCTGGCTTGTCGCAAGGATTCTCGTGATCGTCTGGACTTTTTCGGACTGAACGCCTACGAGTGGTGTGGTGCCTCGGGCTACATCCAGTCTGGTTACAATATGCTCCAGAAGAATGCCTCGAACTATCCGATCCCCATTTTCTTCTCCGAAACTGGCTGCAACACTCATCGTCCCCGCACGTTTGAGGACCAAGCGGCCATCTTTGGTCATGAGATGGGAGACACCTGGTCCGGCTCCATTGTCTATGAGTGGATCGAGGAGACCAATGACTACGGTTTGATTAGCTACGGGCCCTCTGTGAAGGGTGCCGCTCCGACCAATACTCTGATCCAGGACGGCTTCACCCGCAAGGGCACGCCGACACCAGTTCAGCCGGACTTTGACAACCTCAAGAAGCAGTGGGCCACCTTGCACCCGACTGGTATTGCTCTTGCGGAGTACGCCAAGTCGACCGCGACCATCACCCCGCCCCAGTGTCCGTCGTCGACTGCTGGTGGTTGGTCCGTGGATCCCAGCGCTCCCCTTCCTACTCTGGGTCAGACGTATAGTGCGACAGCTACTAGCCGCACCTCCGGGACCTCCCGCGAGACTGCTACTGCTAGTGTCACGGTTTCAGCTACGTCGTCTGCAGCCGCAGCCACACCCTCCAAGGAGAATGGCGGTCGTGCTGTGGAAGTTGATATGTTGATGCTGGGTTTGGTTGGAGCGGTAGCTTGGTGGCTATAGTTTCGTGTTTGTACGGATATGATGATGGTATGATCATGCACTTTTATTCTCGTGTCATCTTTTATTGTGTGGCGTCTGTATGCAATGTTACGAGCCGTGTGTTTTGTATTTTATGAGCCGTAATACCCATTGGCATAATTCATTCCTTGATTCGTCATTTTACAAAGTCATGATTATTGTAATAAGACACCGACACAAGTTGCGTTGTCACTCTGGATGCCATCCACCACTTGGTCTATCACTTCTCTAACAACCGCCTCTCCTCTTATTCCGCTGGTGAATCCCTTGGCCAGCATCTGAATAAACCCCTCATCATCTACATTCGGGCTATCACTGACGCCATCCGACACCAGTGCCAAGACGTACTTTTTCCCTTGGTCAAGGTTGATACGGGTAATATCCGGCTCAGAGGAGAGGAGGTCGCCTTGCTTCTTGGATGGTTCCACCCCCGCACGAGCTTGCTCTCTCGTAAGAGGAGTTTCCTCGTTAGTGTCTGGATTCGTGGCGGAGAGATTCGTAAAGGGTGTTTTGTATTCAAGGTCACCAAGGGCGCGGGACATGTTTAGTGCTCCTGCATTAATTAGCCATCGTTGTTTTTTTTTTTTTATAAGTGGATGTATGAGAAGGGGCAAGGAGGAGTACCAATCCGGGGTATCTCATGCTGGTCCTGGAGAACTGTCCCGCCTGCATTTTCGATACGTTGTTTTTCGTCGGGGGAGGAGGGTTTATGGGATTTTGTTAGACATTTCTATACATTATATATTAGCATCTCACCACCCACCTATATATAAATACGAAGAGTGTAGCAACATACCACATCCTCAACCTGATCCCCACTATCCAGCGTACCCAGGAAAACCTTCGAATCCCCCATATTGCCGGTAAAAAGGGTCCCACTTTTTAAATCGAGTAATACAAGTGCTAGCGTTGACCCAGCGAATGCGTATTCTTCTTCGCCGTCTTTAAACGCTTGGACTATTTGTTCTTCTTCGGAGGATATGGCGGATTTTATCGCGCTTTCGTAACTCTCCGGGTTCAAGGCCGAGGATGTTAGGGATTGAGTTAGGAGGGAGGGAAGGTGCTGGGAGGCGTGTTTTGAGACAATTCCTGAGCCACTACCCCCGTCAGCCTTTAATTGGATCGCGTTATATAGTGGTAGGGAAAGGTTGGTAAAGACGGGCAAGGAACGTACTGCCCATCATAAACCGCAAACAGTGCAAGATTATTATCGGCCTTGGGAAGGAATTGTTCTGGGGGGAGGATGGTGTATGCGTCTTGTTGGGAGGGCCGGGTTCCTTTTGCCTGTCGTATTGGTTTTATTAGTATTCGTTTTATATGTTGTTTGACGGATAGAGGGGGGAGTACGGTTGCAGCGCCGAGGGCTTGGATTGTGGGCATTTCGAGTTCAAAGTTCAATCGGGTGGTTCGGTGCTTGGTTAGTATTGGGTGTTGGTGTTGGTGGTAAGATAAGGTACTGCCATTGAGTAGAACTACGGGATACCGATGATTATATCCAACCCTGATTATAGTAGGTGACGTGAATGCATCATTGGAGACTCCGATAAGATTAAATAAACTTGATTTTCACTATCATTGCTTTGATAGTAGTTAGTATGCCCTAATACGTCATTGTTACATATCCGATGGATGTGGAGATGTGGAGAACTCTATATATATACTCCGGAGTATACATGTATGTATGTCTATTGAACATTATCACATAGCTATTAACAAAAAGCTGCACACCGTACTGGGATATATAAAAATCAATCACAAAACAATCAGAACAACAACGCCGCAAAAACAACTCCAGCAACACCCACTACCAATTCCCGACCAACCTCAACCCTTGCCGCTTTCCCAGCAGATGACGACGAACCCGGCGTTGCAGAAGAAGATGGCGTATCTATGCCATCACTGCTAGCAGAAGCAACCCACACTGGCGACCAGGGAGTTGTCTCCGTGTTGGCGGAGGTCGTGCTTGTTGTAGATGAGGACGAGGAGGAAGTGGTGTAGGTTGTTATTTGGGATTCGGTGGCGGAAGAGAGGGAGATGAGGGTGTATGTTGACTCGGGTTGGTCGGACTCAGACAGTGAAGGGTCCAGGCTAATAGTCGATTTGGAAAGTGTAGTTGGAGTAGCAGGAGGAGTAGTCTCGCATGAAGTGCAGATAGTCGAGGTAGAGGTTTGGATAAAGGTAGAGATAGAGCCAAGCACTGAAGTTAAGAAAAACTGCTGATACGGTATGTACCAAGTCTTAGGGACGCTAGTCGTAGTCTCATAAGTAACCAGCGTAATGTCATCATATTCATCATCGTCATCGGGGGAAGATACGGCATCTCGAGCAGATAAGAGCGAGGAGACTGGCGTTGGGGTTGGTGTCGCGACTGGCATTGAAGCTGGTACCCAAGCACGTGTTGAAACGGGCGTAGAACTCGACAGGAAAGCCGGGGTAGCCGGGTTAGATGAAAATGTCGAAACAGCAACTGAAGTCCATGAGGAAGCCGGTAGCGATGAACTAAATTCACTCTGGCAAGTCGTGCAAGTAGTGGAATTCGATGTCATTGTCAGAGTAGACATAGTATTAAAGACAGAGGTAACAGAACTTCCGCTAGATGAGTAGGTGGAAGTAATCGGACAGGCAGTGACTGTTTCATAAGTGACTAACGTGACAGTAGCTTCTTCGCTAGACTCGACTGGAGTAGAGGAGGCTGCCACAGAGGAGGCCGATTCAGAAGAGATCAATACCGATGAAGTAGGCCGTGGCATTGACGACGCAGGAACCGAAACCGGTACCGAAGTAGGCGCAACACTGCTGTCCGAACAAGCCGTACAAACAGTCAAAGTTGATGTCAGGGTCTGTGTAGACACAGTACTAAGCACAGATGTGACAGAAGTTCCGCCAGATGAATAGGTGGAGGTAATCGGACAGGTAGTAACGGTTTCATAAGTAACCAACGTGGTAGTTGCTTCCTCGGTAGATGCAGCTGGTGCAGAGGAGGCTGCCGCAGACGAGACTGCTGCAGAAGAGATCAATACCGATGAAGTAGGCTGTGGCCTCGGCGACGCGGGAGCCGAAACCGGTACCGAAGTAGACGCAGCACTGCTCTCCAAACAAGCCGTACAAACAGTAGATGTAGAAGTCAACGTCTGAGTGGACACAGTACTAAACACAGACGTGAAAGAGCTTCCTCCAGATGAATAAGTCGACGTAATCGGGCAGGTAGTCACGGTTTCATAAGTAACCAGTGTGGTAGTTTCTTCAGTAGATGAGACTGGTGCTGATGAACTTGATGAAGCCGGTATAGATGGAACCGGGATAACAGAGATTCCTTCTGCTTCTGATGAAGATGGGCTTGGTGATGGGGTCGGTGTAACAGAGGTAGATGCAGCGGCAACGCTGCTTTCACATGCAGTACAGACAGTTGAAGTTGATGTCAAGGTCTGTGTAGATAAAGTAGTAAACACGGATGTGAAAGAGCTTCCTCCTGATGAATAGGTAGATGTAATGGGGCACGTAGTGACAGTTTCATAAGTGACCAGCGTTGTAGTCGCCTCAGTAATCGTAGGCGTCCTGATCGATGACGAAGAGACCGGGTATGAAGAGATCAGTTCTGAAGAACTCGATAAAGAAGCTCGCGCAGATGAAGTTGGCCTCGGTGCTGGCACAGAAACCGCATTTGAAGTAGGCATGGCGGGGCTAGAAGCCGCAGCGACACTGCTTTCGCATGCAGTACAGACGGTCGAAGTTGATGTCAGGGTCTGCGTAGACAAGGTAGTTAATACAGACGTGAAAGAGCGTCCTCCAGAGGAGTAAGTTGATGTAATTGGGCACGTAGTCACAGTTTCATAAGTAACCAACGTTGTAGTAGCTTCCTCAGTGATGCCAATCGACGAAGAGACGGGATGTGAAGAGATCGGCCCCGAAGAAATCGAGACGGAAGCCCCTGCCGATGAAGATGGCTTTGGGGCTGGCACCGAAACTGCGATCGAAGTAGGAGTAGCAGAGGAAGGAGCTGCAGCAACACTACTTTCACACGCAGTACAGACAGTTGAAGTTGATGTCAAGGTCTGTGTAGACAAAGTAGTAAACACAGATGTGAAAGAGCTTCCTCCTGATGAGTAGGTAGAGGTAATCGGGCATGTAGTCACAGTCTCATAAGTCACCAATGTCGTAGTCCCCTCGGTAGTCAAAGGCGTGGAACTGAACGTTGTTGAAAACGCTGGTGCTGATGATGAAGGTCTGGGCGCTGACACTGAGACTGCAATTGAGGTCGGCGTGGCGGAGCTAGAAGCAGCAGCAACAGCGCTACTCTCCAGACAAGATGTGCAAACAGTAGACGTAGAGGTAAGTGTCAGCGTGGAGAGAGTACTGTACACAGAAGTCATAGAGATTCCCTCAGACGTGTAAGTAGATGTGATTGGACAAGTCGTAACAGTCTCGTACGTAACCAATGTCGTAGTCCCTTCAGTAGTAGATGCACGAGCAGAGCTGACATGAGAAGAGATATCCCAGGACGAGGGAATTGGCGCCGACGAAGCTGGTAATGAGGAAGCCGGGACCGAAACTGGTACGGACGAAATCACCGAAGTAGATGCAGGCGTAGGCATAACAGAACTGGCAGCAGCAGCACTACCAGATTCGCACGCAGTGCAAACAGTAGCCGTAGACGTCAGAGTCAGCGTCGAAAGAGTGCTATATACAGACGTCACTGCGCTTCCGCCGGAGTAATGAGTAGACGTGATTGGACAGGTTGTCACGGTCTCATAGGTGACTAGTGTCGTTGTGCCTTCTTCGGTTGAGGTTACTGGGATAATGCTGCTTGATTCCGGCGTGGGAATGATAGCGCGTGAAGAGGACATGACGGGGACGGAACTGCTTCGGGAGGGTATCGCAGGCCTTGAGGTCGAGGGGGCTGCTGAGCTGTACAAGGTGGACCTTGAAACTTCGTGAGATGGCGTGGGTGTAGGTCTGTACGTCGATGAGACCTCTGGAGTAGACTCAACAGGCACAGAAGATGCACCCCTCGATCCAACAGGAACAGACCCAGAGACAGTCTCAGTAAGCGTCGAATCAGACGGTGCCACAGATCCAATCGATGAAAAAGCGATCGAACTTGACGTTGCAACAGACGCAGACCAAGACCAAGACCCCAGTTCAATGGACATAGACGTCGATGTAACAATCTCAGACGACGTAAATGCCGATGAAGACAAAACCCAGCTAGACTCAAAGGAACTCGAACTCGTCTCTACCGGACCAACACCAGAGCCCCAACCACGCGATTCAGCAGGGGGTGTTAAAGAGCTTAAATATCCAGCACTGAGACTAGTTGACGACGCCGGACAATCCGTCACTTCCGGTCCGCAGCTGGTAATCGTAACTTCGTTCGTGGAAAACACAGTAGCATCTGAAGGTAAAGGCGAAGCAGGCGCAGACCAGCTGGACTGGAAGATAGCACTTGAACTCGTCTCCACAGGAACAGGAGTCACAGGTGTACTAGGCGCAATGCTCGATTCAGCAGCAGCGGAACTGGGAACCCCAATACTGACAGCATCTGACGAGGAGGGTATCGCAGTCGATGATGCAGGGCAATCTGGTACTTCCGGTCCACAGCTGGTAAGAGTAACCTCGTTCGTAGAAAACACAGTCGAATCGATAGGCGGAGACGCAACTTCGCTGAACGTAAAAGCACTTGAACTCGTTTCCACAGGAGCAACAGGTGTACTAGGCGCAACGATCGACTCCGCAGCAGCAGAGCTAGGCACCCCAGCATCAACACTCTCAGTCAAAGGCACCGCAGTTGATGAAGCCGGACAGTCTGGCTTTTCCGGCCCGCAGCTGGTAATAGTAACCTCGTTTGTCGAGAAGACAGTTGCGTCAAGTGGTGCCTCTGCGCCAATTTTATCGCGCGCAGATAATCCTCGCTTCGCATTAATGTAGGATTTATCAGTGCCCCAGAGCTACTTTTGTTAGATTTCCCTTCGAAGCCAGTGGGATTGAAGTAGAGCATACCAACGCGCCTGCCTGAGCCAGGACAGCAAACGAGAGAAACGGGATCAACATGGCGAAGTTCACGGTAACATGAACGATAAACCAGAATGAATCGAGCTCGTCGCGACTTGACGTCGTCTAGTTTATAGTTTTAAGAAACGATATCCCGGCTATAATAAGAAACAAAGAAAGCCGTTCTGTCTATAGGCAATGTCTTCAATTCGTAACCAAGAACAAAGCGTGCAACAAGCAGAGCCACAGAACCACCAAGGACAGAAAAAGGAGCAAACAAAAGAGACAATGCAGGAACACACCTTCTTAAAACATCTCCCTCACATCAAACCTCGCCACAGACTTAGCCCAGTCAAGCATCCAGCCCGACCAATCCAACCTAGCCCTGTACGCTTGTGCACTACACTGCATACCCGAAGAACCAAACCACCTTTCTCCAGAGCACCACCCAATAAAACATACAGAATCAAGTGCAAGCAGGTACAATCACAACCCCACCCGGCGCCAAGTCTATTTTTGACCTTTGCGTTGAACATTTCTATGATTCGCGGGTTTGAGGGACAATAGACGGTCATTCGTCGACAGGTGGAATATTAGGAGGGTCTGGACAGTTCTCTTTCTTTCTTTTTTGTTATCCGTTCTTGTTAATGGGTTCATTATATGGTCGGCGCTTAAAGAAGTTTTTTTTTTTTTTTTCTCATATGAAGCAGGATTCGGGTGTACTCCGGTGTATGTGCTGTGGTTTTGCTCTAAGCGCCGGATCGACAGAGGGCGCGTGGGACTATACACGTTGCCAAGAAGAGAGGCCCGGCGCTAAGAATAGAATTGACTTTTGCGACTTCAAGTACAGAGTAAGTGGTAATGAAGTATATGGTTCTATTGTTGTAGGTAGAGGTGATGGAGGTGAAGACGACGGTGGTGGTCTAGGTAGAAATAGACCCTCGGGTGACTATATGGACTTAACACATCCGTCCCGTACTATTCTACTTGTACTTAATTGACCCACTTGCACTAGACCGGCGCTTCATGGTGAAACCTGATTAGCACTAACCTATCACCATATTCTACTAATGCATAAACCTCGCAGGATCACATTGTTTGTAGGGTCCTGCACTAAGCTCACTACGCACAAATGCATAACTTTTTAACGTGATTGCTATGTTCATCATGGACGTGACATCAGAGAAAATATCAAACAAGCCCCCCATAAACCCCGAGGTATATCCCCTTGTTCCAGAAAACGCATAAAAACAGCAAAACACCGACTCCAAAACGCATAGGTCATCGAATTATCTCTGTTTTCCATCACCATCAATAAATTCGGACCAAGGTGTCATATCCCCGAAAGCGGAGGAACCATGAAAATAAATAAGAAAGATAACCCCATAAATAGCGAAAAATGGCGAAGGTACAGCCAGATGCAATTCTAAAAGTCTTGCTTTATCAAAACACAACTCCCGACGAGAGATGCAAATCGTATGCGAGGTTGATTCTACCCGAAAATCATAAAAATAATTAAAACGGAAGGTGGTTGCGACGGTGCGCGTCCATCAGCTTTCGCCGGACGGCGTCACCCGTGTTACCGTTTCTGCGCTTCCGCGTGGGAGTGCGTTGGTCTGCCAAACGAGCATGTCGGAACACGCTAGCGGGTCGGGCAGGGGAGTTGGCAGGCATGAATTCACGGTGTTGCGGAAGACGCAGCAATGCCTGATACCGGTTGTGGTTGCGACGGAACGCTGTCACAATACCCCGGTCGAGGTGGTTCAAGAACCGCTCCGCACTGTTCGTCTGCTGCTGCGTTTCGGCCGTCCGCGTTGGCGTGGGACTCCCCGCGTCGACCATCGGGACATGGTTGGTGACAGCAGGGGAAGTAAGGTCATCTTCGAATTGCTTCTCCTCCATATCCTCATCGGACGAGCCGTCACCAAAGTCAATGAAGTCATTGACGTTCAAAGCCGATTCTGGATCTTCATCGTCGTCATCCTCAAATGACGAATCAATGGTGATGTCTTGCGAAGGGTAAAAAGCCTCCGGAGGACCCATAACCTGACCACCCGGAGCGAGGTCGTTACCCAGTGCGGTCATCATCAGGTTGGCACCAGAGGCCAACATGGGACTGAAATCAGCATGGTTAGGAGAGGCCAGGGCATCCGTGTCACTCTCATCGATGATCTGCATCGTGGTGGCACGGGGACTATTGTTCGCCGTGCCCGGCATACTGTTACTGGTCGACTCTAGCCAGTCATGACGAGAGGAGGCATAAGCTGGAATGATGACGAGATGCTTGCCGGTGCAGTCCACAAGAGCCACCGGTTTGTGGGGATCTGGCACAAATGATCCCATGAGAGGACCCCGCCGGCGTGTTGTTGACTCATTGTTCTCGTCTGCGGGAGGAGCAAGGGAAGCCGATGAGTCACGGCGCAAAATGGACCGGGGATGTGTAATGGTGGCCGGCGGAGGCAAGTCTTCATCTGTAGTCTCGCCATCATCGGCTGTTGCGAAGGGAATTCAGTCAGCACAAACAGAAAGGACGGTGTGGTGTGTGTGATCGTCATACTCTCATAACCACTGGACTCCGACTTCTCATCAACAGCGTCAGACTCGACGTGGTAAATGTTGGAATGGCCATAGTCGGACTCGCCAAACATGTCGTCATTTGACATCCGACGTCGGTTCTGCTTGCCTGTGTTTTCATTGTCGTGCTCAATCATACGGCGCAACTGGGGGTCTAGACTGTCCTGTTGGAGGAAATCACCGGGGACCTCGTCCTCGGTATGCGAGTCGCTGTCGGACGAGGACTCGGACTGGGCTTCAAAGTGTACATGGCGGGGTACTTGCATTGGGGTCTCAATGGCCTCGCTGGCCAGATCAGTCTCACCAAAGTTCTCCATGGCGCTGTAGAGCTGATCCTCATCAAAGAACGAAGTCCCTGTGAGCAACATGTGATCGTCGAAGATGTTGGTGGGGCCAGCCCAGGTCTCAGCATCCCCCACATCCACCGTCGACAGCAAGTTACCAATGTGGCTCTCGCTTTCCGACTCGAGGATCATCATCTCCTCCAGCTTCTCCATGTCTTGGTCCTCGCCGTCCCCATCCGAGATGTAGTCAACTGCGGCGTAGACATCATCGGAGCTGTCCTCTGAATCATTGTCATCATCATAAAGTTCGTCATCTGATATCCTTGCGGTCTTCTTCTTCTTCGTAGTTTGTTTCTTATTCCGATTGTTAATGGTCTTCTTCGCGGGTTCAGGGGCCGATTTCCGGCCCTTGTCCTTGTGGTAGGCGGGGGCCGGCGGGTCTTCCTCATCATCTGCATCGTCCTCTGACGAATTGTCTGGGGCATCACTGAGATCCTCCACGGATGATACCGAAGACACACTGGATACTGAAGAGGACGCCCGTCGTTTTCTATCTCCGCTCAATGGTCCAACGGAAAGAGATTTGCCCGCTCTCCGGGGAGGGGCCTTGGATTTGTGATGCATGTTGTATATGTATTGTTCCTTTGTTCGTTGTAGGATAGGGGGGGATCAAGATAAGGTTGAAGGGATCGGGTTATGAACAAAGTTTTTGTCAACCGTCAATCTGGCGTCAATTGCGTAAGAGATTCAATCGTTGGGTATGTCGTCGGCCCAAATAAGAATAAAGGAAGAGAATGCCGTGATCGTATGAGAGGAATTGAGAGGGTAACCGGTTGAGGACAAAGAGGAGGACAAAGAGGAGCAGGAAGAGGGGCGGGTGGATAAGTGATGTACGTGGTGAATAATTTTTTTTTTTTTGGCTGTCGGAAAAAAGCACCTCACAGGGCCCGCAAACAACGGACAACGAGAGTGCTCCTTCAGTTAATGAGATTAAGGGGCAATTTCGACGCTCCTATAGTGAATATAGGACAGCTACGTCGAAAGAGGAAAACAGATATCGTCAAAGTGATTAGAGACAATTGAGACTCGGAGCTGCTGGACTGGGGAGCGGGACGGGCCAAGCCCCCCAGCGAGGAATCTACAGCTCGACAAAAGCCATGGCGGCACGTGTGAAGACGATATCTGGGTAACAAAGAATTAGGATAGACTGAATAAGCAAATAGAATAAAAGAATAGAATAAAAGCAGTTGTCAGCGTTGAGTCTGGTGGAGAGGAAAGAGAACGAGAGGAAAAACGGGGAGAAAAAGAGAAGAGAAGCCAGCAGAGACTGACCCACTGCGCTAACGGTACGCCTGTTCCGCTGGTGGTCGTTCATTGGCCGGGAGCAGACCTTTTTCGGGATTCCCATTGGCGGGAGAGTGCTCACCGCATTTTCACGGGCCAATCATCTGGCAGGTATTGCCGGAATAGTACATGGGCCTTCAAGTTAGAACTATCAAAGTGTAAGCAGAAAAATGCATGCAATGACTCAAGATGGCTATGAGTACTGAGTCTGTCATATGCAGCACGCTGTACAAGGAATAGAGTCATGCGTGGTGACTGCGGTATGACAGATATATGCTATGTACGGAGTACAAGTACGTAGTAGCATGGAGTGCGGACTGCAAGTCTCTAAACCTCAACTCGTATTGCATCTGAAGTCTCCTCACTGATACAATACATACGCATACAATTGATTGCGTGCAGCACTCTACAATGGGCTACATACAGAATGCACCAGACTCTGCCCGATAATTAGCCCGTCGATACCCAAGGCAATCCGGTCCACTTGGCACGTCTACATAACATGCTGCAAAAATTTCCATTTTTCAGTCATGAAGAGTACGATACTTCGTCCATCTTGCCCCTTTTGAGCCTCTCCTCCACTAGTTCTCCGTAGTGGCAATGGTAAGCGCCAACTGAACCACTGTTGAGAACAAGAAATGATTGGCAGGCATAGTGACAGACCACCTGCATGGTTCCGTTTTGGCCGGGTTATTCTGTCCTCTCAGAGCTGATCGGAGCTGAACATAAGCACTTTACCCGTTTGTACGGAGTAAGGTCATACGGGGTTTCTACGGTAAAAAAAAAATAGACAGTCTCTTAAGCCGAGGTAGACCCACATCCCGAGTGGCGCCGTTCCTTACCGGTTTATTTTGAGTATGAGGACAGCTATACATTTACAATAATCATTTACATAGAACGGAGCACTCTGTTCAAGATGTAGGTACTCTGTAACTGTTCCCGAGGTGTCGTATCCTAAATCCTCCGATGAGTTGTCATAAAACTTGTATCCATGCATGCTTATGCATGCACATTCCATGATCTGCAGGTCAACGCCGATCCGATTGGACCATGCTCATCTGCACCCCGCAGTGAGGTCAATGGCTTAATATCATATCAGCAATTGGGTATCTCATAGCCAAACAACTATATACCAATAACATATATACAGAGATCAAGTCCCCGGGTACGGCTCAGCCTTAGACGTCTTCTTTCCTGACCGCGAAAAGATCGAAAGTCTTGACTTGGACCGTGTCGGAACCGGGGCAGTATTTCCATTTTCCGCCTCTGTCCCAGTCGCCTGTTGGCCAGCGACTTCTTCGCCAGCTCCCTGCCCGGAGGCTTCCTGCTGAGGATTTGCAGTGCTGGTTCGGACTGTCTCCCGCGTCTGCTCGACTTCTCGAACGCCGTCGCGGATCAAATCGGTTGCAGCACCCGGAGGAGCAGTTGTAGTCAACGTCTCAGTAGCCCGGATAGGTCTTTCTTCCGATGCCATCTGCTCATTCATCTTCCGTATCTCTTCCTCGGTGACGAGACGCTCGTTCTCTAGACGAACTTCGCGTCCGCGTTTATGGCAGTACCAGAGGACGAATAGAAGGACTGCACGTATTAGCTTTCCATTTCAAGATGCGAGGGTTCGTAGTAGACGTACTGGACAATGCCAATGACCAGAGAACATTCACACCAATAATCGCTGGGAACCGTGCCTTCAAGAAAGCCACAATCGACCTTAACATCCCAACAATGGCAGCTGGTTTCCCCACCAGCTCTTTCAAACTGGGAATCTTCAGTCCCATCTTGTCAGCTGCCGCAGCAGCCTTGGCCACATTCTCCGTATTGACTCCGCTCTTTGTGGCTCTTTCACTAGCCGCAGCCAGAACCTCTGGCGCTAAAGATTCGGTCCATTTCTCAGGCAGTTTCTCAATCAATCTCTGTAGGAAGGTAGGCATCTTCGAGTATGTGTCCTGGAGCTGGTTGTTGCCGTTCTTAAAAAGCATTTCAAGATCATGGTAAGCGGTTGGGACACCATTGATGAGGTCTTTGAAGATGAGCTTGAACTTGCGGAGGAGTTCCTGCATTTCGTCGCTGGCGGAGAAGACGCGGTTGTTTTCTGCGGCGAGATTAAGTTGTTCGAGAATTTCGGCCATTTCGCTGTCTGCTGGTTCATCTGCTGGTGCTGGTGTTTCTGCTTCTTTCGCTGCTTCTGCTTGTTGCGGCTGTTGCGGTTGGTATTGATCTTCGGTAGCATCCTTGTCTTTCGAAGCGCGATCGGGAGCTTCGATTGCATTGTCTGATTTCTCTGCCTTCTATCTCTATAATCAGTATCGCAACAATTCTAGAATCCCTCCCAAATGTAACACACCTTCTTCCCCTTTCCCCACGGCCAATTCAAGCTCCACCGCTTTTTCTTCCCCTCCGCAGGCCCAGTCTCCTGCTCTTTATTTTCTTTATTTTTATCCTTATTATTACCCTTCTCCTGTTCCTCCAAGTCTGTCGCCTTTCGCTGCTGCTCTCCAAACTTCTTGCCAAATTCCTCCGCGTCCTGCGCGACCGGGCTCGGGGCGTCAGCCATCACCGCATTACCCCCCGCGGCATCGGGTCGCGACATGATCCGCCGGAAGAACGCTTCATCGTCTGGTGTGAGGACGGGGTCGTGCGTTGTAGGACTTGTATTGGTGTTAATTTGGGGTGGTATGGGGGTTTCTTTGTTGGATTGCATGGTTGGTTGTTGGAGGATTGTTGGCGATGATGCGGGGAGATAGGTGTTATCGCCCCAAGGTTTAAAGTTTAAATAATGACTGGAATCCTACCACTATAAATAAATCAACTACAAACATCCAAAATAACCTCCATTAATTCAAGAAAATGGCACCTATTCCCACATCCGCATCCTTCAAAAACCACCGCGCCCCAACTCTCCCTTCCCCCGCCGAAATCCGAGCCCTCAATATCGCAACCAACAAACCTTCCGCCACAAGCTTCAACTGCCCACCACCAGTCTTAATCCCACCATTGGGTCTGGCTGTCAAATATGGCGCAGATGTAACAATTCTCGAAGCCGAGACACAGGTAATGATCCGTGAGAAACTACAAGGCCGCATACCTGTTCCTGAAGTCTTTGGGTGGGAGGAGGATGGGGAGCAGGGGTTTCTTTATATGGAGCTGGTTGAAGGGGATACGCTAATGAAGAGATGGAGTGGGTTGAGCGAGGATGAGATAAGGAGTATCTGTGGGGAGCTTAGGGGCACAATGGAGTTGGTTAGGAGGTTGGAGCAGAGTGATGGGCCTTACATTGGTGAGTTTACTCGATACACCCGTTTACGCAGACCTAATCACAACCCGGATGCAGGCAGTCTAAACAACCAACCCCTAAAAGACCTCTTCCTCATACACCACCCATCTCTCAAAGGCCCATACTTCGGCCCGAATGCCATCGACCAATTCCAAGAAACCTGCGGCCTCTGGACCACCAACACCAACCAAACCCCCATCGTCTTCACACACAACGACCTCCTTCCACCCAATATCCTCATATCAGCAGGCCCAAACCCAAAAGTTACTGCTATTATCAACTGGGCGCAGGCTGGTTGGTACCCTGCTTACTGGGAGTACTGCAAGGCGCGATATATTAGGGTGAATCCGGGGTATTTTAGTGATGCCGCGATTGCGGAGTGGAGGACCAAGTATTTGCCGTTGATTGTGGATGCGGTGGATGAGGAAGAGGGGTATCATCCTTGGCTTTATTTTGCTTTGTCGAAGAGGCCTTAGTACGGTGTCTTAGTATGACCACTGGTGATCAGCCGACGTTCGATTGAACTGAGCATTCGGGGTTATACCCTCTAAACTGCTAGGCCATGGCAAAGGTGATACTGACTAGCCAGAGCAGAACTCTGGTAGACTGCGGAGTTCCGCTTCGCCTTCCATCTTGAGGCCGCTATAAGGCTGGAGCAATTTGCCTTGACGGCGCCAAAGGCTAATCCATCAGCTGCCATAACCGAGACGTCATTCAAAATATATAGTCTGGCGCAATATGAAGGAGAAGAGGAGAAGCAATAATTGCTTGTGACCAACCATAAAGTCGAACCGCTGTATCTCATTTTCCTTTAAACCCCACTGCCGTGATCCTCCTGAATGCATATAACACTGCCCTACTTAAAAGCCTGCCAAACTCATAGCCATTCTGCCATCCGAATCGTATAAAGATAATTGACAACATTATCCCCAAAAACTTCACTATTAACAAGCTCCTCAGCAACCTTAATAACCCAGTCCTGGCAGCTCTCATTAGCACGTACATAGCCATACATACAACGCCAAATACAGACGAACAGGAAAAGAACTCACTTTATCCCCTTCATCATCCAACCCCTCCCCCCACCCCGTCATCCCAACCTCTCCCACAACCTCCTCAAATCCACAAACGGGCTTCCAATCCTCCACACACACTCCACCATTCAACATCCTCTCCTCATCAAACCACCGTTCATCAACCCACTGCAGCGGAATCCTGTGTGTAGGCGGTGGGTTCTGGTTCTCAGGAAGACTCAAATCATAGCTTCGTTGAATAGAGAATTTAAAGCCGGTTTTTGTGTCGCCGGTGGCGTGCAGGAGAACGCCGATGTTTGGGGCGACGGGGGAGGGGATGTAGTAGGCCCAGTGGTTGGGGTAGATTAGGAGGCTGACTAGGTAGGTGTTTGGGGGGGTTGTTGGGGGGAGGGTTGGTGGCGGTGGGACAAGGGCCATTGTTGTAGTTTGTTTTGTTAATTTATTGTATCGGGTGTCGTGCTGTGTTGTATAGATTCAGGGTGTTCCAGTTGTCCAAAAGGAAAGATATGGTAGTGGGAGTTGACAGAAGTGAGCTCAGTGCTGGACGGGAGAGTACTTTTATACGCAACTGTTTGTCTTGGTGTCCGCTAGAAAAGGAATGGTAAATAACAGACCATTAGCTCTTTATGATATGCTCCCACGGTGTGGCAGGGATGCAGTATGGAAGAGCAGCATTCGGAATGATTCATTAAATGAAATTATATCCAGCAATCCCAATCTGATCATTTTCATCAATGATAGTCGGTCCCTGGAGGTTACTAAACCGTCACCGGATTTTGATTCGGCTGACAGATAGACAGACTGGCTAAAGAAACATTATTTTTCTGCGCCATTGTTGTATTGACTCGGTGTTTGATTTATTCACATGTTTGGAATAAGCAAATATGCAGAGAGAGCAAGCCATCCAATGGATGCTGACTGCAGTTGCCAGCGCATATTTCAAATCTTCGGCCTCTGGAATTTGTTTTCTTCATTTGATGCCAAAGATCATCTCGTTGTGTTGCACAAAGGCAGCCGGATCAACTCGAATCTAAATGCCTTTAAACCACATGTGTGCCAATGCTTCATGAACCATAACTCTCCTTTCAAGATCATAATTAGTCATGGCACAAATGAGGCTTATAAAATCGCTGTCAGCCCCCTTCCAAAGGATAAACGGTCTGCGCGCGTTTCCTTGGTTGAAATCGTCCCGAAGTGCTTCAAACACGCGAACCCAAAGGCTTCCATTGCCAAGATGTCTCATCAAAAAAAAAGGTTTGGACCATCTTCATCCGCAAATTATGAAATCTGGTGCTCGTTTACAATGGCCAAGGGGTCACGCCTTCTTCCAATTATTCTTCCCCAACAGCAATGTTGACTCGTTTCTGTAGCGTGAAAATGCACTATATGGTCAGTAAATATCTCCCTAAAATCCAAGACATGATGTGGTACGTACGACAAGCGCAAAAGAGAAAATATCAGACGGCTTGTTCACGAATTCATTGGCGTGGGCTTCAGGGCTCCTCCACATCCAGTTCTCTGCCTGTTTGCCGACCATATGTGATCCAGGAGGGACATGCACGGCATCTTCGAGATTCCCAAGTTGGACTCGCTAAAGCTTGATTTTACCGTGGTGATCTTTCTAGTCGATGAAGACATTATTTGCCTTAATATATACCCAGAGTAAACCATCACTCATTGCTCCGCGGGAGGTACAACGCACCTGTATGGACGGCATCTCAATCCTGCAATCCTGCAATTCCACAAAGAGCATATCTCAGGGCCCTTTTTATCACTTCAAGGGACAGGTCTTTCCGAGTAAGGTGTAGGAGATGATCTGTGAAGTATTCGACTTCTCGAGGATGGTGTCTTGAGCGAGATAAACATGGTTGGCACCGGGTAGTCTATTGTCTATGCTTTGAAGGTGCTCGAGATTAACTGGGCCAATGTACTTCAGTGTGGATTTCTGGTCGTCGGCGCTAAGGAAGTGGTAAATGGTTACGAGAAGTAGTAAATAGTCGGGGTCAACTCACTTGGCAGGGAAAACCAGACATGAGGGAAATGTTTCTTCCTGGGAAATCTGTTGGATTTTATAATTCTAACAATGTCGCAATAGATGGAAACTCCGCTTTACCTCCACTTGAAATAAGCAAGTATGCGATATGTACCTGTAGGAGAGATAAGCAAACTCCAATGACCTTGGTCAATATGATATACCATCCCACCCATACTCCAGCTGCCAGTGCACATTTGACTCTTAGGCTCTTGGACTTTATTTCCTTTTCAGCTGAACTGTATCTCAAACTCATTCAATAGCTGTGTTACAGTCTTACACATGCTTGGGAACAAGTTGAACCAGGAGGTTATACTTCCAAGCCAACGGTCATATTGATACATGATATAATTTCCGGCACCGTGATAATTGGCGAGATTGAGCCGAAAGTGATTTGGAATCTCGGTTTAAATGTGTCGACATATGCTCTCAGACATGGGATGATATCAATGTCTTTTATGTTTGATTATAATGCTTGTATTGTGCTTCTCATACCTATGCCACCAAGCTGCCATTTGCGGTGTGAAATGCGGGGAGGATACAAAGTACGTACTGGATTTAGAAACCCCTTTCCGGTAGAAAGAAGTGAATTTCCAACATATACCAATATATCAAAAAGTTGTGACCGAAGGTGATCGAATGAGAAAATATTATAGGTCTAGTAGTATGTACTAGAGAGAAGAGCCTCGAGTGCTTGCTCTTCTGTACATGCAGTGATAATCATTTCCCGAGCCATCTGACATCTATATAGCGAAAAGAAAAGATCAATACATGTTGCATGAGCCTTGACTAACCCTAATGAAGACACTTATTTACTTGTAGACTTACATATAATGTACAGAGTTACTAATGCTGCTATCTCTGGATAATCAGCAAACATGGCATGTTCCGAGACAAGTGCCGCTATGGGGAATCGGAACTCCTGAGAATCTCCCTGGTACGTAATTCAACCATTGTCCCCTGCATAATACCCAATATCCTTATAATATCTTGCATAAACCTGCCAAACATGATCTAGACATGATGGCTGGTGTTGTGGCGTCGTCAGCCAGTGGAACTAATTTCCCCGAAGATTGGAAATAGAATCAACTCGTACTCATACGGAGCAGCCCTATCCAGACATCCGTAGCTGCCTTCACAGCCTCGATTTCCCGGTATCCTCCCGGCCACCGAAATGTATACACACGCGTCCATCAGATAGCAGAAACCGCCTTGGCAGAGCTTGGCAAAGCTTGGCAGAAGAGGATGACGAAAGGTGGTGTTCTGATTGGTTAGTGAGGCCGGAGAATTCGTGAATTCTCCGCTGACTAAGATGCCAAGAGCTGTCTACCTAAACAGCGATATAGATTGTGACACTGAGAAAACTCTACTTGTAGCTTGTACGGAGCATTTCTATGGCCTTTATGGGAGATCCATGTTCTTCGTGTGCTGGTAGTCTTTATTGAACTTGCCGAATAGATGCCAAAGACCCGAAATGGGGCACAGCACACAGGATTGTATCGTTATCTGAGAAGTAGCAGACAAACAAACAGATGGAGAATCCCATGATTCCCACGATTAATATCTGGAACCTAGAATATAGTGGAGTTAACCTATGGAGAAACCAATCCAATTTACAATGATTCTGCTCAGAATCCGACAAGCTTGCTCCACTGCTGACGAATTAACGCACCCAGAGTTCTAGCTCGCTTCAATTATATATGCCTAAAACTGGACAGGGAAGAAAAAGTATATATTACTTGAAGAATCCGGTCATGAAGAGCAATATCACAACCTCTTTCAGCAATTCATTCATCACTTTCATCGATCCTCAATCAACATGCAGCTCTCCCACCTCTGGCAGCTTGCCCTACTAGGCCTCGCCGGCCTCTCAATTGCCCATCCTGGTGCCCACGAAGAGAGCTCTTTGACCCCCGCGGCAAAGAAGGCTTTCTTGCACAACGCCAAACGCAGCCTGGGCCAATGCGCTGACCATCTCGAGCGTCGAGGCGTCAATGCCCGCGCTGCTGCCCGCCGTGCTGCCATCACTGAGACCTACCGCAAGCGTTCTCTGCTCAACACCCGTGATACGGACCGCGTTGTCAACAGCTCCCACCACTCCCCCCTTCAAGTGACCTCCAACACCCCTGAAACGGAGCTCTTCTCCAACAACCCCGTCTGCATCCTTGCCCCCGAGGGCGAAATCGGCCCCTTCTGGGTGAAGGGCGAGCTCGTCCGCTCGGACATCCGCGACAGCGAGCCGGGTATTCCGCTCATCATGGAAGGTCAGTTCATCGACATCGAGACCTGCGAGCCCATCCAGAACTTGTACTGGGATGTGTGGACCTGCAACTCCACCGGTCAATACTCGGGCGTGCAGAGCGATATGAACGGCAACGGCAACGACGCATCCAACCTTGACAAGACCTTCCTTCGTGGTATCCAGCAAACCGACTCCGATGGTGTTGCGCAGTTCAAATCCGTCTTCCCTGGCCACTACGACGGTCGCGCGACGCACGTGCACGTTGTTGCGCATGTGGGTTCTCACACGCTTAAGAATAACACCATTGCCGGTGGCCATGTGTCGCATATCGGACAGCTATTCTTTGACCAGGACTTGATCTCCAAGGTCGAGTCCACGTACCCGTACAACACGAACACTGTTGATATTACACAGAACGCAGATGACCACGTCGTTCAGGATGAGACAGAGGATAGTAACTCGGATCCGATCTTTGAGTATGCGCTGCTTGGTGACAAGCTTCAGAATGGTGTTCTTGCTTGGATTACTATGGGTATCAATGTTTCGGCTACCTATGATACTAGCAATGCGGCTACGCTGACTTCTTCGGGTGGTGTCATGAATGATGACTCCAGCCCTGGTGAGGCGGTTGACATGTAAACGGACGTGTGAATCCGATATGTATGTAGCCAACAAACAGGCGGCATGCGCAGGGGTATAATATAACATATGTATGTAACTATGTATGTACAATGAATAGAAGCATATGTACCTCGGAAGCCTCAGTTCCTGAATAAGTGGGTCCATACAATTATTGATAAGATCGACCTAAAAGCATCCACATGGATCTTAACCTGGATCAACCAATGCTGGCAGGCTTATTCATTCACCAAAATAAAAATGGCCATAGTATATTCACCAATGTAATTGGTTCGACTTGGTTGTTGAGATCCCTATATTTCTACGACTCACCGCCTACGAATCTTCCTCCATATCTCCTCTACATCACAATCACCAAACAGGTCAAGATAAAATCGATCGTGGCAGATGTAATTGATATATAGACACAGTTCTAAATAGTTTCTTGGGTCTCAGCACCTCCAAGCAGACTTTAGTGCTCTCTGCCAATTTCACGAAACTGTCACGGAACCCGGACATTCACCAACAACACAAGATATTTGTATACTTTGGCCTGTTGGAATATAGGGCGGGAACCCCCTTCGCACACTAGATAGCGCAGCGCTGGAAGGCCCAGCTTCTTTCTTTGCTTCTCCATGTTAGTACTTCGATAGAGAGTCTACCAATAAATTTAGATTGTTCGAGATCGTCACAGGAACTTCCCTACCTTAACCCACACCTCTACTTCGCGTGTCAGGGGTATGAGATCGACCGGACGGTTCATATTGACTAAGGAATCACACACAGATAGAAATATGAAAGGCATGAGCAGAATAATACATCAGTCCTTTGGTCTCACTGTTGACCCTCACACCTAGCATATCCTGCTGCTATTTGGAATCAAAAATCAAGAGTCCGGAGATAACAGCTCCATCTCATTGATGATAACTTGTTCCACATTGCATGACAGACATAATCATTGTACAGAACTGCGGCCCTAAATAGTGACAAAGAGTACATAAATTCCACTGTCTTTAGGTGATAGTGTGGGCCTGTTTGCAAATACAAATCAAGCTGACATAGATATTGTGACAGTCTCGAACAATATAAATTTATTGGTAGACTCTCTATCGAAATACTAACATGGAGAAGGAAAGAAAGAAGCTGGGCCTGCCAGCGCTGCGCTATCTAGTGTGCGAAGGGGGTTCCTGCCCTATATTCAAACAGGCCAAAGTTTACAAACATCTTGCGTTGTTGGTGAATGCCCGTACTCCGTGACAGATATAAGCATCATAGTTTGGTCTCACAAACCTCAGTGCAAGCTTATGTATTCACGGCGGTTGTCGCATTTTGGTTTCTAAACATTCACCACAATGCTATCACTTCTTCCAGCAGCTACTGATGCGCTGCTCATCACGCAAACGGAATGTTATTGGTCAACGTTTTGGGGAATCGATTGTTAGGAATAAAAGTTGCACTGACATATCGATATGCTAATACCAAGCAGTCGCTCTCGACAGATTGCATCTCAAGAACTGGCGAGTAACGTTGACGCTACACACCAGAGTAAACCTACCTAGACATATCGCCGGTCCCTCTAAAAGCCCCTGGAACACTTCCGTATTGATAAGTCAGAAAACATATACATGAAAACGATCGACACATAGACTATGCGTATTCACTTGACTACTGAGCCTCTGAGAAGTGATGATCCGCCAAACTGAACGAACTCGAGCATGACATCGTCAGGCAAAATATCGAAGATATCGGAAGAGAGAAGGTCCACCACTACCTTCAAGGCCATTCCAGGCATTCCATGCGCTCTTGCATTGTCTGAGTGTATAGTTTTAAGGAGGAATGAACTACAGATCATTTGCGGTGTATCTTCAATGTACGGGCCGTTTTATAATGTTCTCTGGGTTAACTTTAGATTGGCCGCAGACGGGTTGGAAAAAATAAATGATTAGAAGGAAAGATGTTGAGAGGAGGCTCCAAACAAGAGAAAGATTGAACAGAAAATCTGCAAAGCATAGGTAAGGGCCTTGTATATGCATCATATATCGGCCGCTCGATTTAACATCATCTTCACAGCTGGCCGTGATAAGAATTATATAAGAAAGCAAAGCTTAGTTGCTAGTAAGATATGAAACCGGCATGTGGTTTTGTCTGAGACCTTGAAGTCTTGCATCAAGGTGGGGCGTGATTAATGGGGAGTCCTTTGTCTATCACCGATTGAAACTACGCTATCATTCAACCGTTCGAATCACACTCGTCAGGTGCAGTTAAAATCCAAACACAGCGTAAGAAACCAACGATTTAAGTGACAGCACGCTACCGGTTACAAAATAATAGACAAGAGCAAATGCCTACACTTGCGTACCGTACCTCCTAGCCAGGTATGCGCCGAGATTTGAACCGCACGTGGTTGGTTATAACCAAAAATAGCGATACTTTCTACGGTTGTATTATCTATACATACTTGAAAATATTCCCGCTTACTGATAGTTATTCTATTGATTTTATTCAATCAGTCAAAGTCTTCACGCTGATAGAATATGCCTTTTATTGGTATAACGCACATTATGAGCATACTTATCGCATCTTTACCCACTACACGATCACATATAGCACCTCAGCATTGGGTTTCGGCTTTGATGCCTCCTCAAGGCACCGGAGTAATAGATAGAGCCCCTTTACAATACAAAATGTAAGATATGGTATCACCAGCTAGACATGGTGCGTTTCTAACAAATGAACTTGACCGCCGTTATGTTGTCAGATAACCCGCGGATAAAATGGCTTGATCCAGAAGAACCAAAGCTCGAATATTCGAGGATCCCTTGAGCAACAGGTCTGTTTATAGAATAAGCGTTGTTCCTATCAGGGGAAGGGAAACAATAATCTAGTTAGATTTTGTTGTTGTCTTTCTTCCGATGTTCTTGTGGGTTACCAGAAAAATCATAGGTATTTCATCGCTATTAGAGGTTTCATAAAACTGCATGTTTGCTTTTTTATCTCATCTTCTCCGATGCAGTAACACGGAATCCTGGAGCTTGTCTGTAAGCACTAATGCCGTACTACATGCGGCGCTCAGCCTTGCTACTCCTCCCTATAAACCCATCTTCCCCGTCGAGCTAAACTTTTGCTCTCGGCTATTTCCTTAGTTTTGCAACATAAGTTATTGAATTGTATCAAAAAGGAATATATCATTTACAGAAAACATGTCGAATGATACGCGGCCATGCTACTACCCAGACCATACTGAAGCTACGGCTGATGTTCCTTGCACGGGTGATAAATACACTTCATGCTGCCTCGAATCCGACATTTGTCTGTCCAATGGATTCTGTATAGCCATCACAACTCAGCCCTTTGTGGTAACGCGCGGGAGCTGTACAAACCAGGGCTGGGATTCTGGGTGTCCCACTCATTGTGGTATGAGTTTCTTATCCATGTCTCTTCTGTCAATGTCAATTATTATCCCTAGGGGCTCTAACTAACGAACACGCATAGCTGAAAATAGTGACAATCCAAGTAATGGTTTTGGTCTGTCTATCCTCAAGATCCAGAATGGCAAAACGGAGTACTGCTGCGGCATGCCGGCTAATGACAGCAATGGCAATGACGTTTGTCCGAATAATGAGCCATCATTCACGTTGGATGCGGCTCATGCAGTCCCTGGTCGCGCGCTCCTGAGCAATTTGTCCAACTTTTATGTTTCAGGCTCAGTACCGTCTTCCCCTGCATCTCCATCTCTTCTCCCGAATTCTACAGCATCTACGAGCACCGGCAATAATGGCACAAACCATGACGTTGCAATAGGAATTGGCGTTGGAATTCCACTGGGGGCAATTGCATTGGTATCGCTAGCATGGGCGTTCTTTGAGCGGAGGCAAGCACGGACTTCAAATGCAAAACTAGCGGCAGTGATAAGTGGTGAATTGCAGCATATACCTCCCACAAATGGATATAAGACGAGTCGACAGAATAACAATATGGCAGTTGAGCTGGGAGCAATGCATACAATGCCAGCGGAATTGGAACAAACGCATTCGGTACCAGAGCTTATGGGAAGAGTGCGATAGGTTTTCATGATGGAATTTTATGTTTATATTTAAATAAAGCGCTAGTCAGTAGAATTATGTAGACGTTTTATATGCTTAATATATATGAGAATCAATTAGTATCCAGATGTTCTTTGATTTCCTTCTAGAGAGACAATCCGAACATTTGAAGAAGCCCAGGAGACGCGAAGATTATGGCCATTTCTTGGCTTTTTGCCATGGTGCTGTATGCTTGCTTTTTGTCTCACCACCTCTAATGCAGTAATGCGAGTCCCTGGATCAGAGTCGTGAGTACTAATGCCGTACAAGACTGAAGATCCCCAATTCGTCACATAAGAGCATGCGGCCTTCACTTTAAGCCCTGTCCCCCTTACCTAATTGCGCTGTTGCTCTTGTCCTACCTTGGTTTTGCAGTCGAGTTATCATGTCATACCGTAAAAGTACATTCCTTTGATAGATGACATGTCGTCAAACGATAGGCCATGCTACTATCCTGGCCCTGGGTCATGTGCCCTGCTCGTCAGATACTTCTTAAAATGACACTGATTGCTGCGATAAAGGCGACATCTTCCCGTCCAATGGCTGCTGCTTGGTCGTCAGCACTCAGCTTTTTGAATTGTCGCGTGAGAGCCGCACGGGACAAGCCGTGAATTAGGGGTGTGCCACCAAATGTCGTATGAAAACATCTTTTTTTTTTTTTTTTTTCTGGCCAACTTTTAGGACCATGAATAATGTCATAATAGACCAGTAAAATAATACAGTCGGCAGCAATCAGATTAGTTACCTTGGGCCCGGCAGCTCCGGTCAGACAATGTACTGCTGCGGCACACTAACCGTCAACGATAACCTAACCCATTGCCAGGGGATGAACCTATTCCCAATACCTGAGGCAAGCATTTAACTTGACTATGCACTTCTCCGCAATGTGCAGTCTTTCTCCGCATCTTCTTTACTTTCCTCCGCAGATAATGTTACAAACCGTGACACCGCAATTGGGGCTGGCGCTGGTGTTCCTCTGGGAGTAATTGCATTGATATCTCTGGGATGGACGTTCTTTGAGCGGAAGCGAGCACACAGTGCCCATGAAAAAAGGGCGGCGATGGTAGCAACAAAGAGTTGTGGGATGCAGCTGTTTTCTTCTGAGAGTATATATGAAATAAATGGGAAGCATCGTTTGCCAGCGGAGTTAGGACAAGCGCAACCTCCTGCAGAGACTAGAATACCCTGTGGCGGAGCTCATGGCGAGGGAGCGGTAGGTTTAAGTGCATAGGCTTACTCATGTTTAGGCTTGGATGAGGTGTGATCTATAGACTTGTTTCTGCACTTTCTATGTTAAATCTGATGGCATCTATAGCCGTGTATGGTTTCCCCGTGAGCTTTCGTTGCCCACATTCACATTCTACTGTTCCTCCCCCAGAACAATTATACAGGGTACATTTCCTTCGCCGCTTGCTACAGCACTCTTTTCTCTCGCTATCGCCTGCAGATAGTCAGCTTCCCACATATCCAGATAAACATCTACCATCAATTCATTCTCTTTCCTTGATAATCTTCACTGCTTGGCTTTTCAGGATCGAGGTCTCATGGCGCAAGTCTGTATAGCCCCTTCTATATTAGCCATCTCTAATGCGAGTCCCTGAGAATTAACGTAAGCACCAATGTCGCACTACCCTACTCCGGAGTACACAAGAATGCAGATCCTTGTTCGTTTCACCAGAATGTGCAGTCTTGCGATTGCGCCCTTTAAACTCCTTTCCCCGGCCGAGTTGATTACTTTCTCTTGTCTGTTTCCTTGGTTTTGCTGTTGGTTCGATTGAGCCATATCACAGAAGATACCCCCCTGATTGACAACATGCCAGGTGATAAGCCATGTTACAACCCTGATGGGACTCTATCAGAGGATGATGTGCCCTGCACGTCAGATAAAAACACACATTGCTGCGGTAAAAACAGCATCTGCTTGTCTAATGGATACTGCTTGGGTGCAGACGCTCAACCCTTTGGATTGTCGCGTGGGAGTTGCACAAATCAAAATTGGGCTACTGGGTGTCCGCAAAGATGCTGGAGTATGAATTCCTTGCAGTTTTTTCACCAAAGATTGTATATTGATTGATTGGCTAACGACCACATATAGAATATGAAGGTGACAACAAGGGCGGCGGCTGCCCGATTATCAGCATCGACTACAACAATGGATGGCAGTACTGCTGCGGCAACCTGGTCTCTAACAACAATGACGTCCAGTGTGCGGCCAACACCGAGGACCGCTTTCCACTAGATACAACACAGGTGATACCTGGGGTTGGAATGCTCAGCAACTTATCCAACTTTTATGTCTCGGGGTCAGCACCGAATTCTTCCATAACCCCCTCGCCGTCGCCTCACCCGAATTTAACGACATTGATAAGCTCTAGCGATAGTGGTACGGCGGGTCATGACACGGCGATTGGAGCAGGCGTCGGAGTCCCGCTGGGAGTGATTGCATTGGTGTTTCTAGTATGGGCACTTCTTGAACGGAAGCGGGCGCAGGATACAGCTGCAAAACTGGCGGAGGTGATGAGTGGTATCCCTTTGGAGGGTGGATATCAGATGAAGAAGAATCCTCGTGTGTTAGTCGAGCTGGGTGCAACGCATTCTATGCCAGCAGAGTTGGAACAGACACAATCTGTGCCGGAGCATATGAGAGGGGCGCGATAAGTTCAGATTGATTTTCCATGTTTATATACAAGATGAGGCGTTTCATGAAATCATTTCTGGACGTCCTATATCATACTCACGACATAGAATCGATATTGTATATGGTGATCAGTCAGTTATCAGACATTCTCTGATCATCTTCTAGCGAGGCAATTAGAATACTTAAAGATGTTCAGGAGAAGTTAGGATTACCGTCATTGCTTGGCTTAGATTCCTTGGCACTACACGAGGTATGTTTGCTTTTGTCTTAACGCACATAAGCATTCGAGGCCAAACATAAGCACCAATGCTACCATAATGACACAGCAGCCTCGCCATCTCCCCTCCCCTATAAAGCCCATCGCTCCAGTCGAGCTGCTTTGTCTTTTTCTTCACTTTTACGGTCAAGTTCTTGCGGAAACTGCACGGGCCAGGTGGGCGTTCCCTATGACCCACATTTCATATTTGACAACACGGCCGACAGTAAGCCGATCAGTTACCTGAACTCGGAAGCTCCGATTTGCTGCGGCACTACTCGATTCGTTCTCAATACCTGGGGCCAGCATACCACTTGGCTAATTATGCTAGCAACGTCAGCCTGCACCATCTCCTTCCGCGAGATCATGGTGATGATGCAGGAACTAAGACGGCCGTTAATGCTTCACCGGGGTAACTACATTGGCTTCTCTAGCATGAGCGAGGCCCACACAGGCTCTATATACAGAAATGGCAGCGATTATGGGGATGACAAATTATGGGGTGCGGCTGATTCTTTCCGGAAATATCTGAGATGAACGGGAATCATCATCTATTTGCCAGTGGAGTCAGACCAAACGTACTACATATTATTTGTACGAACCCTCTAGCCGAGCGGAACATCCTGTGACAGGTTCATGGAGAGGGAGCAGTAGGTCTTGACTCCTGGTGGACTTGGATGAGGTGTTGAGTTGCACGATTATTTCAGGGGCGTCCTACACCAAATTTAACGGTAATGGCCTGACATATTTGTGATACAAACACGCATACACACCGTCGTGTATCCAAGTCATTATCCATCTTGAACCTCTCTCATGAGGTTTCTTCCACTCCTCAGCGACAATCAGATACTAATTATTCATGATACGGAGGATTATTTAGGAGGAGTGAGGATCACCGCTTCTCTTGGCCCTTTGAGACTAGGCCGCATAAGTGCCTTTGACCTAACCCCCAATACAGTAATAATTGGCACACGAGACCCTGGGAAAAAACGCCTTGTAAGCACTAACCATGCATAGCAAGAATCGGAATCCTGGCTCGCTTCCACGGGATGAGAGCCTTCTCACACTCCCTTCTTAAACCAAGCCGTGCCTGGTCACCCCATAATCACTATTTATGATTCTGTCGTCTGTTGCACAATTGTGTGAATAAATTATACCAAACACCAACAAATATGGCGGCAAATGATACACGACCATGTTACTTCCCTGACCGCACTGAGGCTTCAGATAGCACGCCCTGCTCATCAGATCAACACACCCATTGTTGCGGCACGGGCGACGTCTGTTTAACAAATGGCTATTGCTTGAGCATCGCCCACCAGCCCTGGGTCATATCACGGGGGGCTTGCACAAACCAAAACTGGGATTCTGGGTGTCCCGAACGATGCGGTATGGACCAAACTCCTTTGCCTTATTTCATCATGTGTGTATTAAAGCTCTGACGAATTGATTCTCTTTAGTCGGCGAAAACGACAACAGAGGCGGCGGCTGCTCAATCGTCAACCTCGAATTCGAAAACGATGACGGCAAATCAACGTATTGCTGCGGCAATCCAATCAGTGGCAGCAGCACCACCGCGGAGTGCCCAACCGAGAGTCAATTCACCCTAGAAGACGCACATGCAGTACCCGGCTACGCCCTCCTGAGCAATCTATCCAACTTCTACGTATCTGGCTCAGCGCCATCATCCTCCGCAAGTCCCTCTATTCTTCCGGCTCCAACAATGTCATCATCGGATAGCGGCGATAGTGACACATGCCACGACACAGCGATCGGAGCAGGCGTTGGTGTTCCGCTGGGAGTGATTGCCCTGGCATCCCTAGCATGGGCATTCTTCGAGCGGAAGCGCGTGCGGGCTATGCATAAGCAGATGTCGGCCATGCCGGCAATTAGTACCGGAATGCAACAACCTCCTGCATATGGGATTAATCAGAAAAACCAAGGGCCAGTAGAGTTGGAACAAACGACTCCTGTGGCAGAGTTAATGGAGAGGGAGCGGTAGATTTCGGTGGGTGTCATGGGTTTATGTTTACTGACGGATGGCTGGTTTTGTAGATAATATCTGGGTGTTTTATACTCCGTACATACATACATAATAACTGCAAGGTTTCAGGTTCTATATATCTATGACCTATCCTTGGGACGCCACGGTCCATCCATGGAACGAGCTCGGATAAACTGTGGAGATATCTTAAGCACTTTATTCACGTGCACTTATTTCCCGAGGTTCTCAGCATTGACATGACGAATATTCAACCCCCGATAACGAGTTCATATAGCGGACTTGAAACAACTGGGCTCTGCGATTATGCGAAACATAAAGACTCAAATTTGGGTAATGTTCGTCATCTTGTCTTCGGAGTGTACTCCGTACTGGGAGTAATCGTGTGTCGGCCAGAACCGAACATCCGTTATCCGATTATCGCGACATTGTGAACTCCACCTTCACTTTATTAATATATTGGTCTGCAGTGCTGAAATATGTATATATTGTGGGGGGAGTCCTCAATTCAGGCACAAGCGAGGCACAGAGGTAGTCCCGGAAGTGTAGGTGAACTATCGCAGAGGTTCCCACCCAGGAACCAACACCGGATATATCAAGATGCTTCTTGATGCACTGTTCACCCTCTTCGCGGGGTCTACCCTGATTTCCCAAGTGTCCGGCGCCCCGACGCTCCAGTCACGGTCGACTCCTGGTATTCTTTCCTCCTATCCCGTTGACTATCCTCATTCTTATATGTACAGATCCCTCTATCTTCCCGGAACTTCAGCGAGCGGCGCAGCTTTCGTCTGCAACGTATACCGACTGCAATGGGACTGCTTTTGATGTTACAATCACCAAGAAGATTGATGAGGCATCGACGGATACTCAGGTGAGTGCACTGAACCCGTTGTGGAGTATAAGCTGACAATGGAAGGGATATGTGGGATACTCCGAATCCAAGAAGAGGATTTCCGTAGTGATGAAGGGATCAACGACCAGTAAGTCGCGTTAGCCTATGGTCCATGTCAAGCGACAAGGTAGACTAATTATACCAGCTGCGGATTACCTGAACGACATCGACCTCCTCCTTGTCGTCCCCGAACTGTCTGGTGTGACCTTTCCAGAAGATGCAAAGATCATGCAGGGCATATCCAAGACCTGGGGTTCTGTCCACGACGAGGTAGTCTCAGAGGTCACCTCTCTTGTAGAGAAATACCCAGAGTATAGCCTCGAAGCCACCGGGCATTCTCTTGGCGGCTCTCTCACCTACATCTCCTATGTTGCTCTGTCCCAGGTATTCCCGGAGAAGGAGATCATTGGAAATGCGATTGCTGCCTATCCTATTGGCAACCAGGAGTTTGCGGACTTTGGTAGCTCGCAGAATGGCACGTTGAATCGTGGGAATAATGCCGATGACGGTGTTCCTGTGCGTATTCCATAATTACACTACTGTGTGCGGTATTCTAACATTACCCAGAATTTGTTTGTGACAATTCCCGGTTTCAAGCATTATGGAACGGTAAGCTCTCTCCGACTCCAAGTCCGAGAGGACCTGATCTAACCAAGGTTCGCAGGAATACTATAGTTCTGGGACCCAAGACTCATGCGTCGAGTGCGAAGGAGAACGCGACGAATCTTGCTCAGCTGGTAATGGGAAGGTCGGTATAACTGATGAGCATAGTTATAGCTTTGGTATTCACATGGCGGAAGCCGGATGCGGGGTATAGTTTGTTACAGATATGCGAGATGTATATATGTAGTGGTAGTTTTAGAACATGTACGTAGCCTCCAGTTGATATTCTATGAATATATGTGACTCAAGACTCAAGGATGTTCCTTGCAGCTGTACATCGACTGGCCAGTGACATTGAGTCAGCTGTAAGCCATATCACATGATCCCCGTCACAAACTTAGCCTGCCCCTCCTCTCATCTTACTCTTTTTTTCTCCACGCTTCCTCGAGTCGACCAATTCTTGCCTACGTGAGTCACGACACTACGTATGCAAAAGCCTGTTTCCAGGATTTGTGTTCCTGTCCTGGGATACTTCGAACAACTGCAGAATTCACTTTTTGTGGTCTAGTAGCAAGTATTCTCGGCCATCTCTCAGCTTGTTTCCGTCGTCTTCAACAAGGACAAAGAAGGCAGGATACTGGTGCCTGAGAGAAGTTGGACATTTAATCTCTTGGGACGGCTTCCAGGCTTGTTATTCATTCACTCACATGCAACAACGTGCGTGACTGGTTGCGTCACGTTTCCCACAGTCAGAGGGAAACTTCCATTCTTTTTATTTCGGTATTTGGATCTCTTTTGTCGGGGGTCTGGTTATTCACTTTTGACGTTATCGAGGCCGACACGGAGTCATCACCATGTCCATGTTTAGACACTCCTTTACGGTGAAAGATGAACCCAGTAAGACGGGCCGCTGGATGAGGAAGAGACATGGGAGACACAGCAGACATAGCAAGCTGAAGGCGCAGAGCAGGTCGGACAGCTTAACTGAACGGTAAGACTTGATTCTCTTATTGGACATGGACGGCGTAGCTGATGATCTATTAGTCCTGTTTCAAGCCCAGCAGTCACCTTCGTCGTGAGCTCGGAAAGACGTTTCTTCGTGGGCCACGAACATGTCATCGCTCGCTCTCCCTACTTCCGTAGTATCCTACGAGACCTGTCCATGGTTGGAGCTCATGCGAACAAGGTGGTGGAGCTGCCAGATGAGTGCGCAACCCTGACCTTGAATGGCTCGCGCATACTCTAAGCAAAAACAGAGACCCAGAAATATTCTCCTGCGTTCTCGAATACCTCTACAAAGGCGACTATTACCCCCGCCTAACCCACAACGAACTCGAGAACGCTCATGAGAGCAAGACCTCAGACCGCATCACAAGCAAAGCAACTATCCTCCACATCCGAACCCGCGACGAAATCCTCCGCGACACTGTTGTTTACTGCGCAGCAGAAAAATACGGCCTGGAAGATCTCAAGCAGCTCGCGCTCCGCAAGCAGGGTCTTCACGTAGGGATTCCGATTCCTATTATCTTGCGCTCTGCTCGGTATGCGTATGAGAACACGCCGGATTCGGATGCGGATTTGCGCGCGCATTACTTGGTTATGGTGATAAGGGCGAGGGAGATGTTTAAGACGAGTGGGACGATGGAGATGGAGATGGAGAAGGGGCATGCGTGGTTTTTTGATCTTTTTGTTGCTATGTGCAATCATATTGATGACATGGAGAGTTTTTGGTGGGTTCTTTCGCACTATATGCAAGACGTTTACTGACATTTTGCACTTTAGCAAGCAGCAAACTTTCAATTCACCCTAAAGCATTGCTGCAATGAAACTGATCGAGACGCACCCAACTCTAAACAAACGCGTTACCAGAATGCCAGTTTATCGACATCTAACAACCCATCTGTTTACTCATTGCGACATCTATCGCTACTATTTCCGGTCCTTTTTTTGATTTCGTCGGCTCGCAACTCTAACCCTGTGATTCCTTGATACATGCACGCAATTGAATTTGATCATTGGACCATACGACGCCGATATGCTCGTTTCCGCCGGTGATTTCTGTCGATTTACCTTCAGGAAGGATTAATCGCCAAACTATCTAGTGCGCAGAACACGCTTGGTGTCGAATTGTGTCCCTCATTTTCCTAATTTCAGACTTTATTTGCCTTCGTTTGAGATTGGTGTTATGTTGATATGTTGATGATATGACTAACTAGACTGACAACTGAGATACATGATATGTACCAAGCCAATTTCAAGCCAGCAAAATCGTAGAGAATACTGAAAGTCCAATTATATATGTTCAACATATTTTGTATAGCACAGCTGACAAGATATCTCCAAGCGCCATGCCCACCTTCCCTTATTTCCTTCCATACAAACGCCGAAAAGTAATGTACAGCCATAAATGCATAAGCATAAACTAAATCATGACAATCTAACGCAAAAAAGTTCAGATCTCATCCTCAGGCGCCAAATCCCACTTCCTCGTCGCCATCTTCCTAGTTCTTTTCCCCGGCGAGCCCCCCGCACCAGCCGTAACACTAGGAGCGAACATATCCTCAGCCAACTTAAGCTGATCCATATGGCGAAGCGCAGATTCAATGTCACTCTCGCGTCCGAGGAGGTTCGAGTTTCGGGATGATTTGAGGGCATTTCTAGTCCTTGGTCTTGTTGGTTGTTTGGTTGGCGAGCGGCAATTTAGTTCGCGCTCGAGGGAGGTGATTTTGGCGCGGAGTTGGTCGTTTTCGAATTCGAGAGATTGGTATTTTTCGTCAGCGGGTGGTTCAGGGTCTTCGGTTACTGTGCCGATTTGTTAGTTTTCGGGTACTAGCGGGGGATTCAAGAAGAGTGCTTACTGTGGAAGCCACGGGAGAGTAATTCAATCTTCTTATCCATATGTTCATCGTTGTATCCGGTCTGGTCGTCCCAGGCACTCTGCCACCTCTTCCTTTCTTCTTCCATCTTTTCGTCCATCTCAGCCCAACATTCCTCTCGCACTTCTTGTTCCACCGTGAGACATCTTTCGTCGCTTGCCTTCAGATGCATTTCAAGCTCTGCATGTGCGACTTCTTCTTGTGTAAGCCGCACAGAGAGGTTCTCATTTTCAGAGGTCAATCGTGCAATTACAGTCAAGGCATTTTCAAGTTCTTCATTTAATGCCGGATCTGGTGAGTTCCGCCCATGATATGATACCCTCGGGGAGCGCAAGGTGGCCGAGAAAACGCTCTCAGCTGGAGAAGGTGCACGAGCTACAGCAACATCCTTGGCCAGAGCAGAGTAGCGGAGGATCTGCGAAGTAGCATTATAGTCCCCCAGAGGATCAGCTGTGACTATCATGACTGCTTTTTGTGGTGCACGACTATGAGACGAGTTTGAGGATGGGAATGAGTTAGAGAAGAGCAGTTCAGTCAGCTTGCACTGTCTGTACGGGACAAGAGACGCCTTGCCGTCTTGGATTTCGCTTTGCATTTGTAAGCACTGTCCCAGGTACATCAGACTTTCATTTATCTTTCCAGCTTCAGCAAGGGTTGAGCCCGCAGTTTTGGCAGTTCTTGCTCGCTCAGAGCCTAGAAAAAGGTTAATACCGATATGACGATATTTTGGTATGTATTACTCACCAGCAAGATCGGCAACAGTAAGAGTATTTCCGACCCATGTCTCCTCGCCAGTGATCTTATGTCTCATTCTTCTCTTGACCTCAAGGCAAAAGAATCCATGGCTCCGGGAACTGACACTGTTTGCGCCGGTTCCAGTAACCTTACGCTCCGTAAGTCCGACATCGAGAATAGCCAGCGCCTCTTCATAGGTGCTGCAGGCGATCTTTCTCAGTGAGGCGACAACCTTCCGATCGGGTGACCCTTCAGTGTACTTGAACATGACGGGCCGTCTCCGGTCCTTCTGGTTGTTCCCCGGTTGACGGGAACTTCCTTGCCCAGGAGTAATAGCGGGGGACAAAAGATCGAAGATTCGGTCATTGTACACTTCGTACATAGAGACGAGAACCATATACTCGGACTTCGGGTTCAAATCCGGGGCGAAATGACTAAGGTCAGGTACTCGCGGCAACACGCTGGGGCGCTGGGGCATCTGTCGACGGGGGAAAATCAGGGCGGGCATCGGGTCCTTTGAAGATTGAAATTCTGATTTAGCAAGACTATTTATGATCATCCTTGGGTGTATATGTGACGTTGATGGGGATCCAGGAACCAATCGTATAGAGGAATCTTTAGGCACATTGTTCGAATCTCCACGGTCTGGGCTCTGAGAAGGTCTGCGACTGAACCTGAGGGGTGAAGTAGGGACCGAAGGTAGACTTGGGTAAAGCCGTCCGAAGACTGAGGTTTTTTGCATCAACTTTGAGGGAAGAGGATTCCTTACCACCAAAGGGGTATTGCCTCTAGACGAGCTTATGGGAGTCTGGGCTCTCGAGTTCCTTCCACGGTCCGCATTTGGGTCGCCGTAAACTGCTTCGAGGAAAGTCTGGGCCGCGAAAAACTGGGCCTCGCAGGGATCCGATGCGGCGACGGATGCTAATAGGTTGGGGTTGATTGAGTTGTCCGGGGGTTTAATAGTGGGCTCTAACGCTTTGAAGATCACATCCAGGGACATTTGTGTAAGTCCTCTTTGCGATTTCGAGCCGAGAATGGTGTGACTCTGGATATTGTGATGGTTAGCATCGCTCTGTTTCATTTTCCTCAACGAACTCCAACCTTTCCACTTCCAGTAACGCCCAGTGTAGCGATCAATCCATCTCGACCCTCAAGCAATACACCCCTGATAATATCATTCATGCCTGTGTCCTGGAAAACATCTATTTGCGATGCTGCCTCGTCAAAAACCTGCGTGAACCCGAATCTCTCCACAGCTCGTTTCCTCGAATCGGCGGGAGGTTGCAGCGTGATGTGGGTAGCGGCCGGGAGCGGAACATCCTGGCCATCTTCTGCATTTTCGATATTATGCTCCGGGGGATCAACAATCAAGCAACGATCCGGTTGGATGTCTCTTGGCTGGGAAATCGGAGGCCGAAGACGGAGATAAACTTGAAACAGAATGTTCTGCGAAGGTTTGGGGGTGGGATTCATGATTGCAATTGCTCCACTAGTTGTCGGTATTGAGTTTAGAGCCCGAGACTGCATACAGTGATGCTGCTGGAAGTGACGTGGTGGAGAGTCGAGGAGAAACAACAGCGAGATGCGTGGCCGGTGGAGGCTCGCTTTTGCCCGTTTAGGCAAGCCGCAGTTGGGGGGACAACGGTTATATGGGGTAATTATAGCATTGATCACCTATCCTGCTTACTCATCATTTTTTTTAATATCACATGACTTACAGCATCATAGCTTCACCTGGAAATTGACATCAAAGATAAATAAAAGAACTTTATCGCATAGACCTCTGTACTTGTAGATATTGCTTAATATTTTATGCAAAAATAAAAAAGAAATAAATCTCCGGTGTTGTTGTAAATTGTATACCCGTCTATTCGGTCTACTTCGTAGCCCGCTCCAGATTCCCCGAGGCCACCTCTCCAACTCGTCCCAGCTCGACACCTGACAGAGACATCTCTACATCCACACGGCTCGACAGAATTTAACGGGTATTGCGCAAGCGCCCTGTTGCATTGGACTTGATCGCATCTCCTCACATCCAGAATCTACCAACCTCCTAATCTCCCCGTCGATAGAAAATCAACCGTCCTCCACCTCAACGAGATCGCATAGCCCATCATGTTGTCCTTCCTATCATCGAGTATGTCCAATATGCGCCAATCGCTGGCACAGGTTCTCAACTTCGCGCTGGTCCTCTCTACGGCTTTTATGATGTGGAAGGGACTGTCGGTAGCTACGGCCTCCTCGTCGCCCATTGTTGTTGTCCTGTCTGGGTCTATGGAGCCAGCTTTCCAGAGAGGCGATTTGCTCTTCTTGTGGAACCGGGCTCCACGCGCTGAATTGGGAGAAGTTGTGGTTTACAATGTCAGGGGCAAGGATATTCCAATCGTGCACCGTGTTGTGAGGACATTCCCTGAGGTCGAGGGGAAGGCGAAGCAGGTTAAGGAGATTGAGGAGTATGTCTACATTTCTGCCCTCGTGGGTTTAGTTTATCTGATCGTTGCTAACGTATGCTTGTTTAGTGCCTCGACCGTGTCGAACAATATGCTCTTGACCAAGGGAGACAACAACGTTGCCGATGACACTGAGCTCTACGCGCGCGGTCAGGAATATTTAAATCGAGAGGAAGATATTGTGGGTAGCGTGCGCGGGTATATCCCGATGGTTGGATATGTGACTATCATGCTCAGTGAGCATCCTTGGCTCAAGACGGTGTTGCTGGGAATTATGGGATTAACGGTGATGCTGCAACGGGAGCAATAGACACTCATGCTGGGGATAAAAAGCTATCGATGATATGAATTGCATGTTTCTGTTATTTTGGGTTCTATTGCGCTGGCATGATTGTTGCAGTCGCGTATACGAAAAGTTTGATATATTTAGATGTAAGCGGAGTATCATTGGTGTGAACCAGTGTTAGCTGGATGAAACAGGAACATAGAAACCCAGAAAGCTTTTTATGGCTGAGAGCCATTTATAGACCAGTCAACACCTTGGAGACGTCACTTCCCCCCGCCCACCGCCGCCCCGCTGCGACCTCTTCAGAGTCATTCAATTAATCAGTCACTAATTCTCTGCTTTTAAGCCTGAATTGTAAATTTTTTTTTTTTTTTTTTTTTTTGGCTTGTCTTCATCCCTACCACGTTTCCTCTAGCCAGTTATTCATCCCCCTCCTCTCCTGGCTGTCATCTCCTTACCTCCATCCTCTTTTCGCACCCCGTACTTGCCCCTCCACAGATCGCTATCATGGGCAGCCAAAAGCGGATAGCAAAGGTACGTAACAAGATCGCTGCTAAGCTTCGTCTAGCAACGTCTATTCATAGTACTAACTATTTCGTAGGAGCTAGCTGAGCTTGTCGATTCCCCTCCCGAAGGTATCAAAGTCGAGCTCGCAAACGAAGCAGATCTCTACGACTGGAAAGTCTACTTGAACGGCCCCGAAAGCTCCCCTTTCCACGTACGTCCATGCTATCTACTCTTACTTAGACCAATAACTCATTTAACTAACGAAAATAGAACGGCACGTTCCTAGTCAAACTCAAGTTCCCCAACGAATACCCCTTCAAGCCCCCCGCGGTCAACTTCGCAACGAAGATATACCATCCGAACGTTACAAATGACGATAAAGGAAGTATGTGTCTGGGGATGCTGAGGCCCGACGAGTGGAAGCCCAGTTCGCGGGTAGTGGCGGTACTGCAGTTTGCTCGTCAGCTGCTGGCCGAACCAATGCCGGACGATGCTGTTGAGGGACGGATTGCGGAGCAGTACAAGAATGATCGGGCGCGGTATGAGGAGGTGGCGAGGGACTGGACACGTCGGTATGCGAACGAGAAGGCATAATGGGCACACCCGGTGGACAGACAGAATGCTTTTACTGGAATCGGATTTGGGTTTCAGGCGGTCGCTGGATGGTTGAAGATCATAATAGCGTCCGGCCGTTTCTTATGCAATCGCCGCACGCTTGATCTGCTCTTGGAAACACTTAGAGACATCACAGTACAGACATGGTGAACAGGGCCAGCATCATTCTTATGGAGGCGCATTTGGAAACCGACATTTTTATCATCAATCGAGCGCATCGAGATACGGTTTTCTTGACGGATACGTCTTGGTTATTATGCATAAACTATACAGAATTCTTAAATTGCACAATGCAAGCATAGTTTCACATTACAAGCGATTCCACATGTCAGCAATATATCTCTTGCAAGAGAATGAACCTTTAAGGACGGTAATGGTATCCGACAACCCAGCAATGTATCTACACTGACTGTTAATCCCATACATCATGTGCCCCAACATCTCCATTCCTGTAACCGCATATCCACAATCACATGGTCTACACTTACAATGGCATTCCACTTGCGGTAAAATCTGAAGCACAGAATGTCTTTGATACTGGAAGAATTTACTGTGGTATCTGGTTGATTGACAATATGTTTGGAAGCTTGTAATCAGTATTACCAGATATATTACCCTGTATGGATAGTAAATGATCTTTACGAAGCAATGGGCATAAATGGATGTGTGAGGTACAATGGAGAACACTGCTTTGTATTATTGAATAAATGAAAGATTATTGATCGTCCATGTGATCAAAATTCGTATTCTACTGACACCGATGAGCTCTGGATACCCCGTACTCCGTACATATGTTTTCTCCATCCTCTGTTCTAGTGAAATCCTCAAAAAGGAGATTCAGCTCTCCTCCCGGCCAGAACCCAGACGCAAGGCAAAAAGCACATACGACAAGCTACAAGCTACACTACCGGTGTACAAAGTACGAATCCTGGAAAATAGACGGAGAAACCGGAGAATTCCCGGCATGTCGATCGTCCAGACTAGTCAGAGATATTCCTTTGTCCAGAAGCCAGAAGCATTTCGGAACCACGTCTGTATGAACAGATAGAGTTAGTCTAGCAGCGCCGGACTGCCAAACACCCGACGGATTGGGACTCCCGAGGAGCGACTCATGTCGACCGAACGATCGTGGAAGATGCTTGGAAGGAATCGGATGGGATACTAGTGTAGTAATATTAATCATAAGGACGAGATTGGGCCGGACCATCGCAATAATTCCACACTTGTGCTTGGTCTGGGCTTGACCCTTTTATTTTCATATTATTATTTCCATTTTACCCTCCCGGGAGCGTGCTCGACTCCCTGTACAGGGCCGTTGATGTGGATCCGACGCTAGCAGTCCTTGAAACCAACGAGAAAAAAGAGACAGCTCCACTCGCTAGTTAATATTCTGGCCCTGATGATGGATTGATGACGACCCGTTCACTCGGAGACGGATTCTGGATTGGAAACAAAGTTAATGAAATGGAAAAAAACAGGTTACAGGACAGAAACCTCGGCGCGGGTGTCTTTGCAAGAGGGAACTGCTCCGGTAGGTGAAGCAAGTCATGTCATATCCATAGACAGACGATCCAGTGGGCGATACTAATCTTATTCTCTTCGCAGAGATTTCCATGTGCTTGACTTTTTAGCGTCTACCAGATGGCAAGAAGTAAGATTATGATGGACCAAACCAAGCCCTGCGAAATGAACCGGAAAAGAATCTCCATCCATCTGTATTTCTGATCTGTCTTTGTATAACGTGTACCTGTAAAGATGTGCGAAAAGTATGTACAGCAGTTCGTCGTAGGTTCGCTTCCTTTTGTGCTCTGTATACTCCCAGGGACCCTGAGTAGGTTATATATCAATCCTTCTTAAATCCCTGTATAACGGTAGACTTCATTATCCCCGGACGGAACGGATCGCGAGCCCCGCGTTGCCTCATCTAACTGAGTCAAAAGGTAAAGAGAAAGCTAAAGCGAGTCAAAGGGTAAGGCGAGAGAGTGATAGGAAGAAGCCATTGGTAGACGCATGGATGGATGCAATGTAGGGTGTGTGACCAGTCACGGAGGTTTACCCCTGCAGGCGGTGCAGATTTGATGAATGTAGACTCTGGAGGTACTTCTATGCCCTCTATCACCACAAGTGACAACTAACCCGGAGTACAGAGTACTCACAAGTCGAAGCAAAAGAAGCGACATATATCAAGATATCCCGCATAGAGGAGAAGTTGTTTCTGTTCATCTGAAACACCGATACCGTTTTACCAGGTACCGGACCGTACCGTACCATACCAAACAATACCACGCTAGACCGGACAGGGAGCTCAACCATTTGCTTCCTTTTTCTCCTCTCCTTTTCTACAACCTCAACCCTCTTTCTCTTTCTTCTTCTACTCTCCATTCTTCTTCTTTTTCCTCCTTGTCGTCTCTCATTCTCTTCCCCTTGAACCTCTGGTAGGATCGTGGGATTCGTTCGGATGGACTGACTTCATTGTTGCATCGCGTTGCTGCTGGGGGCTCCCTGACGTTCGTTTGGCTGTCAATCTACGGTTGACGTCCCGGTAGCCTCGTCCCGTTTAATTACCTTTTACCTTTGCTTTTTCACTCTTTCGCATTCTTAAAGGGGTTATCTCTCGCTCGTTGTTGCGGTTATCTTTACACCTGTGTTGAAAGCTGTCTCTCCCAATTGCCCGGAAAGACAGTAAGCGCTCGCTACCATTGACGATTCCCACGTTTCGCATATCGACAAATGTCCAGCAGGTCCTGGGTGCTACTATCTCGTGGCCATGGTCACAGAAAATGGAGAATTTCGATATCCGCCTCGCGTGGGCGAATTTGATATCCCCAGCCGTCGCAGAGTCCCCCCTCCTCCACGCCTCGATCCGTTAAGGTTCCATCCTCCCGCTCCTCCTACACGTCCTGCAACCTCCCACTCCCAGGGCGCTCATTCTCGTTCCAACTCCCCTCGTTTACCGCCTGCTCCGTTTAGAGCAAGAGGTCCTCTCCCCCATGGACATTGGCCACCACCGCCGGAAGAGCTAGTGTCACCGTGTCCGTCACCTCAATTCGGTCCGGATTATAGCGCCTATTTTGACTTCAATCCGCCCAGAGCAACACATCGTGCCCCAACGTTTCCTGCGGTTTCTAACGAGCCGGTTCCAACATGGCGCCACATGGACGGCGAAGGCGACCGCCTGTCCCACCGGAAGATGCCTCCAGGACGGGCTGGTCTGCGAATTTCCATGTCCGCCTCTCGCCTGAATCATCAAAAGCGTGCCAAGGGCCACCATTCACGCGAGCGTCGTCCAACTGATACCAGTAATCCTCAAGCATTAAACTTGCCGCGGGCTACGCCAAGTAGCTCGCTGGATGCCTACGGGGGCAATGACGCTCTTCGATCTAGTGTCAACTCGGCAATGACCTCGCGCTCCAGTATCGAACAAAACAGTGGAACTGAGCGTAGCAGTGTTTTGACGAAAAGCAGCTCCGTCACCGACCTTTCACCCGATACCCCCGATGGACCGGAGAAGGATGGTGGTATGAGCGTCGAAGATGCCATTTCCATGTATTTGGATGGCTTCAGCGATGTGACAGAAGAGCCGTCTTCGCCAGATCTCCATGCGGAAGACAAATCGCGCCCGTCGAGCCCACGACCGTCAACAACAATGACCATGGACACTTATGATGAACAATCGCCCGATATAAACCCCGTGGAAAACCTCCCTCCTGTACCACCGCTTCCGGAACTGCAACCCATGGGCCAGAACCAGCCGTATCAGGAACTCCTCGATGATCAATCATCGACTCACGAAACTCCTAATGAACATTCTCATGAAACCTACCACCACGAGCCGACATCCCCCGCCAAGGACCCAGGGATTGCCAGGCAAGAATCTACCATTGTCATTCCTGGTGTCGTTCCGCCACCGCTTCTGCCAGGAACCGACACGCGTGACCGCTATGGATTCCGAAAGGCTAGTAATCATGTCCCGATCGAGCGCTACAATGCCTGGAGTCGCCCGTATTCTTCCTTTGCAGCCAACCGGAATGTGAAGTGGATGGAACTTCTCAGGGAACACGGTTTGGAGACGAAGGAACCAACACGGTTTCCACTGCAGTCCTCGCGTGTGAAGCGTTTCGTGCGTAAGGGTATTCCATCCGAATATCGAGGTGCGGCGTGGTTCTATTACGCCGGAGGCTTCGAGCTTCTGGACCGGAATCCGGGACTGTACGATGAATTGGTTCAGAAGGCCATGATATCGCCCTCCAACGATGACAAGGAACACATTGAGCGTGACCTCCATCGGACGTTTCCCGACAATATTCACTTTAAGCCTGAGCAGGGAGCCAGCTCTGGTAGTAGCAACCCGCAGGGCACGGTGGTTGAGACTCAAATGATCCAGTCTCTTCGGCGTGTCCTATACGCATATGCGCTTCACAACCCGAAAGTTGGCTACACCCAATCGCTCAACTTCATCACAGGAATGCTTTTGCTGTTTCTCCCCGAGGAAAAGGCGTTCTGGATGCTGCACATCGTCACCTCTTTGTACCTTCCGGGAACACACGAGATTAGTCTAGAGGGTGCGAATATCGACCTTTGGATTCTCATGGTTCTCCTCAAGGAATCGATGCCGAACATCTACAGCAAAATCGCAGCCACGGGTCCTGGCAGCAACAAGGCCCGTGCTCCGGCTCTCACCGTTCACTCGCGACTGCCTGATATCACGCTTGGATTGACGAATTGGCTCATGTCGATATTCATCGGAACTTTGCCATTGGAGACAACCTTGCGTGTTTGGGACGTCTTCTTCTATGAAGGGTCCAAGACTTTCTTCCGTGTGTCCCTGGCCATTTTCAAGGCATGCGAAAAGGACATTCTCGCTGTCTCTGATCCCATGGAGGTGTTTCAAGTTGTTCAAACGGTTCCCAAGAAATTACTGGATGCCAACACACTGCTGGACGATTGTTTTGTCCGACGCCATCGCGTGGGACAAGGTCGAATCGATGAATTGCGGGCACAACGACGTGCGGCCGTTCGACAGGATAAGATCCGACGATCCATGGCGATGACGCAGGGCCAACTTCAAGCAGCTACTGATGAATGGCCGACTCAGCGATCGCGCACTCCGATCCCGGGACTTGTCGCAGATTCATGGCGACACATGAGGAGACATCATCACGCAGTCCGGTGACTGTGATTAAAAAGAAGAAATCTATCCCCAATGATGCTGGTATTGTTTTTTTTTTGTTTATTTCTCTACATTGATACCCAAACGGCGCTGTTCTGTTTTCCTCATACCCTCCTTTTCACTACTTTTTTTTTTTTTTTCCTTTCCATCCGCAGGAGCCATTGGATTTTGATTTTCAGTGGCCAGATCGGTTACGATTGCGATCGTCCACTCCCTAATGTTTATTCTCATTTTGTTACCCAATTGTTATTGATGAAGGAGCTCATGGAGCCGGCGTGTCTGTGTTTTGATTCGGAGATCGGAGATGAAATACCCACCGGACGGACTATGTGTACATAGCTCGGAAGCATAACCATGGATCTACTTGAACCATGATTCATTGATCTTGCAGCAGTAGCCGATCTTGACGTAGGGCTGACCTTTGGTTCGGCCACAGTAGTCCCTCGCTTTTGGCCGCTTTCGGAAAGCGTGAACTCTCAGCTGAAGTTTCTTTCGTCCCTTTTATTTTCACTTTTTGCATTCACCCCTCTTCTTGTCTTCCTACCACCTCATTCACCGGTATGCAACGATGAGTGGACAGGCGGCTAGTTACTATAATCCTTCCCAAGGCTTTGAGGAGGCTCCTCCTCAGCAGCCTCAGCAGCCTTACCAGCAACCTTACCAGCAGTCTTACCAGCAGTCTTACCAGCAGCCCGTTTACAACCCACAGCAACAGCAACAACAGCCGTACGCTCCCTACCCGAACCAAGGCGTTCCTGAATCCAAACCCCCGGAGCATCCTCCCACATACGACCAAGCTGTGTACGGTTTCGATGAGGCGTTTAAAATCGAGAAACCCAAGCTGAACGATCTCTGGGCCGGTCTTTTGGTGCGTCCCTCCCTTCTTTCGTCCCCCTTACCGAAACCAACAACTGCTAACAGCTATTTTATAATAGCTTATTGCAGTCTTCCTCGGCTACGCCGCTATATCCGGTCTTACCATCCACCGCTATGCGAAATACAAAGGCTTCAATGGTGGCGGCATCTACGACGCCGGTAATGAGGTCTCCCTCAACACGAACACACTGGTGCTATTCATATTCGTCCTCTGCGTCGCGATCGTATTTTCTTGGGCTTATTTTATGGGTGCGCGGTTCTTTCCGAAAACATTTATTTGGGTGACTGGGATTTTGAATATCGTTCTTGCGCTCGCGACGGGAATTTACTATATCTGTCGCAAGCAATATGGTGGTGGAATCGCATTTCTGGTATTCGGCGTATTTGCGATAATCTGTTTCATCAGTTGGATCCCGCGCATCCCGTTTACAGCGTTCATGCTGCAAACTAGCATGGATGTTACAAGGAAATACGGACATGTGTTTGTTGTGAGCGCACTTGGCGGAATCGTGGCTGTCGCCTTTGCGGCTTGGTTCTCCGTTACCCTGGTTGCGGTATACGTCGCCTACGAACCAACAAGCAGCAGCAGCGGTCGCGCGGGCGCTGTTGACGGTCTCTCAGGCACTAGCAGCGCGGGCAATCCCTCCTGTAGCAACGGCGGCTGCAGTCGCGCACGGGTTATCGGACTAGTCGTGTACGTAACCTTCGCGATGTACTGGGTTAGCGAGTGGATCAAGAACACCGTGCACACGACCATCGCAGGCATCTACGGCTCGTGGTACTATTTCTGCGGCGAGGGCCTAGGCGGACAGGGAGGCAAGAAGATGCCCAAGGGCTCGACGCGTGGTGCATTCAAGCGCGCAACGACGTACTCCTTCGGCAGCATCAGTCTGGGAAGCTTGTTCATCGCAATCATCAACATGCTCCGCCAAGCATGCTCTATTGCCCAGCGGCATGAAGCCGCAGAGGGAAACACCATCGGTTGCGTATTCGCCTGGATCCTAGGATCCTGCATCAGCCTCCTCGACTGGCTCGTCACCCTCTTCAACCGCTATGCCTTCTGCCACATCGCGCTCTGGGGCAAAGCCTACATCCCCGCCGCAAAGGACACATGGGCTATGATGCGCGATCGCGGTGTCGACGCCCTCGTCAACGACTGCCTCATGGGCCCCGTGCTTACAATGGGAAGTGTGGGCGTGTCGTATATCTGTGCGTTGCTAGCATACTTGTACCTCCAGTTTACGAATCCCGGGTATAACGCGGACGGCAACTTTACGGCGGTGATTATGGCATTTGCGTTTGTGATTGGGTTGCAGGTTGCGCAGATTTTCCTGACGCCGGTGGGATCGGGGATTGAGACGATTTTTGCGGCCATGGCGTGGGATCCTGAGGTTATGATGAGGGAGCATCCCGGGTTGTATCAGGAGTTGATTAAGGTTTATCCTAAGGTGCAGCAGGCTGTTCATGCTTAGATTGTACAAGTATTTTGGTATGGCATGGTATGGAATGTCGGTGTAAATGTATGTACTAGTGTTTAATGTTGTAATGGATCATTAATGCTATTGTTATTGCTATTGCTATTGCTATCAAAATCGTTCACTGGTAACACACCTCGTCAGATTAACCAATACCCAAGCCAGCATCTTGACCGTGGCTGTCAACAATTTAACCACTAGGTCTAACCCCCAGAACAACACCCTCAACACTCCCCGTGCGATAGAAGGTAGTTTTTCTCCCTCCCGTGAGGAACTAGGTCCATACCGGCCGTATTTCTCAAGGTCGAATTCTTCGATCACGATTTGTTTGTTTTTTTGTTTCTTTTGTTTCGGTCCTCGGGGGTGGGGTTTGCGGAGCCAGTTCCAGAAGAAGGGTTTGGGGGTATCATCGCTGGGTTTTTGCTTATCGTTGTCAACCGTGCTTGTGTTAGGACCCGATTTAACTCCCTCCACAAGAGCACATCCCATCACCGCATCATCCCTCTCCGCAACTGATGAAACCAATTCCTGCCTTGTACTCTGATTTTGAAACCGTCCAGTTCCCATCCCCATCTCCATTCCCATAAGAACACCCCTGCTCCCCTCATCCGCAACAGCAACGGCCAGGACCCCCGCAACTACGGAGTCAATCGCGTATAATGATGGGATCGTCGCGATGACTGCTCCCGAGGAGATATGTAGTGTTTTAGTAGAGAGATCTAGGGATGCTAGTGGGCCATCTGTGTCCGTGAGTGGGAGAGTTGAGGTACGTGGTGTTGGTGCGAGGTGGGAAGAGTCTGTGGATGTGGAGTTTGAGGGTGTGGGTATCGTTGCTAGGATTGTTGGTGGTTGAAAATTGTTATCGTTTGGTGATGGTGCCGAGACGGTGATATGTACAGCACCAGATCCCTTAGACCGTGCAGGTGAAAGCGGGATTCCAGCAGCACCAACCAGTGCTGGCGTACTCTGTTTTGAGAACGATGGATGTTCAAGCGTGAATAAACGAAGATCTTGATTCCACACCAAACGACAAGATTCCTGCTCTTCCGCTCGTTTAAGCGCTTTCCTTTCCGCCTCTAGCGCTTCCGATGGCGTTAGATGCTGCTGTTTCACGAGTTCGTCGACCTGCTCAATGGCGAGCATTGCTGCTATGCGAGATGAAATTACTGAAACGAGGCCATCGTTTGGGGGTTCGCGACGGGTGCAATTCTCGAGGGTTAGGGTCATGATTGGGATGCTGTTGGTTGGTTTGGAGGGGTTTGTTCGGGAGATTGTTAGCTCGGTGGGGGTGGTGAGTCGGAGGGTGTAGAAAGAGTGTTGGTGTTGGGAGGAGCTGAATGTAAATGTTGTTGGGTCGGTTCTGCTACAGGTCAGCGGTTGCTTTCAGCAAAGAGAAGGTGGGTAGAGGGTTACCGTGTGAGGCGCAAATTGAAGTTTGTAGTAGGATAATCTGGTCGTTGGCCATTGGCAGCTTCCCAAAGGCCTTGGAGATCTGCTGTAGAGGAATACAGTTCCTCTGTAGAGTCGAGAACACCCGGTGGAAAGTCCATTACACTTGCCGGCACGGTTTTCGGTCCTAGGGTACGGTCGATATCCGGCTCCGGCGAGAGGACCAGACCCTTTTGTTTCTGGTGGGATCTTGAGTTGCTGCTTGATAATTGCGGATAATAGTCCTGCTGATTGAGAGGCAGATTCGGATTATACCGCGGAAAGACTGATCTAATGGGAATGCTCAAGGCTGAGAATCTCCCCGGAGACCGATTCTCCACAAGCGTACTTGAGCTAGATAAAGCCACTCGCTCCGGCTTCCGTTCCTGCCTCTTCTCATCACCATCTCCTCGACCCACACCATGCAGTCTATCAGAGAATTTTGCAGCTGGCTTGGTCACATGTGTTTTTGGCGGTGGCTTTGGCGGTTGGATGACTTTTGCATTCTCCCTAATCTGACGGAGCACGGCGTCGGTTTTTCGGGAACCTTTTAGGTCTTCTAGGAGAGTTGGTGTGGATGAGGAAGTGTTGTCGACTAAGACTTTTCTGCCTCTGCCTCCTCTGGAGGGAAGGTTTTCTTTGGATGATGATGTTGGGGTGAGAGGGGGAAAGAGGCGGAACTGGCTCATTTCATATATATTCTGTTGATAGGTCAGCTGATTGATCTAGTTAACTGAACGACGACATACTTTACAACAGAATATTCAGACAGACAAGAAACTTTAGTCGAAGAAGATAAAAGTATACTAGTTGATGCAGCTGAGGGAGATGCAAGCAGACAAGGTTTCGTTCTCAGCGGGAAGAAGGACATATATCATCACACCCGCCCTCGTCTGAAGAATTGCACGGAAAACCATCGGGGCGTCAAGCTTGCACCAAAATGGAGAAAGGCCGTTGTGCTGCATGAAATGTGCTGCACTGTTCATCGCCGGCGCTTAAGCTGGCCAGCCGGTGATTGGCTACTCTTCGACTGTTGATAGCATGATTTTGATCAGGGCGCTTCGACAGGACAATCAAATTGATTCTTGTTTATATGACGTTGAGAATATCTGGCTTTGAATGGATTGGATGGGAGTTGTTGGTGTTATTTGTGTAGTCAGGTCTGAGTATCACATGAAGAAATTTTGAAAATATGTACAGTGGTATAATAATATATCAGTTTTCCATGGCCTCTTCGTGAACCGAGTACGTCAGAGCTTCAGCCATTGAAATGGCTCCCTCCATGTTATCCTTGTTATACAAAAACAAGCCCTGCAAAGCCGCAGCGCTGGTGGTTCTCGACCGATCGGCCTGTTGACCATTCTCGTCCTCAATCAGCCCAAGCTTCTCCAATTTCGTGAGGAATGTGTGTCGATAAGCGCCAGTCGTATCGAGTTCCCCGTAGAACCGATCCCAGAGGCGGCCAACTTGGTAGCGGGTGACGGCGCCCAGACGGACAGTCATGTCTACCCGGCCAGGTCGGACGAGAGCCGGATCGAGACGGTCGACATGATTCGTGGTCAGGAAGAGGACACGCTCCTCGGCGCTAGCAACACCATCCAGGGCGTTGAGGAGTCCGGAGAATGTTACGTTAGCGCCACGGTAGCCGTCTACGTCTGTTTGTCGACGGTTGGCAAAGGCCGCATCCACATCTTCCAGCAACACTAGTGTCCGATTGGGAACAATGGTGAGAAGATGGTTTAAGCGGTCGTCGGTAAGCCCACGCTCACTCAGATTCAGGATTGCGATATCATAGTCCAACTCGCCAGCCAGAGCCTGAATAAACGAACTTTTACCCGTACCCGGTTGCCCGTAGAGTAGATACCCACGACGGTAGGGAATCCCACGATCGTGATACCACTTGCCGCTTTCCAGGAAGTCTTTGACATCCATGACGATACGCTCCTTAACGCCCTCGTCAAGAATCACTGATTCCAACGGACGCTTCCGCCGTGGATGTCCAAATGGCCTCCATTCCGTACCCCAACTGTTATAGATAGTCGTCTTTCCTTCATGCGCCTTGGCTGCAAATGCGTGTGCCTCCGTGAAGAGCTCTTCAAAAACATGTCGATGAGAGTAGAGCGTGGTCAACGTAATGGTCTCCCACGGCCGGCCCGTCTGCAAATCAACAGACTTGGCCTCCCGCATTCGATTGACAAAGATAAACGCATTCTTATACCGCAAGACATGCTTTCCAGGCCCAGGAACTAGTGCGAAATGTGTGTGAATCGCTCCGTTCGAATGCTCGACCTTTTGCGTTTGGATAGAGAGATGGCGCATCCCGGGCGTTAACCGTTGGAGTAACGAGTCCATGAAACCGGACTTTGCGGCCGTTGTGCGAGCAGTAGTATGAGATTGTTGGTATAATGTCATCCAGTGCAGAAACCACGGGTACGAATCATCCTTGATGCTGATTTCGACATCCACGAGCATCCGTCTTCGGAGGAGTGCAGCGCCATGTCGAAGGCCTTTTTGTGCGAAACTCAGACCTGCTCCGAGACCTGCAAGACCAAAGCCCTATACAGCGTAGAGTTAGCGACTTTCCTATGCCTTATTCTATATAGTAACGTACCGCCGTGAAGAAAGGATTGCTGGTGAGCTGGGACAGGTAGCTTCCGTCTCCAGAGGACTGCGCCGCCGCCTGAACCGCATCTTTTCTTTGCTGGATCAGATCGCCAGACGAGGGCAGCCCCGGAGCATTGGGCGGTCCATTTGGCTCCATTCCTCTGTAATTAACTCAATGACTGGTTGTTGGTGGAATTCATCCATCTTCATCAGATAACGATAAAAGCGTCATCGGAGTTAAGATGGTCCGACGACCGTTCGGGAATAAGGGTCTCAAATTGGATTGATGAAACCCATCAGTATTTCAGGTGTCTCTAAAATTGAATGAAAGGCTGGATGAGACAGTGTTCATTCAAGTTCACCCGACTTGGTGACTCGTGTTGCTATTTCCCTCCCCACCCCGCGGAGGGACTGAAATGACCGAATCCGTCAATGCGGAGATAACGAACTTAACATTAACATCCATGAATTTTCTCGGCCTTCTGAATTCATAGGTTGATTGGATGACATGATCCTGCAGCTTCGTGGCTATAAAGCATTGGACTATATAAGAATCAGCGATAACCTGGCATTGTATTGTCTGACTGCCTATACAACAGCTTCGACTCCGCGACAACGAAGATTCGCAAATGCGATCATACCAGCGCTGGTTCTTCTTCTTTCGCAAACAGACTAGAAGTACGCCTCCTTGTTCCAATCTACTTTTCGCAAAGCGCAATATGAGTTCGTCAACAGCGGCTGTCCTCTATGCCCTCACGGTCTCTACTTCTCCAATCTCTCCTGGGCCAGAGGATGCGTCAAAGAAAAGCCATCATCTTCAGGAGGGGTTCAAGAATCCATGGGAGTGAGCATTTGAGAAATTTCCAGAGAGCAAAAAGCACATATGATTAACCAACTATACAGTTCGTGGTACCAACATGACTTCTTTGGGATCCTCGGACACATGGTTCAGTAAGACAAACCAACTACCTTTCATTGACCAAAGTAATTCCTAACCTAGTCTGTTAAAGCCGCCGGGTATCTGGTAAAGGTAACGTCCCCGACACGAAGCCTCCAACCGTACCAGTCCAGAAACCCGAGTTCCTCCCCTCCCGAGAAACATCCAACCTACGAGCAACATGGCTAGGCCATGCATGTTACTACGTCGAATTCCCCAGCGGCCTGCGAGTCCTCTTCGACCCGGTCTTCGAGGACCGCTGCTCCCCTTGCTCCTTCATGGGCCCGAAGCGTTACACAAAGATGCCGTGTGAAATCAAAGACATACCCGTTGTCGACGCAGTCGTGATCTCACATAACCACTACGATCACTTGTCGTATCCAACCGTGAAGGAGATATCTGAAAAGCATCCGAATTGTCATTTCTTCGCTCCGCTGGGGAACAAGGCGTGGTTCGACAGCTGTGGAATTAATAATATGACTGAACTGGACTGGTGGGATGAGCGCGATATCATCCTCTCGCCATCGCAAGGGTCAGCGCCAGCTACGGATGTGGAAACGCCACATGGCGCTTCTGAAGCGAAGGATGCGGATATCAAAGCTCGCATTGGCTGCTTGCCATGTCAACATACGAGTGCACGCGGTCTCTTCGATAGGTCCAAGACATTGTGGTCTTCATGGTCTATCGAATCGGGAGGACGTAAAGTATACTTTGCTGGGTATGCGGCCTTCCTATTTTCCCTCACAATGTATAATATACTAACTACAATGCAGAGACACCGGTTACAGGGCCGTCCCTCAACTCCCCGACGATGTCGATGACCACGCCCCCGAATACGACTTCCCCTCCTGTCCAGCCTTCAAGCAAATCGGCAAATACCGCGGACCCTTCGATCTAGGTCTAATTCCCATCGGCGCATACCAACCCCGATACATCATGAGTCCCATGCACGCCGACCCGCACGACTCTGTACAAATATTCAAAGACACAAAGTGTCAGCGAGCGCTGGGTATGCATTGGGGTACGTGGGTGCTTACTGAGGAGGATGTTCTGGAGCCGCCGAGGAAGTTGAAGGAGTATTTGCGGAAGGAGGATATCGCTGAAGAGGGGGTTTTTGATGTTTGTGATATTGGGGAGAGTCGGGAGTTTTAGATATGTTTTTATTGCTTTGGGTGTGGTGGGACTTGTACGTCTTCTGTATAGTAGCTTGAGCGGTCTGTACTATTAGCTATATGGTTTTTAATTCTCTTGTTATCTTTGACTTTCACTACTTTTGGAATTAAATTGAAATGAGTCATGGATGTTTTTGAGTGAATGCTATGCAAATAATGGATTTGAAGTATGGCATATAGCCACATTACCACTATGAAGCTATACAAATGTCTCTTGGGGCCATTGTTGCCCATTTAAACCGTTTTAATAGATAATCTAAATCCCTTTGTCTCTAGTTATCACTATAATTAATGCTAAATAACTACACCAGCTTAGAGTGCCAGGAAATGTATCATCTCTACAATCTCCTAGGTTACAACCTGTAAGCCCATTCAACGATGGAGACCATAAAATTAGAGGTTGCCTAGGAAAGCAAAATAAACTGAAAGAAAACCATATTCACTTCTCACATTCCTCTTTTGAGAGGTAGGAGAAAGAAAAGAAAAAAAAGAAAGAAAAAAACCAATTTCTAGCTTCGCTCCGTTTACTCTTTATTCTATCAATAAAACCCTGGGATTCATTCAACCCTACTTTCACCATGTCGAGGCCTCCCGAACCCGGCCCCGACGTAATCGAAGTCAGTCGCTGGAGCACCAGCAGCAGTGAGGAAGAAGAAGATGAGAATGTCGAAGGACACGGGGTGGGCAGTCACGGATCCAAGACTAGCCAGAACAAGAATGCCTACGCCCACGACAAAAACGCCACCAAAAGAGATGACCATCCCCAGAACGAGCAAGAGGTCATCTACGAACTTGACGAAGACGCCATGTCCCAGCTCCCCGATCACCTCCAGACCAACATGCGTGAAATCCAACAGGAACGCATGGAACGTATTCATCGCGAGAACTCCCACGTCCAAATCCGCAAGGTTAGCACTCAGAAGGAGGCTCGCGGGGATAACTGGTTCAAAAACATGTTGTATCGCTTTCCTTCCATGCCCAATGTGGGTTTCCATGCGAATCGCGACAACGTTCGTCGCAAGAATAGTCCTGGTTTGGATGATTTAGAAGCGCATGAGCGTGCTCGTCTTGCGCCTGATTCTCCGCTCCCGCTTACCAAGGATAACCTCGAGTATTTGACGGAGTGCACTGGTGGTGAGACCAATGTCATGTTGGCGGCTGCGACCAGACGACGCAGGGTTGAGAAGAAGGTTTCGATCAAGGATCGTATCTATAGTCGTCTGAGTGGCAAGCGGCGTCGCGAGGAGGAGGCTGCTCTAAGGCATTTGAAGAACATTGAGAGCCAGGTGCATGTTGGGATTCCGCAGTGTTACAAAAATCTCGTGGAAGAGGAAGAGGAAAAAGATAGACAGGCTTCTGCCCGGGCTTTGGGGGAGGGAAAGCCCTCGCTACGCGGCCGCGTTAAAAAGAGTATGCAGAAGATGAGCATGGCTTTCAAGAAGGGTTAGTTAGTCTTCATGCATTGTACGGTGTCTCATCTTTGTGCTCGACTTGGACTCGTCTTAAGAGCCATTGGGAAAGGTTAGGAAACTGGTTTTAGGGACAAGCGGTTGGCCAACATATATGTTGGAAATGGCTAATCTGGAATGCAATGATATCCGTTGCAACAGATAGTCATGTTAATAATGATTGTACTAATAATAAGGGAAATATTAATGGCAAGTGAAGTTATCCAACATGCTGTAGATAGTCTGGTGTTTGTTCTGTTTGTTCAAAAAGGAGACACACTAACCCAATGGGGCTTAAGGCGGTGAGCTTCTGGCCGCAATCCCACTTCTGGAGTTCGCTGGAAATTTGACGGGAATGCGGGCATTGAGCAGCAGCACAACTTTCTGATTATCGTGTTTTCTATTGTTTTGACGAGGTTGGATATATTTGCTCTCATCAATCCGGTCTCAAATCCCTTCTTTTCCCGAAGCAAACCGAGCGACAACCACCGCCAAGATGCAAGCCCCAGTGGTGGTAATGAGTGAGTGGCTTCTTTGCTTGATGCTACCTGTTATACTCAACATATTGCTAACCGGCTTCAGACACCAATGCTGGTGACAGACAGGTTGGTCGTAAAGCACAGCTCTCGAACATCGCCGCTGCTAAGACGTACGTGGAACTCGAACACCTGTATCTGTCCGATTGCCATCTAACAATTTCAACCCCTCAGTGTCGCCGATATCATTCGATCATGCCTTGGCCCCAAGGCCATGTTGAAGATGCTGCTGGATCCGATGGGTGGTATCGTCTTGACCAACGATGGGCATGCTATTTTGCGAGAAATTGAAGTGTCACACCCGGCCGCGAAGAGTATGATTGAGCTTAGTCGTACTCAGGATGAGGAAGTTGGAGATGGAACTACAACTGTTATTATCTTGGGTAGGTTTTCCGGGTTGCTTATCTTAGAGATTGAGGAGTGTGCTGACGTGAATAGCCGGTGAAATGCTTGCCCAGGCCATCCCCCAGCTCGAACGCAACATCCACCCGGTCGTCATCATCTCGGCTTTCAAGCGTGCTTTGGCAGATGCCCTTGCTATCGTCGAGGAGGTTTCAACGCCCGTCGATATTCACAACGATGACGAGATGTATAAGCTGATCCAGTCGTCCATCGGGACGAAGTTCGTGTCGAGATGGTCGAAACTCATGTGTGACTTGGCTCTCAAGGCGGTCCGAACGGTCTCCTTTGATGCTGGTGGTGGAAAGCAAGAGGTCGACATCAAGCGCTATGCCCGTATTGAGAAGATCCCCGGTGGTCAGATTGAGGACAGCGAGGTCATTGACGGTGTGATGGTCAACAAGGATATCACGCATCCCAAGATGCGGAGAAGAATAGAGAACCCCCGAATCGTCCTCCTGGACTGCCCACTGGAGTATAAGAAGGGAGAGTCCCAAACAAACATTGAACTCACGAAGGAGGAGGACTGGAACCGGATGCTGCAGATCGAGGAGGAGCAGGTTAAGCACATGTGTGATGCTGTCTTGGCTTTGAAGCCCGACGTTGTCATCACCGAGAAGGGTGTTTCCGGTAGGTTTTTCTGCTCTTATGTTTAAGACAATTATCTAACGTTATATCAGACCTCGCCCAGCACTTCTTCGCCAGGGCCAATATCACAGCCCTCCGCCGTGTGAGAAAGACTGACAACAACCGTATTGCCAGAGCCACTGGCGCAACAATTGTGAACCGCGTGGACGACCTCCAAGAGTCCGACATCGGTACCCAGTGTGGCCTGTTCGAGATCGAGAAGATTGGTGACGAATACTTCACTTTCATTAGAAAATGCCAAACACCCAAGGCCTGCACCATCCTTCTGCGGGGTCCCTCCAAGGACATCCTTAACGAGGTTGAGCGTAACCTGCAGGACGCCATGTCCGTTGCCAGGAACGTCATCTTCCACCCTCGCCTGTCCCCTGGTGGTGGTGCTTTGGAGATGGCTGTTTCCGTTAAGCTGGGCCAGTTGGCCAAGTCGATTGAGGGTGTTCAGCAGTGGCCATACAAGGCCGTGGCTGACGCCATGGAGGTTATTCCCCGGACATTGGCCCAAAACGCTGGTGCTAGCCCCATCCGTGTTCTGACCCGTATGAGGGCCAAGCACGTCGAGGGCCAGGTGAACTGGGGTCTTGACGGTGAATCGGGTAACTTGGTGGACATGCAGGAATACGGTGTCTGGGAACCTGAGGCTGTTAAGATGCAGAGTATCAAGACGGCTGTCGAGGTAAGCCATTTCCCTGGCATCAGAAGTCGCTATTTACTAACAAATTCTAGTCTGCATGCCTACTCCTCCGTGTTGATGATATTTGCAGCGGCAAGTCCGCACAGCAAGCGGGTGTTGGTGTTGGTGGTGGTGACGATTAAAAGCATTAGAAGTTGGAAGGAAAATGCGTACATAATAATCAACGACGATTTGAGTTGTATGAATATCCTAGACTAAAACAATTTTACATGGGTATCTTCATCGTACACTCTCCATGGCACCGTAGAGTTCAGTCATCATGAATAATGACACCCGGCGTCTCCTCCACAATACCTACCCCATGAGCACCAGCATGAGCATCCAATCCAATCTCATCAACGGCCATCCCGTCGACCTTGTCCCCATTATCCCCATTATCCCCATTCCCATTAGCACCGGCACCACCCCCCTTCTTCCCATTACTCTTCTTCTTCGCCGCATTCCTCTTCTCCCTCCTCTTCCGATTCTTCTCCGTCTTCTCCTCATCCCTCCTCCTCGTCTCCTCCCTCTCCATTTCCCACTCCTCATCCCCCTTCTCCCGATCAACCTCGCTCTGCATCAACCTCAGCCTCTCATACTCCCTCCTCCGACTCGCCTTGTACACATGGAACTCGCCAGACCCCGCACCAGCCGAAGACCCCTGGACGTTCGCAACAATTTCGGGCGGCGGGGGTAGATTGGTTGTGTTCTTTTGGCGCGAGGCTTCGGGAAGTTTGAGTTCTTTGGAGGGGTCGCGAAAGAGGGAGGAGATCTGGCTGGCTTGCTCGGAGAGAGGAGTGTTGAGGGCGCGGCGTTTTAGGGGGCGGTTGCTGCGGCGGTCGGCGCTTGTGGGGATTGATTCGGGGCCTGGTTCGGACATTTTGGTTTTGTAGAGTGGTTTTTTTTGGATTGGGGTTGGATTGCGGCGATGAAAAAAGTGATCCGCGAGGTCGGGTCTGACGTAACTCGTGTGTGTTGTGGGTAATAGTATAATCGATTCTAAGGAGGCGATGCACTGTTATTCTACTGCTAGGATATGCGTTAATAGAGGTTTCGCATTGAACTGGACAGGTAGAATGGGTGTAAAAGTACCTAGCTTGATCTGAGAATGAGCGCAAAGATTGATCTTGCAGCTCCTAGGATGGGTTTGAGTGGGAGTATTGGAATCGCGTCTCTGGCCTGGTTGATCCAAAACAGAAGAGTCAAGTGTGAGATACTGAGGTTGCAGTCAAAAAGGTGTCTGGATTGTCGAATGTTGGAAAAGGAAAGGTGGTGCACATGACTTGGAGCTATCCCAACCGGGGCGGTCTCTCACTATTGCCACTAACTATGCGCTGTGCTCTAACAGTGACTGAACCTGCCTTGAAGTGTATGAATGCTCAATGGATCAGACCTGATCAACTAGGCCATATATATGGTATACTTTGAGAACATGCGACTGTATCAGATAGATATATTCCAACCTCATATTGGCAGTTTGGTGGTCCATAGTAGTGGAATAGGCGTATTCAACCCAGCTTCAACACCAACAATCCAAGAATCTACACAACTAAAAAATAGTGAATAACACGGGTACAAGAACCTCCATAAGCACTCATACCTAGACTAGATACCATCGCAAGGCAGACAGGCACCAACACTGGCATTGGTCTTCAGCGCAGTGCGTGGGTCTCGAGTCTCTCTTTTGACCTCACCTCATTTCACCAACTCCTGTCTTCCTTCGCTTTCAGCGTCTGTTGCCTGTTCCATCTACCATAAGGGACATAAATAGCTCTGATATTGCCAGATACTCAAGAGATATTTTGTGGTTTTCAATTCTACATCCCTTTCGTTCCGCACTGCGTGTCCGCCCTGTCGCGAAGTTGAATCGCGGTGTTGAACTTGTCGCGCTTTTCGTCTAGGATGGGCTCTTATCGCTTGGGTAGGTTTTTGCTTTAGTTATTTTCTCGTGTTTAACAAAATGCTTTATTCTACTTGTCTACTGTCAATTGCATCCATGGCTGCAATCTGTGCTGCTGAGTCGCGGTGACGTCTTTTCTCGTTCCATTCCCGGCATTGCTCCATATCTGTCCCAAAATCTATACTAACAAGAAATAGAGGAAGCCTCCACTGGCCGCGCAGGTTGCCAGAACAAAGAATGCAAAGATGCCAAAACCAAGATCGCAAAGGGCGAGCTCCGTTTCGGTACTTGGGTCGATACTGAGCGTATTCAGGCTTTTATGTGGAGACACTGGTGAGCATACCTTCCCTTGTTCCAATAGAGAACGATCAATCTGATGTCTTAAAGGGGCTGCGTCACCCCAAAACTCATCGGAAACCTGAATGAGGCTATTGATGAGGAAGGTGGTGACGGTGAAGAGAAGGATTACACTATCATCGATGGTTATGAGGATCTCTCTGATGAACTGCAGGAGAAGATCCGTGGTGCGTTAAAGCAGGGCCATGTTGATGATGAGGATTGGAAGGGTGTACGTATCTTCGTTTACATATTTTTGATATATTGGGGAGGATATGTGATGCTAACTGTACTAGGACGTCGAAATGAACCGCCCCGGCAAGACAGGTTTCCGTGTTCGCAAGAAGACCGGTGCTGCTGCGGTATGTTCACAACCACAAATTAAGCAAACGCATCCGATACCCTAACATGTCCCACAGAAGAAAGACGATGAAGAAAAAGAACCTCAGCCTCCCAAAACCAAAAAACGCGGCAAAGCCCAAGACAACGAAGATGAAGAAGAGCCCGAGAAACCAACCAAGAAGACCAAAAAGGAGTCCGCCCGCGGCACTAAGAAAGCCGCAAAGGAAGAGCCCGAATCTGAAAATGCTGAAGAGGAACTCAAGGAAGAGGAAGGGAAAGAGAAACCTGCCAGGAAGACTCGCGGCCGTGCTGCCAAGACTGCCAGTGCCGATAGAAAGAAGCAGGCTGATGCTGCTGGTGAAGATGAGGAGGAAATGGATGATGCTAAGGAGCCTGCTGAGGAGAAGCCGAAGCGGGGTGGACGGAAGAAGAAGGCTACCTAATCTTCTTCTATCGTGGTAGTTTGTTTGTTAATTACATGCTGCATGGGGAAGGCGAATATGGGAGTATCTACCAATATGAAGCTATGTTGAATTGCTTGCCAGGTATCGTGTTTGTGGGCGTGTCTTTTTCTGTACTCTAAATCATCTCGCTGGTACTTAATTAGAATAGAAGATTGCTTACAAAAGACAATATCGTATATTTCACTATCAGTTTGTTGGTATTATCCTGCCTAGTCGTATAGGACCTTCGAAATGTTCTGTCTATCCGTGCCATAACGCCTGTTACCCTGACAGATACAAAAATATCGGCCGTAAGATGTAGTATAAACAATATACAATCGCCAAAAGCAAGAAAAAATAAAGGAAATAAGCAAGACAAGACAATGGCTTCACCGGTCTGTAGCCAGTTAAGTTTCCATCGTATCTGGCTCATCACCAGTAGCCTGGGGCTGCTCTTACTCCTCAGCACCCTCATCAGCATACTTGAGAATCTCCGTCTCCCCCTCGCCTTCATTATCATTATCACCATCGCCCTCACCTTCATCATCTCCGTCCTCGCCATCTGCTACATCACCACCTTCCTCGTCAACTTCATCACCTTCTCCTTCCTCATCGTCAATGACCTCCGTTTCATCACCGGGTGCAGCGCTGATGAAGCTTTCTTCGATCATGGTATCGCCCTCGCCTTCGCCCTCGCCTTCATTGGCCGTTTCGCCTCCGTCGCCCTCACCATCCCCATAACCATCAGGAACAGACAATTCAGAACCAGGTTCCTGCGGAGATGACACTTTAAGATTCGGAAAGGCCCTACTTCGCTGACGCTCAGCATCGAGCTTGGTTATTTTATCCTCGTCGATTTCGGAAAGTTCACTTTCGTCGCCGCTTTCATGTGGTCCCTTGTCATTTGCCCCTGATTCTGTATTTGGTGCTTTTGTTGGCGCAATGGAAGTCGTAGATGTTCCGGTTGCATTTTGGTGCTCTGTTTCGGTGGTTGTGGTGGCGCCGGTGGTGGGCTTTGTGGGAGGACGTGTGGTGAGTTTGCTGGCTACGATTGCTTCGGCACGTTTTTGGACGTCTCTTCTTGCTATGCCTTTTGTGCGGCCGCGGGGAACGGAGGTGGGCGCTTCAGTTGATGTTGTTGGTTGTGCCGGGCCGGGGGCGGATGTTGTGGCTGTGGTTGTGCCCGGAGGGTTAGGGGTAGGGCCAGGGACAGGAGGCGCATCTGCAACGCCGTCCAGGTTCATGAGGTGGTCGACTTTCATTTTCTCTTTGTTCTCTTCGCTGGCTTGTTCGATTACGTGGGGGAGGTTGAGTTCGTAGAGGCGGGAGTAGAGGTCTGCGATGAGGTCTTCGAGGAGGGAGACTTTCATGAGGTTGTTGTTGAGTTTCTTTAGTTCGATGGAGTCACGGAGGAGTTCAAGGAGAGATGCACTCTCGGGTGCTACCAGTTCAGGTAGGTTCTCCAGGCGACCCGTATTCGCGACAAATTCGTCCCATCCGATAGGCTTGAATATGCCCTCTTCGTGACCTTCGCTGATCTTGCCAGCTCGGCGGATTATCCGTCCGTATGTGAGGCAGATATCTTCCCAGAGCTTGGGGTGGTTGATGAAGTCGCCTTGCCTCTTTCGGACTCGGCGGAGGAGTTGGTCAAGGCCCGCCCTGTCGTCAAGTTGGTCGAGCAGATGGACGAAGAAGTACACATAACGTGTAGTGTAGACGAAGTGTCGGCCGGGACGTTCATTCTCGGGACGCCAGACTTGGATGGTCATTGTTTTCGTGAAGATTTGCTGGGTAAGTTCGTTCTTTGCGGCTATTGCGGCGGCCGTGGCGTCTTCTTGGTCGTCGTAGACGATACGTGCGGCCTATTATTGTAAGCATGTTGGTGAATTTTGACAATGAAGGATCTGCACTCACCCTCATGGCCATCCGGTGATGCCAGTTGGATTTGTCTGCATGTTTCAAGTTCCGGAGCACCTCCAATATGTAGAATTGCCATCCTACCTTGTCTTCAGGGGACTTGATCTTCCGAGCCCAAGGTGTTGCGAGGAGCGTTTTGCTTCCCTCGGCGGGCTAAATGAAGTTAGCAAAATAGCGAACCAAGAGGGAGAGAAAGCGAAATACCGTCAGGACATCCCCGTGCACAAGTTTGTGTATAATAGACACGAGTTTGTAATGAGGTTCAAAAACGGGCTCTGAGCGCGAATCCTTGCGTTGAGGAAGAGTATCGATAGAATCAAGCAGAGAGTCCAGAACATCATCAAGACTAACACGCTTAAAGTTGCCTCTCACCGAGTCATCGCTCCTGTACATCTTCCAAAGGCATTTGGCCAGCACGTAGTGATTCACCCAGTTCTTGGGCTTGTCGACAATCGCCCGCTTCAAGAGATAACTCGTAAAATTCCAGACGGAATAAGGTTTCATCTCTCTGAAAGGCTCGCCCTTGTACATCTGCTGGTTCTCCTCGTTACTGTAATGGCGAGGATAGTCGGAGAGACTGAAGGGTCCCATCGAGAGTGGTTCTCGGGAAGAAGAGTACATGCGGATGGCAAAATCAGTATACAGCTCAGACAACGTATTCCGGGTTTCTGGTGTCGGCTCTGCCTCCCTGCTTGCCGTTGCGAGAGCCATGGAGTAACAATGTATGGCGTTTCTTTGCAAAGTTGCCAGTTCATTGCGGTTGTTGTTGATTTTTTCAGCGGACCATGTGATGTCTTCTTCTAGTTTTGAGTCGTAGGTCTGCGCAAGTCGGTACCAAGTCTCCCACCTTCCCGACTTGTTTTCGATATCCTGTCTGAAGAAGCCGATCGCGTCGTCAAGTTCGCTTGTTCCGGATGGTGCCAGCCGCTTCTGAGATCGGAATTTGGTCAGAGCAGAGTACCCCAGAAGGAAGTACCACCCTTTCTGGGCGATGATAGCACTCTCAGATGTCACGGGAATAAGTGGTACATCCTCGACTCCTCGAGCAGCACGGTAAAGTTCCACGGGATTGATTGCGGACTTTAAGTAGGAGGAGAATATCCGCTTGTTGTACACTAACGGAGGCGAAGACTTGGCTGAACCAATGGCCTGCTGCATCTTATCGATTGTGGACTTCAAGTCTGATTTTGCCAAGTCCTTGATATTCACCTTCATCGCCTGCCGCAGGACGAAGTCGATCATCATGATGGCTGTAACGCGGTCAATCCTTTCCGTGGGACAACCGTGATCCACGATAAGGTCGTGATTGATCAACCGATAACCATGAAGATCGTAGAAGACTTGACAGATCTCAAGATCGAGGTCCTCGTTGGCCTTAATATCGTGCAGTTCTGATTTCATTAGCCTGAGGAATTCTTTGCCGGAGCGCCTGCACATCTTGCGAAGTCCAAGTGCATAATGTACAGCGCGTAGATACTCAATGCGGTCTGCTTCTGGTGTATCAAAGAGCTCCTTATTCTGGACAATGACTTCCTTGAAGAAAGTATACTGCAATATCCAGCAGCGGACTTCCATTTCACGAAGGCGGTCCCTGAATCCTTCAAGCGATTTTGCCAACGAGCTGCGGAGTTCGGGAGCTGAAGCCTGACCAACGCGAACGGAGTCTTCATAGAGCGTAAAACTATGCAGGAGCTTCAATAGCCGAACTATTGCTGATGCCGAAGACTGTAAGTGATCCATGTCGATACACTCAAAGGTTTTATCTTGTTCTTGCAAAGCTTGGGTGACAAGTTTGCTCAGAATGTTATCAAGCGACTTGAGCCAACGGAGAAGCGTATGCTGACGATGTTCGCTTGGCTCCTCAGCATACGCCGAGCTGCAGAGCTCCTTGACAATTGTTTCGATGCCTCTGAGATAGCAAGAAATAACCTTTGGCGGATAGTCGATTGCTTTGTATGCCTCCTGGAGCCTCCGCCATAAGAATAGTCGCAGGGTAGCGTCTCCTCGATCCAGGAAAGAACCCATTTCGTAAAAATCTGATGTTGGGTTGTTATCTGATTCTGACACCCCGTTTTGGGGACATTCTATAGAAGAAGGTTCGAGGAGTGGCTCAATCGTTTCGATGATGTCCACCGGATCTTCCGATTCGGGATTAAAGATCTTCATGAAGAAACCCATGGATTTCAGTTTCGAGACTTCTCGATCAATCGCTTCTGACGATAATTCAGGCATCACAGCATTATTGACCAAGGTAATATCTGGGTTCCCAAGTCGATCAAGAATATATTTCAGATCCTGGAGGCAAAGTAGGATGTGTTCTCGTTGCACATCCGGAGCCATATTAGAATGAAACGTTGTTGCCCATAAATGACGAAGAAGGATCTCGTTTTCGTTCTTTCCAGAAGTCGGATGATTTACAAAATAACTCAATGCATTCTGAGCCAGCATGCTCCACCTGGATAAACGATCCCACTGCAGAAGCCTTGTTGCTTGGTCGACTTCACTGTTAGGATTGTTGATTTGGGCGTAGATATCGAGATGAAGCTCGAAGATAGCTTGTATCATCTCCAGTTCCGAACGATGCTTCAAGTCATATACGAATGGAGCATCAGAGCTCTGGTTAAGGACTCGATGCTCGAGATTAGCAACTTGTCCCGAAAGCCTATTGTAGATGTATTCGTCTTCACGTTGTAAGATCCGCACAACTATGTCCTTTAAGGTTTCGGGCCACTGAAGTGAGGTATATGTCGATTCCATGGCGGATGAATTGTCTTCTTTGGGGACACCACTCACATACTCCCCGTATTCTGGCATGAGGAGGCCTTTGAGCCAGTCAAAGGCCACTTCACCAAGGCGACTCCATCCCTCATTGATAGGTTTGAGGCGCTCAGGTAATTTCTCGCCGCCTGAAAGGACTTCGTTCATTCCCGACTTCCGGGTTGACTTCTTCGAGTGCTCGAGGAAAATGGCGAGCCCAGACTTGCTCATACTTTGTATATCGTGAAGATTGGAAAAGTTGTCGTTCTCGGAGAATGCCCGGGCCTTCTTATCATCCCAGTAATTAATTATGCTTCCGAGATCCTGTGATAGCAAGGATTCAAAGCCTCCTGCCGAATCCACCGGACCATTTGCATCGCCAACGAGAGACATTCGCTTCCTCATGTAGTCCAAGTCCCCTAGGTTTTCGACGCCAGCTTTCAATAGGAAGGAGTCTGTCGTCTCAAACAACCACTGATCAGCATATATGTACATCTCCAAACGATCCTCGTAGTACTTCGATTGGTCGAAGGCAATTTCGTCAGCTTGCGAAGGATCAATGTTCGACTCTCTAGCACGGGTCCTTCTACTTTTCGCTCTTATGTTCTCGGCTTGTTCGTCATTTGCCGCTGAAGCGGATGATCTCTTCCGATAACCATTAGCTGACTTGGGATCTGGTTCGTCCGCTGCCGGTTGTTCTTGATTAGAGTCTTCAGGGTGTTGAACCGCCTGGTCATCTTGCGGTTCGGATAATGGATTCTCATTCTGCTGGTCTGCTGAGGCCGTCTGATCTTCAGTCGGTTCAGCGGCTGTATTGTTTTGTTCGTTTTCCTGGGTATTGCTGGTCGATGGCTGGCTGTCCTCCATAACGATATCTTGTTGTTCGATAGACTGAACTTGTTCATCTTGCATCTTCGGCAATTCTTCGGCATGCTGCGTCTCCTCGCACGCCGTGTCCTGCGGCTCTGGGCTAATGGCCGGCAACTGAACTTCGACAGATGCACCAGGGCCAATATTCAGGGCATGGTTCTCCTCATCCAGAAGTGCCTGAAGGATTTCTTTACCAACTGCATCCCAGGTTGCGCTGTTGGGCTTCAGGACATGGCGGGTCGCCTTTAATGGAAGTGGGTTCTTAGATGAATCCGCATCCTCAACATTCTCAGGCAAAGTCGGGAGATACGGATAAGGATCGGCTTGTCGCTGGAGAAATTTGATCAGAGCCTTCTTCGGCCTTTTCACAGGAACCTGGGCCACCGCTAGTCTATCATTTAGCGATTTCAGCGTGTTGCGAAGACGTTCTTCTGCAATGGTCTCTTCCAAACCTAGTTGCTCAGTCCGTACCTCGAGACGGTTCTCATCATCAGCGAGAACACTTTCCAGGCAGTATCGGACCAGCCGATAGCTCTGCAAGGCACCGCTAAGTCGAGCGCTCTGTCGCCAGAGGTTAAGATCCGTATCATCACGTTCCAGAGCCTCAGCAAAGGATGTAAGGGCTGCGCGTGAACGTTCTAGCCTCTTTGTCGCGGTTTCCTGAGCAGCATCGGGTGACTCAGACACACTTTGCAGGAAAGACTGTAAAGAATCCAAGAGGAATTGTCCATGATTCTTATAAGACAGATAGATAGTTTGCAGCAATGTGCTCGACGTAGAATCGTTGATATCTGACTCCCCGATATCCTCCGCTGAATCCGTTGTTGCAAAATATTCCAGTAGATCAGTTGGTTGAGGTTCAGATTCAGACTCCTGCAGCGTAGTCCTCTTATAATCGGAGAAGGACTCGGGATATTTGAAGATGTCCGAATTGAAAAGTGCATCATACGCCTCTGCTGTTTGCGGATAGAACTGCGATCCTTGAGAATGAAACTTTAGGGCATTTTGATATAACTTGAGTGCTTCCTCAATCTGGATTTCTTTCGTGTCATCAACCTCCTCTTCCACAGCCTCATCGGGCTCGATATTCAATGCTACCCAGCTGGACATATTGCAGATATTCTGATGGCCAAAAAATCTAAGAACCGGCTAAATTTAAACAAGCAACATTGCAGACAATAAAAACCGAGCCCCAGAGTTCATGGCGAGGATTAGCCGAGTAAATGGAGGTTTATGATAAGACTCGCGAGGGAGACGCCTCACGCGTTCCGGGGGATCGAATTTCCAGAAGCGGCAAGGTGTCTGTGCCTGAATTTATAGTGCCTTGGTGCCTCACGCGGGCCAGGCACAGGATCGCCCGCCGTTGACGACGACCCCGAAATACGAAATGCATGTCTTGCTGCTCGCTGCAATACTTCCCCAAGTACTGATATTCTCTGTTTGTTCCTGATCGCAGTCGCTGCAGCACATCTTGATTTGAATATTTGGTTTCTCTGTCCTCTCCTGCGCACGTTCAGCGCCATGGTTGCGCCAGCTGTTCCCGAGTATGCCGTTTCCTCCTTCCCCGTTTACGTGTCCCCACGAACCCCCTTGAGAGGGACTGACATTTGCTTTCCTATAGAATTTACGAAGAAGATGACATCTACGCCGCTGTCGATGCGCGTACAGAGACGCTACAGAACCTGCGAGAATTAGGGCCCCCGGACCTAGTTTACTTGGTGAAGCAGCCGAAAGCCAGCGGGAGTCGCCAGGTAGAAGTATGCCATTCATAATATTATAAGTGATCTTGCCTAGAATTTTTTTTTTTTTTTGGCTTTTGAATTGGCTCGAATGAAAGAAAGCCACCGTCTGACAGGATTGCGATCATAGCAAACCGGCGTTTACCACCATGTGACTGGAATCGATGCCTCGTCCTCCGCCAGCTTAGCGGCCTATGTGAATACGTTGACCTTTTCTCCCCTCGACAAAACACACAAAGTGGTTTCTGGAATTTACTGGTTAGGTTATTGCGCTTGGAATATCTGGGTTCCCTTCGTTGACGAGATATAGTTGTTACAATGCCTTTTCCCACCTGGACATGCGAGTCGAAATCAAGATCCCCGGAAGTCTCGAGAGCTACTGCATCGATGAACGCGGAGACAAACGTGTCGCTACAGACGCACTTTGGTTAGAGACTTTCCTGTGTGGTGTCCTAAGGGCTTATGCTTATGCGGACGATGGGGGTGGAGATGCTATCCGGAGGATTGTTGGTGTCCGACGGTTCAACCCAGTTACGAATACGGAGATGGAACACAAATTCTTGGATGCTGCGGAGAGACTCTTTTTTGCCGGTGCGTTTCAGCGATGGAGGGATCTATAGTAAGGCGCTAACAATGGTATAGGGAGGCAGTTGAGCTCCGATCCTGAAACGCAGGTTCCCAATACCGTCAGCAATCATCTTACGACAGGTCTCTTGAAATATATCCAAACCACCGGTCGCTATACATCAGGCATCAATTTGTTTGAGAAGCTTCGCACACGGGATGTAGAGGTCTCGTCGCTACTGTCCCGGGTTTTGTTGATGGCAGATGAGGAAGTCCGAGCGGTACGATTAATGTACGATGCCCTGCAGGATGTCCCCATGGACTATTCTCTTCTTGATTGCCAGTCTTCATTCTGTCAGAATAAGGGAGAAGGTGAAATGGCTTTGGAATGCGCCAAGCGCGCCGTGACAGCTGCTCCTAGTGAATTCAGCACCTGGGCTCAGCTGGCAGAGGTATACGTGAATCTCGAACAATGGGACTTGGCGCTCTTGACGCTGAACTCCTGTCCTATGTTCACGTATCAAGACCGCGATACACCTCGGATGCCGCAACCAAGCCGCATCATGCTTCCGATCCTCGCTGAGAGCATCTTGGACGAGATCGATGAAGGGCAACCTAGACAAGGTGATCCTCATGATTATGTCCACCCGTCACTTCGCAAACTGCACGCCGCTGCATATCAGGGAACGTTCTTGAAGGCTTACAATCTTTTGACCAAGATTGCGGCCGCAATTGGCTGGGACCAGTTGCTCAAAACCCGGAGTGAGGTCTTCGTCATGGAAGAGGAGTACCGGGTTGAGCGCCAACATTCGACACCAAAGCCTCCGGGCAGCATCAAATCCAGTTCGGGGGCAGATGCAGAAACCAATGGCAACGGCGGACATGCAGATGACTCTGCCAACAAGGAAAATGGCGAACAGGAGGGAAACCAAATCGAAAGACCAGAGCACACAATGGCATCGGAGGTCGTCAAGTCTGGCAACGAAGACGTGGGTCCCGCTACTATCCTTGAGTGTACTCATACTAACTTTAATGTGTAGCACGATCCATCTCACTCAAGCTACACCCAATTCCAAAACAAACGCCTTTGTGAACGCTGGCTCGACAACCTCTTCATGGTCCTCTACGAAGATCTCCGCATCTACACCATCTGGCGCACCGAAATGGCCCAGTACCGTCAACAATCAATGGAGTACAAGAAATCCGCCACCGAATGGGAAATCCTCGGTGAACTGGCCGAACGCCTGCACCACGCCGAGGAGGGCATCGAGGCATACCAGCAGTGTCTTGCTATTCGATTTTCTCCTAAGGCCATGCGGGGTGCTCTGAAGTTGCACGAGTTGAAAAACAATACGAGGGGTATGCTGAATTCGCTGATAAGACTTATTGCTTGGCAGTATCGGTGGTATTCAGAGGTACGTCCCTGTTTCCCTTAACTACGCAAGAGGATATTAATACGCTGCTAGTTTTCCCCCGAGCTTGTCTACCTAATCCGCAAACTCATCGAAGACGAAGGCGCCGTCAAGGTACGCAGTATCGTCCAGGCCACGAACCTGCCCCAGCCTGTCCTCGACCTCACACATCAATATTGTCAACTCTGCGCTACGTTCCGGAGCAGTGGGAGCGATTTCTAAGGACGTCCAACTTCACATGCTGTTACCAAGTAGGTTTGTTAATCCAAGATGAGATATGGCAATAAGAATGGGGTTATGCGGAGGGGTTGGTCCTGTTTAATATCATATACACTGGCCAGCTATCAGAAGAAGTGGACCCTGTATTGATACCAGTCAGTCCTGTTATGGGTTTGTATTAATGCTGTTGGCTTTCATGTTGCCCTTTGTTAGGGTGGCTTAAAGGTACTACGATTCCAATATAGATTAGTTTTCATGGCTATTGACTTTCTCAATGTGTTGTTTAAATACTATAATAAGCAATACCAGACCCAAATCCCAAAAATAACCATAACACCAAACAGACATTAAACATAAATAGCTAGAGTATCCCCACCATATTCATCGCTTCATTCCTCCTCCCCTTCAGCCTCAGCCTCAGCCTCAGCCTCTGGCACATCCGACTCCTTAGGAACCTTTTCACCCTTGGCTTTAGCCGCAGATGCAGCGGGTCCGCTGTCCTTGGCCGTATCCTCGGGCTTCTCATCATCCTCGCCATCAGCTTCTTCCTCTTCATCTTCGTCTCCGGCTGGAGCTTCTCCCTCTCCGGAATCTTCATCGCCCTTTGGCTTTTTGGCGGGTAAAGGGCTAGTCTTGCGTTTCTTAGGAGTAGGGCCTGTATGTTCAATTTCATTGTCAGATACGCGATACCATACAGGAACAGGGGTAGGTGTTAGGATAAGTGGTAGACCACCGAACTGATGATACATACCCTTCTCCTTAGGCTTGTCTTTATCTTTACCATTTCCTTCTTTTTCTTTTTCTTCAGGTTTACCTTCTTCTTCCTCTAGATCTTCCTCGCTGTCTGCCTCACTGGGCTCCTCTTCCTCCTCTTCCTCTCCTTCACCGGATCCTTCTGCGTCGGAGGATTGGTATCTATCATTCGTATAGTTAGCGCATAATTCCTCTACCTAGTAGAAGTAGGAGCACCATAGGGATCGCGCATAGTATTCTCAATTGAAAGCAAGATATCAAGGAAAGCAGGGAAAGCACTCACTCCTCTTCCTCTTCACTCTCATCACTAGGCAGTGCCTGTAATTCCTCCTCCTCGATGGCTTCTTGCTTTCGCTTGCGCGTGACCATTTTCAGTTTTATGGTGAGTTTGGTATTAAGCGGGGGATCAATGCAGAAATATGGTGCCGGTGGGATTGTATTTATTTTTGAGAAAAATAGGCGTGGAAAGAGAAAAAAACCCACCCGAGGAATTCGGAAGAAAGGGATAATGAGACCAAAAAGGGTAAGACTGCGAGGGAAGTTGAGAGTAGAAGGTAGGTAGGTAATGGCTGAGCAAAGGGGTATGGAATTTAGGAAACGGCACAGTATAGCCACTACGACCACTACCTATGATTACGAACAAAGAGCGCAAAGACGTAGCAGTAGCGACGCCTACATCATAGCTATCGCGTCCCTGGTTTGGGGGTTCGAGGACGTCGGCATATGGTCACTGGCTGTGGTCAATGAGGACATGTCGATAACGCGTCCTGTGGATTGTCTGGTGCGTGTACTCTATTACTCAAGGATCCTTCCGGTTTGAGGACAGACATGCTGACTTGAGCTTCTAGCTCCTTAACGGGTAATGCGGGGAGAAACTGGGGTGGGAGAAAGGTCGTATTGTAATAGAATTACAGTATTTAAGCACGCGTGGCTGAAGGCCATGGTTTATCGTAATTGCGTTACCAGGAGCTTCCCCTGGGTTGTATGCTTAAGCAATCAGATGTGTTCATATCAGAAACCGGAGGAAAGAGTATGACGCCGGAGACGGTGCCATTATCGTTATAACCGTGACATCAACACATACCACCATGAACCGTGGCACTGACCAATAACGTAGCAGCACTATAAATACAACATAACCAACACAACCTTATACCAAACATCTATCCAGGGTATATGGCACGAAAATCACAAATGGAAAGGAACAAAAATCACGATGCTAGAAACTCGAAATTCGCCATGCTCGGATCAAGCAGATTCTCATCTAACCCAAACCCATACGTTCCCACCATATCATAAATCAGATCCGGCGGCGGAAAGCCCTGTGCCATTGCATTCGCGCCTCCAGGGACTTCCGCGGATGTCCCGCTGGTGACAATTCCACATGTGCTTACGGACATGGCGGCGCCATGCCCGTTGGATATGCGACCGGCCTGCCAGGCCGTTTCCCAGGTGTCGAAGCGTTCGAGCATCTTGCCTAATCCGCGAGCGATGTGGCGGGTTAGGTGTTTCTCGCCTGCAGAGACGCAGCTCAGTAATTCGATTACTCGCTCGACTAGATGACGCACCTGGCGGCCGTCGAGGCTGAGGTAGGCTGAGTTCCAGTTCACGGCTACTTTGAGGAGAAAGACAGCGGAGAAGGTGACCATCGTGTGGGTGAAGATTGGGACACCGACTATCGCGTCTCGAATGTCGGGTTCTTCAAGCACCATGTTCAAACATGCCATCGCAGACGAAATAGCAATGTTGGCTGACTCTTTGCGGTCCAAGGAAAACACTGGGGTGTTGGAGGGTGATAGAGCCCGGAGGGAGAGAGAATTGAGCTGAAATTTAGCGAAATGATAGTGGAGCACCACTCCTTTGGAGGGATAAGTCCGTACATAAGGGCTGTCGGCTAATGATGGTGTCAATTCGCAAGGAGTTCCACCATTAAACTGGGAATACCTACAGGAACGCGGTTGCCAGAGTAGTCGCCATTGGTCTACTGCCACGTTAAAGACTCGTAACTGACCAAAATCTTCTTCTGTCAAGGCTTGCTCAGTGTCTGATCCAAACTTTCGGTATGCCTCTGTTAATATCATGAACAGGGCCAGTTGTGCTAGAAGTCGGACATCCCCAGGAACAACCATCGGCGACTGGAGAAAAGTCTCATAATTCTTGATTGCATTGTCCTCGTGCATGACAGGTGGTCGGCCGTATGCGATGCTAAAGTGGTGGTCACACACGTAGAGTAGATACCAGAGCTGCGCGCGCTCATACTGGTCGGTATTTCCGCGTATGAACTTCTGATAGCTCTGATGGAGACCCAGCTCCGTGGCAATTCGAACGGCGTGGCCCGAGAGCTTCCAGCTCAGCTCAGAAAGCCAGAAAGCCCCGACACAAAGTGCGCGAATGTCATCCAATGTATGCGCTCGCGACAGGGACATGCTGGACACGAGTGATACGTACTCACCATAGCATCGGTTCAACGTATCCTTGCGATTAGGTATATGAAGGGCGGCGACTGTCAAAACAGCTGCGGAGAGCAAAGTCGATGCACGACGGACGGAGGTAAGATCGTGATGTACTAAGATAATCCCACCCCATAGAAGCTGGTTCATAGTCCGACTAAAGTATGCGAACAGCTCTTCAGCTTCATGGACAGAAATTAATCCTCGCGAGATAAAGTCTTCCTCGAGCATGGTCACCTTGGGCTTCTCCACAGGATTGTTCCGGAAATTGCGCAACTTGGTCACTTCGTAGAGACTGCGCATCGGCGCCGGAACCAGTTCTGGGTCCTGGAGATCTGGCTCCTGTGATGCCTCTCGTGTTACATCCATCACCGGCTCCGGTCCATTGTGGCTTGTACTTGACAGTGTGTCATCGTGTAAAGAAGGAGGGTGTCCATTGATGGATGCGACGGGGCTAGGATTGTTGCGATTATCGCCTGTTGGGTATGCGGAGAGCTCTGGTAGACCATTTTGGCGGAGGATATGCGAAACGGCTGCTTGAAGTTGTTGAAGAGAGGCTGCAGCTTGCGATTTCCATCTGCAACCATCAGCACACATTAGCAGTCTATGATGGCTATAGAGGTACGTATTCAAGAACCACTCACACCCCGTCGTCGTCGACGAACTTTTGCGAAAAGTCGTTAACCACGCACTTGATCCCGCTCCGGAGACATTTCGAGCAGCTCGAGGCGCCTGGTTTGATTTCGCAGCGGATTTTATGTCGTTTGCACTCTGCACCTGAAATCGTTCAGTTTAGCATCTGTCTTGCATATCCCATTGCTTTTTTTTTTTTGTCCTCTTTTCGATCCCACTCTGCACCATTGTATGTCAAAGCCAAAACACTCACAGGCACGAGCTTTAGAAATCTTCGGAAGAGACCGTCCGTTGGGAAGAGTAGAAGCGCGACTGTCGTCTTTTTGCGCCGACTCAAAGCCAGCATCGTAGGATGACCGTTTCCTGGGCGTGGAGGCCATGACAAGTGGTGGGGAGCTGGTCGGGGATACTCCGGTACCACGCAGCTAGCATGGAATACGTCAGGAACAGTTCCTTTGGTCCGTGTTTTGCCTTTTCCTGTTGGTCAAATTGAAAAGCAGCTCGGCTAAGGATTAACTGTGAGCTCGGGGAAAAAGAAGGAAAAAAGTGAGAGGAGAAAGAGGGAGCTTTGACGGGGGGTAAGATGGGGTCCAGAATAACCCCGCCTCGCGATCGGACAATATCACTTGCTCCGAATAATGGCGAGAGATTATGGGGAAATGTCTTTTAGCAATGATGTGTGTAGTGAGTTATCTGGATATATGCGATCAATTGCCCGGTATAGCATCAGGAAGGATTGTAGAAGCCCCAAGAACTCAGGTACAAACTCTGGACAGCAGGTACTCTGGGGTATATCCGGGGTACGTCTGGGGAAATTCACCGCAATTCTCCGCCTCCTCATCCATATACAACAATAAACTTAACATCCTTCATACTGCTTTTTGCAATTTCCATCTCGTTTGTGTCTCAGCCCTGATAAAGCCCTGATAAAGATGGCCCTTCAACGACATGCTAAACACTTTGTGGACCGGTATCACATTGGTGCCTGCTGGTGCCTGTTGAGAAGGAGCCATCATGACTACCATATCAAAATTTGTTAACTATATATCGACAGAGATTTCTCTCTTATTCTTCAACTAAGCAATCCAATATGACTTATTTAATTCGCTACATCATTTGCGGTGCCTCATTTCCGAGACACGAAACCGGATCTATATCGGTTTCCTGGCTCCAAGAATACCGTGCGGGTGAGTAGTGCGTCCAATGCTACTATGTGTAGTCTGCAAAACACTCACTTGATACCCGCAGTCTACTACACATCACCATCGTTATCTGAGGTCCGTCTTTCCGGCGTTGGATTACGAAGGTCGACGGACAAGACCGACTACTTTACGGTTCCCGTCGGTGAGTCAGAACGGCGGGACAATGAAGGCCACCTGCCAATAGACGCTCGAGTGCTAAAAGACGAGGACGGTCAATATGGGTTTGTTTTCCATGATGCCTGCTGGCTTCTTGTCAAAGAATCCAAAGAAGAACGCTCTCTTTGGACCGATTGATCGAGGTTTTGAACTCCGTTCCGTGGGGACAATGGGGAGGATATAGTTGGTCGGGCGAGCACTACTACGCGTGGGAGCATGGATATCATGGACTGGTCGAGTTTGATCGTGAGAATTATTATCCATGGGAGAGTGCAGGATTGCAGCAGGTTGGGGGATTGCGAAAGATCCAAATCGACACCATAGACCCCTGTACCGTGAATGGTATCGAGAAGTTACTCGACAGCCCTTCTATATCACCCCCAGGCGTGGGGAAATACAAGGGAAGGATGAAGAATAACTTAACATCATCCACTACATCTACCACAGCCCAACAAGCCTTAGTCAACAAGCAAAGAATGTCCCGCACCGATTGTTTCACCCGGCTGCCCTACGAGATGGTGGAAGAGATAGCGGCCCACTTACCAACGTCTAGTGTGCTCAGCCTCCGGCTGATTTCACCAGCATTTACTCCTCCATTTTACAGTCAAATTTTCTGGGCCACTAGGTTTCAAGCCAGCAGGGAACGGGGGTTCCTCTTCAAAATCTGGCAGGGCCCAAGACATCGCGATTGGCGTGCCCTGTATTACTTGACAAATTCCACCAACCTTCCTCAATCTTTGCAGAATAGGAAACGGGTCTGGGACTTGGTCGAGCCTCTTGGGCAGGAAATTTCTCTCGAATGGGCAGATTCGTCAACCCGACTTCGCACGGAAGGATAACTGGATGGGTCCCGCTTGATGGCAGTATACGGCGACCTCAGTGAAGTAGAAGAAAGCGAGCCCGCATCATATGAACCTAGCCAGGTTCTTGACCCACAGGAGACTCTCATACCGCGCAGAGTTTCGAAATTTGGTGTCCCAATCGTCCACGACGGTGACATTAGCTATATCGCAGGCATACAAATTGTCACCGAGGAAGATGGACAAACCATCTATCTAGGCTACACTAGATCAGAAGTTACTACATGTATAGAGGTCAACTGTGTAAAAGGACTCACAACGTCCATCGGCACGCGAGGTATTCATGCACTGCAGGTTGTCATGGATGATGATTCGCTCTCCGCGTGGCTAGGGAATCCGGACAGAGGTGCAGTAACACGTCGTTTTGTCTTTGCGAAGCAAATTATCGCTTTGGCTGCTGCATTTGGTGTAAGTCTGCATTCAGTTCTCTTCGTGTACATTGCTAACGACTACAGGGCTTCAAACTTGTTAACCTCTTCGCCTGGGGTACACGAAAAGGCGCCGCCTCACAGGGAAGATTGTATGATTCCTTCCGGAACCAAATGATGTGGTTTCCCGAGATCCCTTTTCCGAATATGCACTTGAATGAGGCTTCATTCCTTGGTAAAATGAACAACAGGATGGTATTCCAGCCTATGTGCTGCGCTTCATTTGGGGGATCCGGAGGAGAATACCTTCGACTTCTAAGGGGCTTATCTGTCACCTTTAACGGTTGGAGTAAACCGAAGATCTTAAGTATTGAATTTCGCTACCTCAATTCCAACAAGGGAATTCCGTCCACCTGCCAAAATATTCCTCGCTATAACCGCCATGACCAGGAAAATACCGCGACCTCTGAATTCTGGGACATCGACGGTTCTGGAGGAGAATGCATCAAAGATAAAGAGGTTAACCTTACGAGACATGGCTTGGAAGGTCTTAAGGTAATGTCATTACATCCTTTTCTCTTTTTATTTTTCTTTCCCATTGTTTCCGTCCTCTACAATCGCTTCATGTAAAATCATTTCTACTTTACTATTCTGTTATAATTCTCCAGGTAACAACGAATAAAGGAACATCCTACACCTTCGGCAAGCGCAGTGCATATGATGAAAGACAGGCACCAAGGTATACCAAGATCAAAAATGCTCTTGGGACTATACCTACCGGACTGTACACTCGTCATGTAGAAGATCAGGTAATGTTGACATCTTAAATTAAAGAGACGAGAGCTAAAAGGGGTTTAAATTGATCATCGACGTTATAAATTCCACGGTCTGGGAGTCATTTCGGACAAAGTAGAAGGATTTGAAATTGAATGTTGTGTATTATATGTTGCATATTTGCTGTTGGTCGTTATTTATACACAAGAGAAAAGCAAAAGACGTGCTCTTCTCTCCCCCTTCTTTTCAACACTTTCTGGCACTGCCATCAAAATGATTGCTTTGTCATGTCTGCTCGCTTCTAGCCATTACAATATAAGACATAAGCAAAAGGAAGCCCTTCTTTCTTTTCACGCCTACACCTTTCTTTGATGCTCCTCTGGTACGCGCCTAGGGGTACGGCACTGTTGCATGGGGCAACTTCTTAAGGCATGAGCAATAGCAGCGTGGTCCTGTCTGGTGCGAAACATTTGTATCCCGTCCATAATGTTAGCGAAAAATTCAATGAGCTTGATCTCTAGAATTGACGCCTATCAGTGACTAATCTACGTTTGTTCTACCGTAAACCCGATTTCCTAATAGCGTTCAGGGGCACGCGCTGAGGCTAATATGTGACTCTACTTGAAATGATTATTAGCGATTCCTATAAGTATCACGAAAGGACGAGAATTTATTTCGGTTTAATGGGCTCAGTGTATATTTTGACGCTGATAATGGCATACAGGGAGTTTATCGATCTTTCTGGGAATACCCTTCCCGGACAGAAATCTCGCTATTTCCACTCTTCATTTGCTCCTTACAATCAATTCTTTTGTTAACTTGTTCCTTGGAAGCAAGAAACCAGGGGTTGCCTGCTGTTGCAAGCTGGACGGGTTTGGAGCTTGGTTGCGTACCCTTTAACGGAGAAAGTGAATCCTCTGGGTGGCCATCCAGAAACCGTCAAACATTGTCTTGAGTCATGATAGCGTGATTCTGTCGGAGTAGGTAGCGAGAAATTAATTTTGTCCCGGCTTCAATTCATAAACCCGGATAAGAAGCCCTAAACTGAGAGTCCCATGGAGCCTTTTTGGTCTTGGATTGCTAATGATGGTATAACCACTTCTGTCACCTCCTCGCCTAAAAGGAAAAGTGCCTATAGACCTGTTGACAAAAGTCATTCAATGGTCATTTCCAATCATGAGACCACAAAGCTGTATGCTGATGTTGCCAATCAAGCTAGTTCTTCTATTATCAAACCCAGAGTGCGAGTCTGGTTTGGGTTAGGGACGGCAGTTCGAAGCTTGGTCCAATGGATTTTATGATAGGTATATTTCACCGTTAAATTCCAGAGAATCCAGCATTTGGCCGTGTTTTTCAGTCAAACGAACACGTACTATCGTGGTATTCAATACCTTCTTACCAATAAGGAGATTTTGACTCTGACATCGTGTATTAATTTCAACTTCTTTCATTCCTCCACTCGCAACACTCCCAAAAATTTTCAACACATCAAGCATAAAAGCGGTTTCCAGGAAGATCCTGTTCATTCAATCTTTTCTTTTCCCAAAAAAAGACCCAAACTGAACCAGTAATGACAATTGAAGTCAAAGGAGGCTAGCTGCATAACCGTAGTCCCCGATCTTGTAATAATCTAGTCGTATTGGTCCATGCATATTCTCGGGCAGCAGTACATAAGTCATACGTTCCGGGCCCGGCCTGAATTCCACCCTAAAAGATTCTTTGGATGCTATGGCTTTTATCCGGAGAAGTACCCGTCTGCTTCTAAGGGGCCGGGTACCATGTTTTATTTGGGGCTTAGGGGCAGTGTTCAAATATAGTGAAATGGGAAAGTGGATTGTAGAGGGTCTTGCAGTGAGAGGGAATACGAGAGTTCCTGCTAGAAAACCTGGTCACCAACAACTTCTGCGCCCAGGGAAATCGCCTAGCAATAATGAGGTAGGGGTCCTGCTTGTTGGGCTTGAAGGTAACCCTGGTCCATAGATGCAACTCGCTGGGAGGCTTGGGCTCTGATTAGCCCTGATCTATCGGGAGAATCTTCCGCTTGTTCCGATTAGTTGATCGGAGCGGCCAACATATCAGACCTTCGAAATATACGGAAGTCAACAAGGATGACAGATTAAGACATGGTGTATACAGTCTGGTGGAATACGTTGCTGAGTGCTTCTGGCGCTTTTTATGCCTGTGGCACAGATGAGCGCCTGCGGTGCCAGGGCAGAAGTGATGTAACTACTCTGTAAGTGGGTTTACCACTTAATTATGTGCAAGATGGGACAGATAATATCGACCAATCATCTTCAAGGGTCTTCCTAAATAAGTGAAGCTTCGTAAAGAAGTTTAGCTGCCAAGCCTGGTACACTAAACGAGGGGTTTCATCAGGTCACATGACAACTAGCCCAATGTAGGTATAAATACTTTCAATCATCTGGGAGAAAACGAACTACTATCGCTATTTATTACTCTATTATGTCCAGTCAGGATCAGAACAAAAATCCAGAAGAGGTTGTTAAGTCTTAGTACTGACATTTCACGGAAACAGTGTAAGTAGGAGGCATATATTAGGTTTCTTTCTTTCCCTATCTCCTTCCATGGCTAATATTTTTTGTGTTAGGAATTTCGTGGATTTAAAGATGTCTCCTTGTGGTAATCACTCATGTAGTTGTGGTGAAAGTTGTGCCTGTACTCCTGAGAGTTGCCAGTGTTAATGAGGTTGGACACGGTAAGTACTTAGATACTGTAAATCACAGTTTTGTCTTGGATATGGAAGCTGGTGGTGCTAAATGCTATTTATCACAGATGGTAGACTGTGGGACTTGAGAAGCAAACACTACTTGGTGGGTATTCTGGATTATGTGTGTGCACAACGAGAAGCAGGTGAAGTAGTACTCTGTACTAGTATGGAAAGACTAGATAGGCACATTCCATGTTTACTGTGCGTCCTGGACCCGATCTCCGTACAGTAATCGATGTTAAGACAAAACACGAAAGTGAGGCACAGAATGGCCGATTTATCAGAAGACTGTTCCAGTTCCTCTATTGTTGCATACGGTCGACGCAGCATCGGGGCTTATGCATTCCTTATCCACAGTTATCTATGTGCATGATGTCGTTTGGCTAGTTTCAGACAGATACCTGGTATCATTGAACCGAGATAATTGTCATTCGCATAGCGAGACACAACAATTGGCAAAAGATGATGAATCTATTCTGTCTTGAGGGACAGAGTAAAGATAAACTCTGTTTGCTTTTCATGCCTCGTTATCAACAGGTCCCGGGCCATAATCGGACCAGCTTGGTAGTTGTAACAAATAAAATTGGAACTAGAACGCCACTGTAACTATCAAAAATTAGACAAACTGTTGTTAGAAGACGGATTGTAAGATGGTAAGTGAAGACAATACCGAAAGATAGTCATGTGACCACAAAGACCTAGCAAACGGATCATCTTGGGTACGCGTTGGACAATGTCGCACAATCCACAGGCTGTGGGCCTTTTCTCAATTCTTTTCAATAGCCAAGTCCCGGTTCAAGTCCGTTTGCAAAATTGTCGTCCTCCGATATATCGGACTTGGTGCGATCCGCGGAGTATGCTCCCCACCTGATCGACATCATACTGAAGCTTATCTATGGAGATTGCGATACTATATATACAACCAGTATGGCCGGCTAGAACAGACAATTGAATTTAACATATTGTCTGACATTTAGCATCCTCTCCATCTTAATCCTCCCCTACAGAACCAACATGCACATCCTCATAACCGGCGCAGCAGGCTTTATCGGCCAACTCCTCACCAAAGAACTCCTCAACGACCCCTCCCACCACCTCATATTGGCTGACATAAACGAAGCCCCAATACCAAAAGGCGTTAAATACCCCTAAAATGCGCAAACAGTGACAGCAGACCTTCTTGCCGGCGCAGACAACCTCGTCTCACCCACCCTCGACGCCGTCTACGTCTTCCACGGAATCATGTCCCTAGGCTTAGAAGCAAACTTCGACCTCGGCATGCGCGTGAATGTCGACGCTACAAGGATTGTATTAGAGGCGCTGCGAAAGACATGTTCGGGGGTGAAGGTTATCTATTCGTCCAGTCAGGCTGTGTATGGGCAACCGCTGCCGGAGGTTGTTGATGATAGTGTTATCCCAACACCGCAGTCATCGTATGGGGCAGAGAAGATTGTTTGCGAGACGCTTTTTAATGAGTATACGAGACGGGGGTTTGTTAATGGCTTTGTGCTAAGGTTTCCGACTATTTCTGTACGGCCGGGGAAGCCTACCGCTGCGGCGTCGTCGTTCTTGTCTGGTATGACTCGGGAGTCGTTGGCGGGGAAGGAATGTGTTGTGCCTATTGAGGATCGCTCGTTCAAGTCGTGGGTTTGCTCATCTCAGACACTGGTTCATAACCTATTGCATACGCTCTCATTACCGCGCGATGCGCTACCATCACATATCCGCCAAATCAATGTTCCTGGGATCTGCGTTACAGTCCAGGAGATGATTGATTCGTTGGAGAAGGTTGGAGGGAAGGATAAGTTGGGGTTCATTCAAGAGAAGGGGGATGCGGAGCTTAAGGCAATTTTGCTCTCATGGCCTACGAGATTTGATAACTCCCAGGCGTTTACGTTAGGGTTCAAGCCGGATGAGTTGTTTGAGCAGGCTGTGAGGGATTACTATGAGACTGAAGTGGTGCAACAATAGATTTATGTTGTTATGGTAGACTATGTTTTATAGGCTTGCATGTACATCTTGCAGTGTTCATAAGACCAATGACAAATAACACACATTCCATCAAACAATTTCGCGAGATCGTATACTATTTCCAAACCTGAAATCATTTAGCCACATATACAAAGACATACATTCAATAGCTCTGCCAAACCTGTCCATCGATAGCAATCAACCGATCAAACAGCTGATTCCGTGTAGCCATAGCCGTAAGCTGATACCTCTGTCCCGGTTCTCTCCCAATGAGCAACAAGCCATCCACAACCTCCTTACTCCCCACAGCCCATCCAACAGCCAACTTTCCTTTCCAACCTAGTCCACCCGTCTTCCTCATCTCCGTGATATCAGAAACAGGCATCGAGAACAGCACCGTGCCGTCCTTTCTACTCTCTATTGCCATTTTGTCGAAGTCCAGGGCAGATTCGGTGGTGAAGTAGAGCAGTGGCGGGTCTTTGGAAGAGTCAATGATGGCTGCGCCACGTTTGCCTTTATAGCGCGCGTCGAACTCGACGGGACCGGAGGGAAGGGCTCGTTTTCCCTTGCTACGGAGGATCCCGACGCGGGCTTTGGCGTGGCGGGAGCCGGTGACGGCACGGGCCCTGTCGATGGCAAGTTTGCCTTCGATGCTTGTTGCTGTTGTACCGCGGAAGAAGGAGATGATGTGGGGGATAATTCCTTGCTTTTGCTTGTGAGTGTCTGCTGTCTGTGGCCGGGATGGAGAGTTCTCGTTTTCAGAGGCTCCATGGGCGGGTGTATCGTTGCCACTGGAAGGGGGTTTGGCTTGTGAGCTTGGCGGAGGTGGGAGAGGTGCAAGATTCATTTCCCCAATGCGTAAAAGCGTCAGTGTGAGTTGAGCATTTGTGGGGATGCCCCGGAGAAGTGTACTAGGTGGAAAAAATTAGCAGACAATCTTTCAATAGGTCAATTGGGCCTGGACATACTTCTGCAGTTCCAAGAGGCGCTTCCAGTGCGAATACCTGCGATCCAATAATCCCACGATACGTTGAATAACGGGTTCGCCGAAGAAGAAGAAACCAGAAAGGAATGTGCTGATTTTGACGAAGGTATAGCTGGAGACAATAAAAGAAGCAAACAGGGCAAACGCTAGAACTCCCACAAATCGTAGATATGGGGTCAACATGGAGAAAGGTGGTGTTGGAGAGAGAGCACTATATTTAAAGCAGTTAATACGGTCAATTTGGTATAGCAAATGGGTCCTCACTTTTCAAATCGCTCGTAGGTATCCGTGATATCACTCAACACTCGCATGGACTGATTCGCTAAATTAAAGACGGTCTCCTTGATAGGCTCTCTCGTCTTATCATGCGACTCTTCCGACTTTTCTCCATGCACTGCAGTTCGCGCATCTGCCGCCTTCGTTGCAATATCTGCCGGATTGGGTGTGTTTTCTATTTTCGCATCTTGAGGTGTATTTTCTGGCTCAACTTCAGGCATTTCTTGCTCATGTTTACCTGCTGCGCTCTCCACAGTGAGACCGGCAACACTAGCCAGAATATTGCTGGCTTCATTCTCAGCTGCTTCACCCTTGTACTTCTCTGGTGCACCAGTAGCACTGTCGTCCGAGCCCAGATGACCAGCTTTAGGCCTTTGCGTGCCACCTGTAGCTGTATCAACTAGGGCGATAGGGGCCGGGGGGAATAGCAACGTTCGAGATGGCGGGTGTAAGACGAGAGTCATGAGGACAATAAAGAAGGTGGGTGCGAGGAGGTCTAGGAGCCATGCAGCAGAATATACCTATAGAGCATCAGCGATGGTGGTTGAAAGTCACAACGGGCGAACATACAATGCAAAACCCCAACGTGCGTTCGTATTCTCTCCATGAACGTAACCGAGCAATATGATTCGCAACACTAATCAGTTTTAAAGCCACAGTTGTATAAAATCGTTCAAGCGTCGCCCGCAGTTTGTCAGGGGAGAACTGTTCGTCTTCGGCTCGAATAAGGTCGAGTCTCTGCATTGGTGTGTCCGGCACAGCTTTGACATAGTACAGTTGCTGTGCTTGTCAGAAGAGCCCAATCATGGTTTTCCGAGATCACATACCTTGTCAAATCGTCTAATAAGTATCCAGAGATCCTCATTCAATAACCCCGGCACTATCTGTTCCCCAATCTCACCAGGCCCATGCTCCCATCCAATATCCGAAACTTGCTGGGATGCGCCAGCTTTCTGAACTAGCCCCTTCTCATCTGGTACAACATGAGAGATTGCATGGCTGTCTGTTGGTCCCTGGTTCTCAGTTCTGGATGGCCCGTTTAGGTGATGAACGATGTTATGGCCCATGTCTCTCCCATCGCCGTCGTCGGATTTAACCACAGAAGATAATGGATTAGCGACCATGTTTTCATTGCTTGCAAAAATTGTTTTAGTGTGTTTATAGGGGTAGGATTAAGAGAAATCGTGATATTTGATGGTCAGATAGTCTTCTATTATACATCAGTGAATCCCAGTAGCGTTGTTGATGTCATTCCGACTCAACCAGGAAATGGTCGATCTTGGTTGATCCAGACTCCGACGGCATCTGTCATTGTTGCTACAGGGACAAGGCCCTCTCTATAGCACCTCGGCTCTCGTCTTATATTGCTATAGAGAAGATAAATCCCCAGACAGAGCAAAATGTCGAATAGCGTCGTTGTATTATACTATGAGATCATCTCGACCAATCATCATGTAGGTAGTCTTAGTCATCCTAAATCCGCGCCACACTATGCCACAGTAAAGCCACACTATCGCCCAAAGAGGAAATACGCGTCAAGACGCGGAAGCCAGACAACGTTCTTCAAGAACTGCTATGGCAACACAATAAACACCTTGGACGTACTTCGGGTGCATCAAGGAAGACATTATCTTGACCATTACTTCGGCGTATTATGAGCGAAGAAACCTGCGCGAATCCCCTGCTGCTGGGGTGGATAAAGGAATGGCTGGATCAAGCGAGAGAGCGGAATAGCAAAGGGTTTACGGTGTTCGTTTCCCTATAAATTGATTGCAAGGTATAGGTAGTTAACTGCTGCAATCAGGTACAAAAAAGCGTATGAGTCGATGAAAGCATGTCCGCTGGTTTTCGAACATCCATCTGAAGCTCAGCAGTTGAATGGACTCGGGCCGAAGCTTTGTGACCGGTTGACGGACAAACTGAAGGAGTACTGTACGCAGAATGGGCTTCCTGAACCTGAACTGCCTCATAAGAGTATGTGCTCTGTCCTCTGGCCACCTGCTACCCGGTACTAAGAACCGCAGACAGCAAAAGGCCCCCCGGCGAAGGCCTACACGAAGACCAACCCGCAAAGAAACCACGCAAACAAAAGGCCTACGTCCCAGCTTTACGATCAGGTCCATACGCCCTACTACTGGGTTTGGGGACCCTTAACGAGAATGCGTCCCAGAGTATGACGAAAGCGCAGTTGATCGAAGTGGCGCAGCCATACTGTGACAGCTCGTTCACGGTCCCGCCCGATCCCACCAAATTCTACACTGCTTGGAACTCGATGAAGACGTTGGTCCAAAAGGATCTGGTCTATGAGCATGGACGGCCTTTGAGAAAGTATGCGCTTACGGAGGAGGGGTGGGAGGTTGCGAAGAGGATCCAGAAGACTTTGCCGGGGGCAGGGCAATCAACGTTGTCTTTTGAGGTATGACTGTATCAATCTTACTATAATTGACTAGCTCTGACCTCGCAGGGAACTAATGAACGAGCAAGTGCTGGCCCCTCAAAACCCAGACTCCAACGAGCCCCATCAGCACTCACCGATGTCGACATCGACATCCAAGCACCCCCATCACAACACCCCAGCGCCATCCCCGAAACCCTAAACGAAAACCAAGAAGACCAAACCCCATACACACTAGGAATGGGCGCCTCAGACGGCTCTAACATAGCCCCCACCCCCCTGGCTCCCAAATCCTTCACAATCCAACTAATCCTCGACACCCGTGAGGTCCGCTCCTCCAAAGACCGCGACTACATCTCCAACGAACTCACTAAGCGAGGCGTCACCCCTATAGTCCGCGCCCTGGAACTTGGTGATGCGATGTGGGTAGCCAAAGTCCACGATCCGAGTATATTATCCCGACACGGCGAAGAAAACGCCAACGACGAGATCATGCTAGACTGGATCGTGGAACGGAAACGTCTCGATGATCTCGTCGGCTCAATAAAAGATGGTCGCTTCCACGAGCAGAAATTCCGACTCCGTCGGTCAGGCATAAAAAACGTAATATACCTCATCGAAGAATTCACAGTCACACAGGATAGCGCAATGGCATCGAAATACCACGAAATGGTTGCCTCAGCAATCGCAACAACACAAGTCGTCAACGGCTACTTTGTCAAGAAAACGCGGGATCTGGACGATACAATTCGCTACTTAACACGCATGACCTTCTTGTTACAGAAAATGTACGACGACTCGACAAACACACTTTCCTTCCTGCCTACTTCTCAAATTTCCTCGTCGCAGGCATATCTCTCCGCACTGGAGCGGTTACGACCTCAGAACCCTTCGACGACATACGGCGTGACGTTCTCTACTTTCTCGGCGCTGAGTTCGAAATCAGATGTACTCGCTCTTCGTGATGTTTTTCTGAAGATGCTCATGTGTATCCGCGGGGTGACTGGTGACAAGGCACTCGAGATCCAGAGACGCTGGCGCACGCCTAGGGAGTTAGTGGAGGCCTTCCAGGCTTTGGATCCGAGAGATAGAGAGGATATGGTTGCAGAGGAAATGAAGGGGATGGTAGGGAGGAAGAAGATTATGAAGGCGTTGAGTAAGAAGATTGCGGAGGTTTGGGGGGAGTTGGGTTGATTGGTATTGTTTTGTGTTGGTGTCTGGTATTTTATGATTGGGATGGCCATTCTTGAACTTTATGTATTGGTATAGTTGTTATTGCGCATAATATTTTTTTTGAATTCGTTACTGCATAGCACTATATATGGTATCATGAAAACTAAAGTCACAAACGATAACAATCTCTTGAACAATCTGTTCTCAAACAAACCTGCAAATGATGAGAAGTCCAGCTTCTCATCTATGTCTCACTTTTCGCCACCAAAAAACCTCCTAACCCGATCCTCAACCCCCAACACCAAACTACTACACACAACCGAAACGCTACTCAACGCCATCGCCAACGCAGCCCAAACAGGACTCAGCCTCCAATGCGTATCAACAACCCCAATAACCTCTCCATTGCTACCCATGACATCCCGGTGTCCACTGACGATGGGATAGAATACTCCCGCGGCAACAGGGATAAGGCAGAGATTGTACACCAACGCCCATCCAAAGTTCATCTTGACGCGGTTAAACACGCGGCGGCTGAGGAGGACAAGGTGCAAGATTGTATTTAAGGAGGAGTTTAGGAGGATGAAACTGGCAGAGGACAAGGCGACGTCCGACCCCGTGGAGAGAGCGATGGATACATCTGCCGCAGCCAGTGCAGGGGAATCATTCACGCCATCGCCAATAAAAGCCACGATCGAACGGTCCTTCTTCTGATTATCATTTGGAGAAGTTTCTTGGATCTGGCGGACAAAATCGGCTTTACCAGCTGGTAGGATGTTGGCCATGACGTTTGAGCGCGGGATGCCGACCATATCTGCGACAGCGGTTGCGGTGGTGTGGTTGTCGCCTGTGCACATGTAGACGCTGACGCGGCGGTTTTGGAGGTTGGAGATGACTTGTGCGGCTTCGGGGCGGATGAGATCGGAAATCGCGAAGACGAGGACGGGAGTGAATGGGGATTTCTCCAGGGTGTCCAGGTTGATTTTGCGGAGGGAGAGAATGGCGGTTGATTTTCCGGCGGATTGGTACTTCGAAAGGAGGGTTGAGATGTAGTATGTGTCTGTGTCTGGGGAGGCGAGTTCGTGGAGGAGACGCTCGTTGCCGATTGCTGCTTCGTATTGGACGGGTTCTGTGGTTTCGGGAGTCGACACTGAGAAAACACCCTTCATTCCTTTTCCGGAGAGTTCCTGGATCTCAGAAGACTGTACAAAGGCAGCTGGTTTGCTGTTGCAGAACTCCATGATTGCACGCGCAATCGGATGGTTGCTGCTTTCCTCTAGCTTCTTCGCGAGCGTCCAAGCCACTTGCATCTCTGTCGAGTCGTTGGTGTTCGAAAGGACCTCATGCTCAGAAACTTTCAGGCTACCTCCCTCGGTAAGAGTGCCAGTCTTGTCAAAGACAATGGCATCGAGACGACTCGCTTCCTGAAACGCCTCGCCACCGCCCTTGACCAGGATACCATGTCTAGCAGCTAGACCCCCACCGACAAACAGCGCCGTAGGAGCCGCAAGCGCCAAACCACAAGGACAAGCAACGACAAAAACTGCGATAGCAAACTCCAGGCTCCAGAAGGTCCATCCACCGCGAGAAACGTCCAGATAATCATCAGGCAAAGCGCCAGAAAGCCCAAGACAAAGCCAGACAAGGAAAGTCAAGATCGCAATGAGTGTGATGATGGGCACGAAATGAGAAGTCAACATATCTGCGACTCTTTCCAGCGGCGCACGTCGGCTTTGGCCCTCGCGTACAACGGAAATAATCTGGTCGAGCATCGACGAGCCTCCGATGGCAGAAACCTGGATCTGCACTGGCTGTCCTACGTTGACGGATCCGGTGTAGACTTGATCACTGGCGGTCTTCTTGACAGGTTTCGATTCACCAGTGAGAGAGCTTTCGTCAAATTTATAGGTTCCTGTTGTGTTCAAGACGGTACCATCAGCTGGCGGAGAAGCGCCGTGAGGAATGCTGACAATATCACCGATTTCAAGCAGGTCGATGTTTATACGTCGGATAACCTCGGATTCCTTGTCATCGGGCGTTACTGAACGTTCTACAAGTAACGCCTCGGAGGGTCTTAGCTTGCCCAAAGATGCAATCGCGTCTCCCGTTTTTGCTTTGCTGTAAGCTTCCATGAAGCGACCAGCCAGGATAAACAGGGTAAGGAAGACAACCGTGTCGAAGTATGTCGAGCTATGAGTTTGAGCCGACTTATCTGTGCCCGCCGCGGCATCAACAATGAGAACAGCCAGAGACGAAAGATAAGCAACCGTGGTTCCCGCGGAAATCAACAAGTTCATGCTGCCAAAGCGGCAGAACCGCCGCAGAAAAGGAACCCGACTGCCAGGACGCCACAGGGCATGGACTTCCTTCATCGCTCGCACGTGAAATATGTCAGTGCCGTAGAACATGACCGGCGTTGTCATGATGAAAAGCGCCCACTCCATGCGAGATGCGCTGCCGGCCCACATTGGCTTCTCCAGGTACATTCGAGCTGGGTTGTTGGAAGATACGAGACTCATGAACACCACACCAATCAGGAAGGTTGGGATTGTGATGGTGAACACAAACAGAAGGCGGCACAGCAGTCGGCGTCGCTCGTGTAGCTGGATTGCACGCGAGCGGTCTTCGACGCTTGGTGGATGGTAGACAGTCGCCTTGAAAGCATCGTGTGCGGACTCAACGGTCGAGAGCAGGTCTCGAACGGTGTAGGATGACGGATGAGGGGTGTAGGTAACTTTCAGGATGGGGTTCTTGATAGACAGGGGCTCCTCAATAACAACGTCCGTAAGGGTTTCCAAAGATTCAAGAACTCTTTTCGGGCAGTGGTGACAAAACATGCCATCCACAAGAATCGAAACAGTTCTCGGTTTGATCTCATCGTTGTCGTCTTTCTCCGCAGCCAGAGGGCGAATGCTGGTCAATGAAGCATCGAAGCCAATGTCTTCAACCTTCTCCACGATGGCATTGGCCTTTTCTTCTCCTTCGAATTCGACCATGCCACTGTGTGACAGGAGATTCACAGAAACACAGGTGACGAAGGGGAGCTCCTCGATAGCGCCAGTGACTGCTCCCACACAGGATCCGCAAGTCATGCCGGTGATAGCAATCTCTGCGACGAAGGCAGTCGGCGCACGACGAGGCTGAGAAACTGTATTGACTTCGTCAAGGGACGCTTCGAAACCAATGTCCTCGATCTGGTCGATGACCTTGTCAATATTCGACTTTGGGCCGGTGTAAACCAGCGTGGCACTGTTGGTGAGCAGGTTGACGACGACATCCTTGATGAATTCAAGCGCCTTTACCTCGTTCGTCACAGCATTGACGCATGACGCACAGCTCATACCTCCGATGCTGATGCGGGCATTGAATACCTCGTCCACCCGCTGAGGGGTCGACAACAACACAGTGTCCAGTGGCTGCACAGGCTCCATGGCCACCGAGGAAGCTCGTGGCACGAGACTCTCGACGTCAGAGTCTTCCTTTTTGTAGTCAGGACACAACGAGCCGCGGTTACTAGCAGCCAGCGGAGCAGCCCAACTGCTTTCACGTCGAAACAGGCCATTCTTTTCTGGGCGGGGCGACCAAGACAGCCGATCCTGGCTCTCCTTTCTGCACGCATCACAGTTGGCGATGTGTTGCCTGTTCTTCAGAGGTAACTTGGGGTATGAAGCCCGCACCGACGAGAATAGAATCGAATCGCGGGGGAGCAACGAAGTGGTGTCAATTTCCGAAACAACGGAGCCTTCAATGTCGTCGTAGGTGGTGACATGGTGGACTTCAAAAGCGGCCTGAACCAACGCCATGGCCAACTTGGATGCACCGACTTCCACGCCGTGTCGCACGTGTACTTCGTGGGTCAGGATGTTGACCTCCACGCCCCTCACGGCGGGTACGTCAGAAAGGATCACGTTGATGTAGGCGACACAGGAGGTGCAGTGGACGTTACTGACGAAGAAGGTGCTGCGAAGACATCTGGGTTCATGTACGGGGAAGTGACGCCCAAAGGCTTCACCCACATTGTTCTTCTTGTCCTCCATGGTTGTACAACCTGCACTTTGGAGCTGGGATGCTGTTGTTCCGGGAATGATCCGGGATTTGGTTGTCTTGACCAGCAAGACTAAACGATGATGCCGTCGTGATTGTTTTTGATAGGGAGTGATGAATGATAGGTGAGAGAATGGACTATGGAATAGAACATATATTCGTCCAAATGGGTGGTTGTAACGTAGTAGGAAGGGCTAACTATGACCTTGCGTCCTTGCCATAGAAACCACACTGGGAAAATTACACTGAAAAAAGGCAGAAGAAATCTGTGTTTTAAAACAGAATAAAAGAGAGAAAGAAAAGAAAGTAAAGGAGTGGAATGGAAAAGAAGGTTGACCTCAACGATGGACCAGCATCTGAGAGATTTGTGCGTGAAAGATCCTGAATGCCAGAGACTTCCCACGCACAAATATCGCATTCTTTATGACTGTACGCCATGACGCCAAAAGCAGGTCAGATTCCACAGGGCTGGTCATTTGTTGCTCAATATCCAATAATCAATTTATTTTGGATTTATCTGAACCACTCCTGTTGATCCGGACGAATGCTGTGGGATGCCGTGCGCATTGGTGGTTGACCAGCGAATCGCCTACTAAGAGCACCACTCAACGCTGGACTCGTCAGTCACGGAGCCATCCAGACCCATTTTTTTTTCTCGCCGCGTGTGATAGACATCTTTAGGAGCTCCTTTGCAGCTAAGAAAACTGCCCAGAATTGGATTCTTCGCCATGATTTGCCCTCCACCGTCACTCCTGAAACCAGTGTGGATTTGACACTGCAAGTCCGCTGCCACTCAGAATCTCACACGAGGAACCAAGCTTTTCTTCGAAACACTTACAAAGCGCTCAGGTTTTTTTTTTTTTTTTTTTTTTTTTTTTTTTTATAAAAAAAAAAAAAAAAAAAAAAAAAAAAAAAAAAAAAAAAAAAAAAAAAAAAAAAAAAAAAAACAGCCGGAGTCGAACTCGCGGCCTCCCGGCTACACGTGACATATCCGCTAGGCCACCGGACCAGACCGGCAGAATCTGCAGCCGACAACGTCCTCCGCTCGACTCCCTTCACTTTTGCCTCTTTTTTTTTGTGCTCCCCTCGTGTATCTTCGTTGCGTGGTGTGTCTTCCATTGCCCTACTATTTGCCAGACTAGACAGTCTGAATCCACGAAAAGAAAATACTCATCGTCATTTCTTCTCAATGACTGCGCGAGAGTGACGCACATCTCACTCATTGGCCATCAGTTACTCTTTCGGGAAACACGGGCATGTACCGGTCTATGCTCGCCATTGTTTGTTGACTTTGCATATTCATATCTGCAACTATATTATTTCTGCTTGCACGCGCGTTGACACCATCCTCGCACCATGTCAACTAGGCCAGGCATGCGGGCTCCCATGCCCTCCCGGCCCGGCTCCAGGGCTCCTGTCGGCCGTCTGGCCAGTCTTAAACCTAGCAATCCAACGCCTATCAGACGTCCTCAGCCAATAGCGCGTCCGCAGCCGACCAAACCGACAACTCACCCCAAGACATCAACATGTCCTAATCTCGGCTGTCCTGCACCTCATATCGTCGAGGATGACGGACAGAAGGTTTGCTCCGGATGTGGTACCGTTATCAGCGACGCAAACATTGTATCTGAAGTCACATTCGGAGAGACTTCCTCTGGTGCAGCAATGGTCCAGGGTACTTTCGTCGGAGAGGACCAGTCCCATGTCCGTAGTTATGGACCAGGATTCCAGCGTGGGGGTAATATGGAAAGTCGAGAAATCACGGAACAGAACGGCAATCGATATATCAACCAACTGGCCCGTGCATTGATCATTCCTGAGAGTGCCGCCAAGGCGGCTGGACAAGTTTTCAAGCTTGCCGTCGGGTTGAACTTCATCCAGGGTCGACGGACGAAAACCGTCGCAGCAGTGTGTCTGTACATTGCCTGTCGTCGACAGGATGGGAATACTAGTATGTTGATCGATTTCGCTGACGTACTGATGATCAACGTCTTCAAACTTGGTCGAACTTACAAAGCTCTGTTGGAAGAACTGCGAATCGGGGGTAATGTCTTTCTGATGAATCCGATCGATCCGGAGAGCCTGATCTACCGATTTGCCAAACAACTCGAATTCGGATCCGCCACGATGCAAGTAGCCAGTGAAGCAGTCCGAATCGTGCAGCGTATGAACCGAGATTGGATGACTACCGGTCGAAGACCGGCTGGTGTCTGCGGTGCGGCTCTAATCCTGGCTGCCAGAATGAACAATTTCCGTCGGACGGTCCGTGAGGTTGTCTATGTAGTGAAAGTTACTGAGATCACCATTAGTCAACGGTTGAATGAGTTTAGTTCGACCGAAAGTGGAGAGCTGACTGTTGATCAATTCCGGTCTGTGCAACTAGAGAACGCACATGACCCACCATCCTTTACGAGAGCAAGAGAGGACAGGAGACCAGGTCGGCGAGCGAAACGCAAAATTCCAGAAACAGCAGCGGAGATTGAGGATGATGATTACGAGGAGTCGCCAGAGAGGCGCGTCGATGCCGATGGCTTTGCCATTCCTAGCCTACCTATTGACCCTGCCCTGACAAATGCGGCTACTGGTCGGCGACCATCTGCGCCATCCGCTGTCAGCGATGCTTCTGAAGCCGTGGAAGAGTCATCGAAGTCCAAACCTAGCCAACCGAAAGGCTCCAAGCCGAGGCAGGTTCCCTTCCAGCCCAGTGCGGAACAGGTTGCATCGGAGAATGCCCTCGAAGACGAAATGACTGCCTTCCTGACTAAAGGCTCCAAGATGGTTGAAACAGCATCATACCCCAACCAAAGTCAAGAGACGAACAGAAAATCCATCTCAGATAGCACCGAAATCGACGCCAGCGAATTCGAATCCGACCCGGAGGTGGCAAACTGCCTCCTCCGCCCCTCGGAAGTCGAAATCAAAGAACGCATCTGGGTCCATGAAAACAAAGACTACCTCCGAACCCAACAAGCCAAGGCCCTAAAACGAGCCCTAGCTGAAGCCGACTCGGGCCCAGGAATGCACAAACCTCGCAAGCGTCGTCGCGGCCGGATGGGCGATGTTACTTACCTCGAAGGCGAAGGCGAAGAGGGAGACGGACGGAGCACGCGCGCCTCGACACCAGCAGAGGCAACACGTCGGATGCTCGAGCGCAGAGGGTTCAGTAAGAAGATTAACTACCGTCTTCTGGATTCTCTCTACGGCGAAGAAGGAGCCGAATCGAAACCCGACGGTGCAAGTCGCAGCCAGAGCGTTGTGTCTGGTCGTAGTGTCAGCGTCGAACCTGAATCTACATCTCGACGGACTGGAGTTTTCACATCATCGGCCACAGCCAAGCCTACTGCTTCTTCAGCTCCTGCCCCGGTCCCTGCTCCTGCCCGCGCCGCTACTGTAAAGGCACAACCCAACGAAGAAGTCCTCGGCCCCGCCAGCGGGCCAAACAATAACGAAGAAGTCGTTGGTGAAGCGCCAGAGAATGAAGACGACTACGACGAGGAAGATGATGAGGAAGAAGGGGATGATGGCGTCGATGCGGCATTTGCAGGGAACTATGGGGATTACTACGATGATGATAGTGATGCTTATGATAGTGATTAATAGTTGACTGGTGGGGTTTTCATTTTGAGAGTTTTGTTGAGCGGTATACCCTGATTTTATATATAAGAGTTGGTGAATAAAGGAGGATTGTGCTCAATTGTTTCATCATCAAAGCACCACTTTACGTAGCATCACCTGCTCAAGGGCATTTGCCTCCAAACTAAATACTGCTACGTCCCAAGATGTTATAAATCCCTCGTCACCTTTATGCTATCGATTCCCTGTGCCCTTTCGACATGATACCACGACACAGCTGCAGATATGTCCAGAACTGGGTTAATTCCAGTCATGTTCGTCACCAATGATCTCTTGAATAGGTCGACTTGGACCAGCGAATGAAATAGTCCCACGTTGAGGATATTCAAACTATATCAAGGTCCAACATCACCAACTTGTATTCTCAGAAACCAAATATTTCCTTCCTTTACTACACGTTTTAATGGCATACACGAAGCGCAAATTATGCTTAGCAGCCCAGCCTCCCCTTTTCTCAAAGAATATGTATATGAAAAGCTAAGGAGATATTAGCTTTCGCTCTGAGCACCCAACAGGAGTTTGTCACAAGTGAGGTCGTGCGCTGTCTGCTTCGTTGCTAATAGTGCAAGAGCACGGCTTAGTTCACAGTCACAATACCCATTAAAGATATCTCCATGGAGGCTCACGTTCAACCTCCAGATTATCCAAACATTACGAAGTGACTACGTGGCCCGACGGTTTCTAGGAAGGCCAGTATCAGGTCTTGCCCAAGCTTCCCTATCTAACCATTCGTTGGATCGGGACGACTACCCACTCCTTACGACAGTCCTTGAGACAGCGGTATCTGAGAGGGAGGCTGAGCTTATCCAACTAGACAAGCATGTTTGAGGGCACGTTTCTCTGTGCGGAGTCCACAGAACCCACAACAACTATCGGAGACAATGACTCATCAATAAGCGTCTCACCACTTCGATCCAAATCTCAACTCCATATCCAACTTCACATTCGGTCAACATAAAGTATGCATCTTGACCACAAAATCCCATGGAATACAGCATCTGCCCATTTCGACCTAATACGATGCAACCGAAGATTCACTCCGCATCGCACAAATCTCTTTTCACGCAACAAACCGTCCGTGTCAACAGATCTAAGCCATTTCTGTCGTGTGTTTATTGCAACTGTCCGGGAATTCTCACAAACCAAACCATCATCACCAATATCCCCAGAAAGACTCATCTCTGACTCTCTGCTGTCTTATCCTGAACGAAAATATGGTCTCAGACCACATGAAACAAACTCCGCACTACACAACCCTCTCTCTACGAAACATCAGAACATTCAATACTGGATTAACCGTGCCGGTACTCCAGACGAACCGACCTATAGCAGTAGAGATGGGGATCTTTCTGATGCGGTGAAGATGCTGGTCATCATCGCCGCGAGTGCAAACGGTGTAGATACAGAGGCGAAAGAAAGATCAAGAGAGGCGATTTCCGCTTTACTCACTCTATCTCGCCATTCTCATATACCTATTCATACTTTGAATAATATTCATTGGGGCCATGGGTTTGGGGTGGCATTGGTTGCGGATTTCGCATTGGAGGCGTATCTTTTGATTAATCTGGTTGATGGAGTTCTTTCTCGCAACCGATTAACTTCTGATAATTCTATGGAGAAGGAGGTATCACTTCTGGAAATGGAATCCTTCCGACATTTCATCTCAAAAGCTCTCCCTGACTATGATTATCCAGTGCAAAACATTCCTCATCGAGCTTTTTGGAATGAATTGGGTGTCACGGATACTTGGGCCTACGAACCGAAGTATAGCCAATGTGTTCAAGACGAAAAGAATGATATGGATGCAATTGATCCGTTGAGAGATGGGAATGAGGAAGTCAGACAGGGTTTACGGCAGTATCTCAAGTCTTGTTTTGCGATATTGTATGTTTATGATATGCTATTGAGGGAATGGCATGGAGGGGATGAAGCTAATTCGACGTGGAGATATTGGATTGATCGTTACTTTGCATCCTGTGGTTGCAAACTTGAATAAAATCAACATTATATAGACTAGAAGAATGATTAAAATAGGTAACTATAGTAGGATCTAATTAGTTGTCAAACCTTCACAGTATTTCTGCATGGCATACTATAGTATGTTCAGTTCAGTTCAACCTCAAACCAAATACCAAGCACTGAATCATCGGTTTCACTGAGAATTCGAAACAATAGAACCGTTTTCTTCTTCGTCCCATATTGCTGTTCTCATTGTTTCCCTTTCCCCTATCACCAGGCGTGAATCGTTAGCACAGCAGTGCCCGGCACACGAGACATAGGACGGTCAAGACAGGACTCATATGGACATATTTTAACCAGGTTTCCAACGAGCCACATTCAAATCATGGATTGCTAGACTCAGTGAAGAGCTTGTTCTCAGAAATTTTGACTGCTCTCTGGTTCTATTGTGTGAGATTTTCGTAAGTCTATCCTTCTTCTGTTAGAGTTTTCAGCCTCGAGTGATGCGGGCATGATCCTCCGAAAGGCATCTAATAGAGCTTATTTTAACATTGTTGAACATTCGAGGACGAAGAGCGTCACGTTCTTGCCCCATGATCTAGACTCTAGATGTTTCTTCAAAAGCGGCACAATATTCTCCTCTCGGCCGTGCTGGTTATTGCTTGCGTCCATTCGTCAAGATAAACTGGAGCCTTGGGTGTCGACTGTAGCATTGGTTGGACAAATTTGACCAGTCCATTTGGATGGACACTTGTTGTTATCACATTTCTCACTGCAATACGGGGCAGAAAATCCCAACAAGCTCAAAGGCTTAAAGGCCGTGGAGTAATGCTTGCCCTGGTCGATGTTCACTTTGGTCAAGTGCTTCTCGCCTATTACATGAGAATTGACAGAACACTCGTCTCATATCTTGGAGCCAACACTATTCCCATTTGCAAATGATTGCCTTCGGAGACGTTGCCACTTTCTTTCTGGCTATTGTAAGCTCTGGTAATTAGGGTAGATGTGGGCAACTTCAACTGATGTTGGTCTTCAAACGAAGCACTGAACTTTGGGCCAGAAATACTATCTTCGGGAAAAACACTGGTGACTGGGTGACTTCGTGGAGATGGTCAAACTTTGTAAAGTGCTCGATCATCGCATGCAACGAACAGAGCTGATATCATCATCAGGAATGTGTCTCCTGAGCTTTAGGGATGATTTTGTACCACACCATTATGTAGGTCGCTTGGCATACAAAGTGTTTGCATTCAAGTATGGTCTCAGGTCTTTGTCCTCTTTCCAATTCAGATCCTCCCAGGATAGAACTTGGGAGATAGGCCAATAATTTAATTCGAATAACCATAAATCAACATTTAGAGGGTCAACAAGCCCATCAACTTCATTCCTGAGTCAAAAGGCGGACCGCCAGCACGGTCACCCCGAATTGTTAACTAGCTCTCCAGGGCAGCATCTTCATCTTGATGGGATTTACACAAATTAGTATATACACAAAGTGAATGGATGATTTTGTCATCCAGTATACACGACAAATGATGAATGGGCCGGTTTGGTCTGTCAGAGAGAGCATATCTTTACACATGCTGGAAAGTATATATAATGATCGAACACGATGCATGGCCTCGATAAATTCGGATTCTCCTTCCAACTAGGCGCCCTAGCAAACTGGTACGCCAGCACTCAGTATCGATTGCGGCCGAGGATCTCACATGTAGCGACGTACGTCCACAAACTTTCAGAAAAGCCGGGTCTGTGATGCAAGGTGGACAGGTAAGATAACCACTAGTACATGGACTTGCCCTGCTCGCTAAAATTGTAGTTGTACAAGTTATCACGCTAAGACAGCAAAATAGGTCGCCTACAAGGACGAATGCGAAAGCATGCGTGTCTATGTTTACTTATCGGGGCTCCAGATCCCGAGGACTGCTGCCGTTTTCCATTGACCATGGGCCGAACAGAGTCATCAGATATCTCATGTCCACCTTTGTATATTCTTCTTCTCGAGTATGAATTGTCCTTCCCCTTTTCACAATCCATTGGCACCCGGTTTTCTAACAAGAAAGATCAAGTCTTTACCACTCGACACTTATCTTGCGGTGTCGCCGATTCTTTGCCGTGGACCCAGAGCCACACAAATTAGCCACCAAGGCTGCCCAGTCAATCGACACTTTGCTACTTCTTCATACCTGTCGATTCGGGCTCCGTATCGTGACATTTCTGGAGAGCTGCACTGCATCTGTCATCAGTACTGTTAACATTATTGGTTTAAGAAGAGGAGCCGATCTTCATGCAGCAAGATCCAGACTTTCCCTAAATCTCGAGGTGCTTCGGAGCGCAACCAGTACCCCTGCCAATAGGAATTCCGTTGCGGCTATTGAGCATATTCCCACCCAGAAAGAAGACAACAGCATTGGGTCTAACCGTGGGATGAGGAACTCAACGAGCCACAGTCTTCGAAGACAATCTCTGACGAGAACCATGAATCATCAAGCAGCCATGGAATAATAATTCAAGGATCTCAGAAGACTTGGACGCCCAATGGCTTGACGTCCGTCTCTTCCACTGGGCAAAACGTCCCATGCGATGCTGGGATGGAAGCTGGTCCAAATTTAGTACCTGGTATTTTTCCGGATTGTGACAATACGGATGAATTCTTAGTTGATTTCTTCATTGGATTCAATGGAAGCGCGGATGCGGGAGTGGACTTGATGTTTAAAGCTATGATATTGGGACATGCCCTGAAGCTTAATCAAAATCTGTTCACGCTGTCATATATCTAGTACTTGAATTAACTATAGTTAACAAAAATTATAATATTGGATTGTTTGCTGTGTTAGTAAAGTTAAAATTGAGTATCATACTTCTTCATCCACATTTATTCCTTAGTTGTACTCACCTAGCTATACGGCACTCTGAGCCCCCTTGGACATGTTCTTATGAACATGGCCATTGATAACAATGATATGCAATCGCTTTTGATCCTGCAAAATCTCCATCTCTTTCAAAGGATCCCCGTCGACCAAAATAACATCGGCGTAGAACCCTGGCTGCATCTTGCCCAAAGTCGACCAGGTACCCCATCAGCTCCCCTCCAAACGAAGTCGCCGCAAGAATGCTCTCCATTGGCGCGTAGTCAAACAGATCAACAAAGTGTCTGAGGTCCCGAGCGTAAGTACCATGCGGAGCCCGGGCAAAACCGTAGTCTCCTCCGGGCAATACACGAATGCCCCCGTCGGTGTATTTATTGCATAGCTTTGCAAGCCACCTCCACTTCGTGCTTGAGACCCTTCTTTGCTGCTATCTCGAGTGTCAATCCAAATGGAATTGCACCGCCCTGACAACTGGCAAGTGGGAAGTTGGTGGTGGGAGCAACAAACACGGTATCCTTTGCCTGTTCGAGCATGTCCATTCCTTCCTCGTCAATGAAGCTCGCATGGCAGATCATATCGATTTCAGCTTGAAGACTGTGCTTGACAGAGGCTGCACTCCGAGCATGGCTGCACACATGCTTTCCTCAGTTATGAGCCTCTTCCACCACCGCCAGTCTCCTCCAAGGTGAAATAGGTATCCTCGCTGCGCATGGTCTCATGAATTTATCCGTAGATCCAGAAAATGCCTCTATCTATCGAATTATCTAACAAATTACTATAGAGGCATGGTTTCCCGCTCCCGCATGGTTTAGCTACGATAAAAAGATCCGCAATGGGGCTTTTAGTGGTGCTACTGAATTCACGATCCCCGGCGGAATGAAAGATGCATTTTTCATTCGAACATTGAGTACCGAGACTTCAATCCCCACGCCCTTATTGATCAAGCTTGGAATCATCTCTGCACCGCTAAGGCCATTGGTGGGGAAGACTTGGATTGGAGTTCATTTGCTGCGGGTATGTGGGTCACCGCGGGCCTGCCACCCTTCAAGGGGGAGGATTTTACTCTGGATAAATCTAAGTAAAGCCTCATATGAAGATAACAAGTCCATTAGCCAGGAGTATAGCAAAACAAACAAATCAGATATTATGATCCACCCCATAACATTGACGGCCCGCTATAGCCGACCCTCACGCAAAGATGAACTCGGTAAACGGGTTTGGAGTATATATGAAACACGCTCAACCCTACCTCTGCCAGGTTCTGAGCAAGAGACCAACTCGCATCCTTCAAAAAAAATCTAGAGACGCGGTCTCTCCGGGACATGGCACTGCAAGAGCTTTTCCTACTAAACAGTTTGTGCTCTCCTTTCTTCGGTTATGCTTATCCTCTGGGTTCAATTAAAACATTTGAACTAATTGGAGCGCTGCTAAGCCCTCATCGACACCCTACATAAAAACGGCCCCTCCATCTCCCCAATTCCCGAGCTCCGCACACAAACGTCCTTCTCCTTGGATTCCGGATGGAACTCGAACTCGTTAAGTAACGTAGTAACGGTCTTGGTGATATTAGTCATTGCCAGATTGCGTCCAATACACATCCGATGACCGATACTGAAGGGGATGAGATATCTTGATATACCTTCCTTCCCTCCCAGCCAGCGGTTCGGGTTGAAGGTATCGTGATCAGTTCCCCAGATATCGGGGTTATGGTGGAGCACATAGTTGGATATCGCAACGTTGGTCTGAGGTAAGGGTGAGTATAGATGTTTGTTTGAGAGAAATACATAGAACTCACCCCATGTGGAACATGGATATTAGCAATGTCGGTTCCGTCGGGAGAATGGACTTGGCGCCATAGTGGCATTGTAAACACGGGATTGATGCGGAAGTTCTCTCGAATACATGCCATCGTAAATGGCAGTGAAGCCTCGAGTCCGCGTATGGGATAGGCAATCTGATTTTGTTGCAGTGGTTCGAGTACGGATGAGAGCTCTTGCTGCACTTGATCAAGAACATCGGAATTGTGGACCAAGTGCCAGAAAACCAAAGTCAGGGTGCCGGCTGTAGAATGCGATCCGGCCACACTGCAGATAATATTTGTTAGCTGTCATTGAACTTATTATGAAATAAGAAAGAAAAAAAGCAAGAGTAAGGTAACTCACAGCATCGCAAATGCCTCCGAGTTGATCTCCTCTTCGGTCAGTCTGGCTCCTGTTGCTGGGTCTTTTGCGTGCACCAGACTCTGGAGCAAATCGGCACGCGCATGCGATTGCGATATTTTCTCTCCAACACACTCGGCACAGGTGAGCTTCAATGCATTACGACTTTTCACCAACCTTCGCATCCAAGGGATTGGGGAGTATTGCGCGAGGAGTTTGTTCAGCCACTGGAACGGAAGCTCCCCAATGACACCGGACAGAAGCAAATGATCCTCAATGGCTGGAATATGGGGAGAGCCACATCGGGTTTGGGCGTCAAATGGATGACCGAATGCGACCTCTCCTAATATGTCCAACACGTAGTAGGATATTATGTTCTTGAGATCGAACATCTCGCCAGTCTCTGCCAATTCGCTAAGTTTATCCTTTAGAACGCTCATCTGGCCATCGATGAGATGCTCGAAATTCTGGATTGAGGTTTGCGAAAATCCGTGGGATAACTGTCTTCGACGGAGGGAATGGATCTATCCGGGTTTAGCTCTGGGACAAGACAAGGTGGGGTAGTTTCTATACATACATCCTCGTCTCTACCCCCGAAGAGATTCGGTTTAAACGCTGTAAAGGCATCATAGAACTCCGTTTTGCCCATCTTTCTTCCCCCTTTGTAGATGGGGGCGATCGCCTCTCCATCCCAGAAATGAAGGTGGTTGGGGCCAACACGCACCACCGAGCCGTATTGCTCGTGCAGCTCAACCAGTCGCTCGTGGAGCGTCAGCTTATAGACGTAGTATGCCTTCCAAGCACTGGTCAAAGATGGGAGGAGGGGGCCGGGGAAACTGGATAGAGGATGCATAAAGCGCATATAGAAAATGTAGGTAATCAGTAAACATGGATATAGTGTGCTCGCCAATGCTAACATGGACGGAACAGTCAAAATTCGCAAATAATCCATGATAAAGTAACATAATATCTCAGCCAAGTCGTTAGTGATTTGATAATGTATTGGCATGTCCAGCTGAGAAAACATAGCCCTGCTTAATAGCCCGTACTGATTTACCGTTTCAGTGTGCCGGTTCAACCCTGCAGCTGCTCGTTTCTCGCCCTAGCGGATTTCACCCACATCAAAATACAGGCAATAAGGTTCACAGTTGTAATGGAATCTACCACATCGGCTTTGAAGGTATAAGATTAATGATCGTTTGGATTCCTCGGTTGTGCGGGATTCGCCCACCAGACGGCGGTCCTTCTCCACAGCGACTTTGTCCTGATGAAATCTTTTGCAACTGCACATCCTTGATCCAAGTGACATTTGCTTTTTTTAACCTTTACATAGAACAGGTGCAATGGTTGTAGAGACCCCAATGTATACCTAAACATGGCTGCCGGTTGTCTCTGGCCATCGACATCTCCGTTCCGCCAGGTTTTGACAAAGGGAAGTGTGCTCATTGACTACCATGGAGGGTTTTTGGTACTCAATCCAATACTCATCCTGTCTCCAACTGTAATTTTAATCAACATATAATAATAGGTTATTAGTGAAAAAACGACGTTCCCGCCACACTTGATCAATACCTGCCATTGCCGAGGCTGGGCCTATGCCACACCTTCGTACCGACTACTCCCAGAAACAGAGGGAAGTCAAGTTCTCAGGGATGCTATAGATGTCTTCCAATAGGGTCAGAGGATATCTCCAAGCAGATAATATTGGCGGGGTCAAATGGCGGTGGTTATTTAGCATTGGCAGCAGCAGCTCATTCACAAATCCCCCGCCCCTTGGCCGTGCTTTCGATAATGGAATGCTCCAACTGCCAGTGATTGATATACCCATCCAGGTCGAGGTCTCCGAGAACGTGTGGTGAATTGTCTGGGGTGCTGGCAACGGTCAGCGACTCTATAAGGTGTGGGAAATTATCGATGGTTATGCCTTTCCAGAGAGGCCGATGGCAGATAGGCGGTTCAGGTGGATCAGTGCAATGTATCAAGCATTATGGGTCCCCAATGACTTCGCCTGAGTTTTAGGATTAGCATACCTCATTAGAGAACAGGAAATTGAATCCATCCTCCAAGAGCACCGACAATTCTTTCCAGCAACTTGGGGGCTGTCGTCGTCTAGCTTACCATCAACAGCTATTCTTCATGGCAACAGAGATGTCTTAGTGGATTCTGAAATAAAGTGCTGGAGTAGCAGATGTTTTGAAATCCTTAGGAGTCGATGTGATCCTTGAACGTTTCGAGGGATAGGGTCACGGATTTGAGGCTAAAGAGTTTATCGATTTGAACTCCGAGACAAATGAGGGGAGGCCTTTTAACCTGAATCTTAGAAGAATCATTGCTTTCCTAGAAAGCTATGTCTCCCTATAACAGAGCGGTATGACATTGCATGAATGTACGTAGTCCATACCGTTAGAACTCAATGCAAACTCAGACTTTCAACCGCCTGGATGAGATCTGAAACTGTTTTCATGGTCGTCTGATCGAAAGTAGCCATGCTGCCATCACTCGAGCCCATTGAGTCTTGGGTAAACGATGTGATTGGGTCATTCTGTTGCAAATGGACCCGAGCGAGAGCAGCAAACTCTCCCGCATGTTGCATAAAGCCATCTTCTTTCCAGGCCTCATTTACAACCACAGATGACGGTAAAGTCGCTATAACCTTTTCCCAGGCCTGTCCCCAGCGTTCTAGCGCGGTTCCAATGGGACCCGTGGATGAAGAAACCTGGGTAAAAGACATTTTCTCGTGAAATATCAGGCCATGAATTGCTGAAATGCATAAGTACTTTTTTCTCTCTTGGGGCGTGATGCCTTACCAGAAGCAATGGTAAACAGATTCAGCTTGCTGGCGCCCCAGAGCAGATTGCATTCCTCTGGCTGGGAGTGATTGGTGAATAGATCACGCACCACCTCCGTAAGCAATGGGGTCCGGCCCTTTCTCCACCTGTTGGACTGGACAGCAGCAAGGAATTCTGACGGTGAAGAGGCTTGAAACCAATCTTCCGGGCAAGTAAGATCGATATTCATCTCTGCCAGGACCATTCGGGGTACTGAATTATGGAAAATGACAAACGCGCAATCCAGGAGGAACACGTAGTTAAAGGTTCAGCTAGGTGTCAGTGTTTTGAATATGAGTTATCCCACTTCATTCACGTTCATACCTGATCAGCTCCTCATTCTCAATGTATTTATGCCATTGATCAGTCCCAAAGTCGGAAGTGATGGAGAAATTCCCATGCGTGGCTCTTGCGAGGCCCATTGCTCTTGTCGCCTATAAGTTTATTCGTCAACAACAGGGAGGAACCACAATTTGACTCTTAAAGACTTACTGCGACAAAGATCGTGAAACGATTTCGCTGGATGCGCAATTTGGCTGCATCATTTCCATCCCATTTCTGCATGATACACATGAAATAGGTTGCTTGTAGCGCGCTGATCTTCTGGCTATCTGATTGTTTGTCGATACTCAAGCCGGTGGTCTGTCCCGAAAATATGGGATTAGAAAAGACGATTTCTTCCATCATGTCCAGGAGATCCTTTGCCTCGCTACGATAGGATGAACTCGGTGAGGTACATGCACCAATCAGCACCATGGTAGACAAGAGAAGGGCGGGACAACGGCTGATCTCAAATGTCGGCCGATGAATTATTGGGCAATGTGGATACCAACGGTCCCAGAAGAGGTCGAGGGAGCTGACCAGGTGTTCTGGAGAGAAGAACTCAACGATGTCAGTTATCAACACAGCAGGTGTAGGATTCCTTTCGATAAAGGGGTGAAAAGTATCCCAAATCTCCCTGGCCTTGAGATGAACGGGATCTTCCGCAAAGAGACCGTCGGGGAAAGCCAGATCAGTATCCAGCTGATCATCGACCAATACTGCCTCGATGTCGTCGAAGAAAAACTCCCATGGATTGGAAGCACATGTTCGTTCTAGGGGGAGCTCTGGTTCGCTCAGCAAGTATCGTTTATAATTATATGCCTGGTCGATTCCACTCGCATGCGTGAAGTTCCGGAGGAAATCAAACCGATGAACGGCCTCGGACGTTTCTTTGCTGGCATCGAATCTGTCCTGTTTGATAGGCCCAGTGCCGCTATTAGAGTCTCGTGTTATCCTTGGTTCTTTCACCCGTTGATATGTACACTGGGTCTCGTATTGAAGGCATCCTGTACAGGGCTGACCTTGGCTACAGGCACGTTTCCGATCTGCACATCGATCGCACGCTTGCTTGCGTTTGCCTGACAGGGTCCGCTCTGGGATTTGCGAGCCCAATGCTAAGCGAGCATTACATGTCTTCCAATGGCGACGTAAGGCATCACTAAGACAATCAGCAAGTGTTTCCAGCTACGGAAATCACACTCACCTGCGTTTGTACTTGGAGTCGCAAAAGGAACATGAAAAAGGATAATCGGTACTATCTGCAATTAAGCCCTCAGTATATTGTCTCCTAGTGCTTTTAATTGGTCCCACCTACGAGTCAACGCATGCCTCTCCAAGTGCGCTTGCCTACCGAACGCTCGAGAGCAGACCGGGCACCGGAGTGACAATGTTGTGTCAGTGCTCATGATCGAGGATTTATAAAGTCCTATGTTCTCTCCATGAAAAATTGGATGGTAACTTCTTGGTTAATTGGTTTGGGGATGGCCGAGGATCATAGTAGTGGCTCGAGGCGGTTGTACGGCGGACTGTATCGACATAATGGACAAAGTTGTAGTATGCTTGTCGATGATGCCAACGTTGTTTGAGTCTCCCAATTACAAAAAGTCTAATAGATATATATTTTCAGGTCAATTCATTTTTTTTTTTTTTTTTTTTTCTCATTTCTCATTTCTTTCTCTTTTTGTTTCGCTTTTTCAAATGGTAAATGCACAAAATATTTAACAGATAACTCGTCATAAGAAAATAGAACGAAGAAAACAGACCGTACTCATACACAAAAACCGCAAAACGCAAACAATGCAAAGAAAAGCAACGAAAAGAGATGAAGCCGAGAAAAAAAAAAAAAAAAGACCGAGAATCGAGTCGAATTGGTGTCGAGGACGGTCGAGAACGAAAATGGACATAAGAAACGCGAATCACTGGTAAATAGCAAGAGCAGAGAAAAAAAAAGACAATATTGTAACGAACTCCGATAGCGAGAGATTACTGGTAAATGTTAACAAAAGTCCGCGAAGGCTGGAACTGGCGGAAAGATCATGAGCAAAACAAGATAGCGGCGACAATGTCGAGGAAACGGCACCGGTTGGTCGTCGGGGGTAAGACGCGATGCGTTACGAATCGATCTCCATCCCCATTCCCACACCAGCGTTCAATCCTCCAAACCCAGAATTACCGACTGGCTCTGGCTGAGCAGAAAGGGACTGAAGGAGAGGCACTCCAGCTTCCATTGTGTTTGTTCCGAGAGGTGCTTGAATGGACCCGTTGCCCGAGCGCTTGTCTGCTGCCTGGAGCGTCTCAGCTCCTTCGAAGAGGATTGGCGATGATTGAAGGTTTTGTACACAGGTTTCCCAGGTAGAGCCGACGAGACGGGCTTGGTCAAGGTCGTCGCTGAAGAGGTAGTAAGCAGGGCAATTGGCGACGGTGCCGAAAGCAGGGGCCACCGGCTGCGCCGCGACGAGGAACGCGTTCAGAGCGCGACTCTTCATCAAGATCTGGCAGTGTTGCAGGTAGTTCGAGTATTGGTTATCGATGTACTTCATCCAACCGCGCACGGCAGGGGCCATGTCGTCGTCGTCGCTAACGTTAATCCGTTGCCAGCTGATACCGAGAAGACGAGTCGCGTCATCGACCAGGGGTTCTTGGTGCGAAGGGCTCGAGCGGTTGTCGTCAGTCGTATTCTGCAGGCGATGTTGCATTGAAGAAAGCGCAATATCGTCTAATCCGGGCGCGCTAGGATCCAGGCGCTGAGACTTGCGACCCTGGACATCAGAAGACATGCCAGTCTGGGATCTCGAGGAAACCGGCGGTGCAGCGGCGGCTAATTGCTCAGATTTCTCTTCATACCAAGTACCCGTCTGGCTCTCCGCAGACACAGCTAGTCCAGTACGAGGGTTCAGCAGCACCATACCCTCGCCATAAATGGGCTCTTCCACGGGTTTTGGTGCGGGAGCAGGTGCAGGAGCAACGGGAGTAGCATTCATGGCCTCTTCAAAGCCGGCATCGTCACGCGACCTCTTGCGCGAGGGCTTCGAGGGAGATGGATTGGGGAGGCCAGTGGTCGTGGCATAAGACAGGGCTGAAGGGAATTGACCGAAGGCGTGGTCCTGGGGAGGAGAGAGGACCATTGCGGGTCCGTCGGACATCATAGAAGACATTGCGTGTGCGAGTATATCGTGAGTGGTTACGAAAGGGTTCGATCTGTCCTGTCTGTCCTGTGAGGTAAGCTCTAAAACAGCAAGGTGTGGCAACCTGTAAGACACGAGATTTATGAAAGTAAAAATGGGTATATATTGAGTCGCGACGAATTAGCTCGTGAGGATAACAGAGGTGGTCAAGGAGGTAGAGTAAAGGAGATGACGGTATATAGGAAGGTCACGCGAGAGGAATTGAGAGGATGATGTACTTGTAGTAGTATAGAAAGAGAAGTATAGTAGGGCAAAAGTGAAGAAGGATTCAATGGGACGAAAGAGGAAAGAAAGAGTAAATAAGAGGAAGGAAGAAGAGGAGAAGCGAGAAGATCAGACTAGGGCACAAAGCAACGGGAGTCACGGGAGAAACGCGTGATGCGAAAAGTAAGAAAGAAAGAGAGAGAGAAGCGAAATGACGGCTTTGCGATGCGCTGCGATGCGGAGAGAAAAGAAGCATTACCTCCGTTACGTTATGTTACGGTGCCAAGACAGCCCGGAGCCCAATTCCGGTGCCAGTTGCGCTGCCGGGCGGTATTGTATTACAATACCATACCTCCTGCTGAATCGGGATCCACACGATCCGAGGTGCGCTGCAAGGAATCTCACTTGATTGGTTCTTATGCATTAAATTGCGTATTTTGATTGGCCTTGACTCAGGGCCCAGTCCGCGCGTCGGCCCTCCCAGGCTTCCCTGCCAACGCCACTATGCTGTCTGATTGGTTGAAAGAGACAAAGCTCCTATTGGCCAATTACGAGCAGCCTCGGGTTGCTGCGGCCGACAGTCCGATGTGCGGGAGAGACCAGGTGCGCATATTTACATGCCTCAGGCATATATAGTAGCGGGTGGCAACATGGTGGACTTAAGCATGAAAAACATATCACTAAAAACCAAGTCTATTTTTTGAAGAATCCCTATAGAACAGAGAAAGAAAAGCAAAAAGGACATGGTCCAGAAATTAAAAAAAAAAAAAAAAAAAAAAAAAAAAAAAAAAAAAAAAAAAAAAAAAAAGGGGGAGAAGACTTGAAGGGGAAGCAAACCATATCCGACACCAGAGCTCGTGCTAGTCTTAACATGCCACAAAAAAGGACTTTGTAGGGTAATAAAATCAGTCCACCATGTCCCCAGAAAAGCATTTTGAGAACCGTTCAAAAGCGAAAAGTGAAAGCAAAAGAAAAGTAAATGAGTTGTAAGACCCCGGCTGCATTCCCTGCATGTCGCCGGTCCAGTTGAAAAAAAGCTAAATAAAAAAAAGAAAAAAAGCAACTACCTTTCCAGCTCTTCCCTGTATATCCTTCTTTGTAACAGGGGTCGTTATCGCGGCGTAATAGTTTCGAAAATCAGGGCATTAAGTATGAATTCGGATATACTCGGTCTGTGCCTTGTGTAAGGTACGCCTGTCCGCTTTCTTGGGTTTATAAAGTGCCATCCAAAAAAAAAGGAAAAGTAAGGCGCCTCTGGACCATCTCAATCTTGTCCAGGACAGACGGGAGCAACCCGATGGCATTTCACGGAAATTCGCTGTTTATGCGTTGCCGGTGCTGGCACCACCCAGCATACCCTTAACCCGGCCAACCGACTCGGGGGCGTAGCTTGGGCCCATGGTGCCCATGAACAGGAAGAATATGAGAGCGCCAGCACCGATGATGACGAACTTGCGCTGAGCGGGGTAGTTCGCTCCGTACTCAGCCCAGGCGCGACCAGCCTGGCCAGTGTATTCGCGGATCTTGTCGGCACCGAGCTTGTAGTAGACGAGACCAATCAAAGAAATTGAGTAACCGAAGAATTGGGTGCCAGTGACAGGGGTCTGCCAAATCATCATCGAAGCAGCGACCAGGAGGATATCCTTGAGGACACCGCAGAGAGTCATGACCAGCGAAGAAGTCTTTCCAATCAAGAAGACGACGGAAACGTTGAGCATGAAAGCAACAACGGCGTTGGCCAAGAGAGTCCAGATACCAACGTTGTAGATGTGACCCATGGTGAGGTTGGGAACCTCAAGGAAGAGAGCGGTGATACCGTTCATGACAGCGCAAACGGGGGCGAAGTAGTAGAGAGAGACCAGAGGGTCCATCTTGTACTCGGCGGAGCTGAGCAGGCGCTGGACCATGACAAGACGGGTGGCCTCGAACATGATACCACCAATCTGGAACAGGAAACCAATCAAGACGAACTTGATCTCGCCGAACGAGGCGATGACGACACCGAGGACGATGATGCCAACATTCATCAGGACCTTCAGGTTGACCGGAGCCATACCCATACCCCAGGTAGCGAACAAGACAGCGACAGGAGTGGTGGCCTATTTCTATTAGGTTCGCGACTCTTTCAACAATGGTACGGATGAATAAACGCACCTTGAGCATCTGAATGAAAGCGACACTCAGGTAGAGATAAGTGACATTACCGCAAATCAAACTCAAACTGAAGAAGAGACCGATGGGGACAATAGCGCGCAGGTAGACACGACCAGTCATCTTGACCGTCTTGCGACCATCGAGCAGAGTAGTGGTACGAGCCAGAACCTGGGTCATGAAAGTCGCGAACGACAAGTGCCATGTTGTGAGGATAATCGGGAAACCTAGAAACAATCAATGTTAGGATGCTGTTGAAATCTTCCACCTGGCCAGATGCGGAGAACTTACGAAATTGAGCATAGTCGAGGATGTGCTTGTTGAACAGGATAACACTGGAACTCAGAGCAATCCAGGCGCTGATTCTCCGTCAGTATATCATTGATCCAACTGATATTCGTATGGGTTTTTTTCTCACGTAACATAGATGGCCGGGTGGAAAGACGGCTTGGGAGGCTCCGGCTTGTCAACGGCGGGGTTGACGGTAGGCAAAGTGGGCTCAGGGCGGGAGACTTCGCCAGATTGTCTGGCCTTTTCACCTTCGGCGCTCATTGCGGATGTAAAGGAGGTGCGAATTTGCTTCTGTTGGTGGTTGAGGAACTGCTGGAAATCGAAAGGACGCGGCCGTAGAAGGCTGCTTTGACTGAACTTTGCGGAGGCCACGAGCGACGATTAGAAAAGGAGAATAATTAAAAGAGAGTGAACGAGTGAGTCAAGAGCTGGCAGGATTAGAAAATAATAAAGTGATAAGAAAAGCTGATCTAAAGCAGACGAAGAAGAATTATGAACATGGAAGAAGAGAAGAAAAAGAAGGGATGGCTGGAATGGAAGGATGGTTGTAGTAGAAGAGGTGGTAGCGCGGTGGTGGTTAGAGGGGAAAGACACCAAATTCTGTTCAGTAAGAGGCCAGACTGAATGCGGCACGGGTTTTTACAGACACAGGTAAAAAAAAAAAAAAAAAAAAAAAAGTAAAAAATAGAACTCCGTAGCAATGACAAGCAACAAAAGTCAAATGTTTACATACGTATCCGTACCTGTTTTTATTTTATTATTATAATTATTTTATCGCAGGGATTGGACCCCGAGTTTGGCTTCAGATCCGTCGATGGAGATGCGAAAAGGTGTACGTAGTCCTGGTATGGTTACCGTATGTTACCACGGTCCGACCTTTGGCGCGACTACTGTTTATGGCTTAGTGTATCCGCACACAGCAGACTCGATACTGAAAACTACGCTAGAGTTACTGTTTCATCTGATGTCCTTACCACGATATACATACGTTTTCAACTATGTAACAGTGCTCTAACACTACGGGGCACTGTGGCTATTCAGGGTGCACAAGTACAGCACTGTATATACTCTGTACAAATTACAGTATTTGCCTGGCAGTCTTATCAGCTGGGCGATACGCAGCTCGTGGCAAACGAATTAAAAAGAATAAAAAATAAAATAAAAAGTCCTTCTGTCAATCTTAAGGGGGCTCCACCCATCCGATGGACACTTCTTCGACCCCTTTTCGGCGGACAGTTCTTTATCCCAATGCGGTTTATGTCAGGTGATCATACGCTGTACGGAGTACTCTATTCTCTGCGGTACTCCATCTCGTTTTTGTATTCTATCATTAGTTCTTTACGGTTCACAGCGTACAGCGCACACAGGGTACAGAATCTGTCCTCCGGTCTGTAACTGTTCCACCCAAACGTCTCAATTCTGTAACATGAGGGCTCATATTCTCCGTGCAAGAGTACATGCAGTGTGTTCTCATGGTCAAGGGACTCTGTTGATCCAAATTAACACCGACCACCTGCATTACGCAAGCAGCGGCGCCTCCCCCAGCCCCAGTATGCCCCATGGGCTCCATGGACTCAATCCCGGCCACTTGTCCAGAGCGTCTTTTCCCGCTGACTGGTCCCTTGTCGAGTGGAGAATGCCCGGCGATCGAATTTTGCCTTGCCTTGACGCCATCTGTCCGGTTCACTACCTCTAACTGGTTGCTTTGGAACTGTGAATTCAGGGACTGATACTCCATGATACTCCACTCCATTACTACGAGAAGTACAGTAATATGTTTTATCTTTTGGTACTGGTTAGATGTGTTCAGCCAGTCCTGCATGTGGCAGGACAAACAGTCCACGTATGTACCCCAATACTAACAACCGGAGAATTAAAAAAAAAAAAAAAAAAAAAAAAAAGTCGCCTCTTCCCACATGTGCACTCCCATTGGCGAGGGTCAAAGCTCGTTATCATCCCAAAATTGGTCAAGCGCCAACAACGTCTTTCGGTTTCTGGAAAAAGATCTGCCCCTGCTTGCCGTTGTGGGCAAACGATAATCCTTTGGTGGAACTACTGAGAATACAGCCTCGGAGTCCCGGCAGGTTTCTATCACACTGAGTAGGAGTACAGAGCACTCCGTATGCCGTATGTCTGTTGGACTCGCTACGAAGCACTAAGTGCTATCGTCTGATACTAATATGTACCCTGAACTTCGTAATCAAACAAAGCCCGCTTCATACGAAGCCCTCTGGATCATTTCTCGGAAAAGGTGATCATTCGCAGGTGTCATCTCAACCACAGTTTGATCCCAAAAGCAGTAAGGTCAGGGTCCAGACAACATCGATCAATCCAAAGGCAACGCGTGCGATTGGAATTGGCTTGGTTGGTACGGAGTAGCACACTACGGACAACCTGGAACGGCGTGGACAATGCTGAACTTGCGTACTACCACTCGTGCACCCGAACCTGAACCGGTTCGGCTTGGACCCTGCTATGTTCTATACAGGGTGCTACTTTCTGTAGTACTTTCATCGTCGGGTACGGGACGTTTATCAGACTTAGATAGCTTAATCGGAGGGTACGCATTCCCCTGGTACCTGCCAAGAGTTCCTGAACGGGATAGTATGGCTGTTTGCAGAATCAAAGAGTACAGGGTAGAGTTCCGAAAATGCTACTTAATGATAAGAAATATAGCAATTGTGTCAATGGCTCAATTGTGAGGTTACTTCTATTATTGTATTCTGGACGCATTCTATCTTGATAAAAGCAACCACCGGAAGCGGTGTTATCTATACCTGAATAACTACTGTTGATGGACGTATATGTTCCCATCCCCGACCAACGATTTGCTGAAAATCTGCTGTTTTTCTTTTTCGCACATTCGTCATCCTCTGAATATTTTCCATATTGCCATCCCCTTTCCCAGGGCTCGATCCTCTTTTACACAATTCTAATCAAATAGGAGGTCCGCCCTAAACCTGAAACAGACATCCTTCTCCACAATTGTATGTGGCTGTCTGTCCGCTCTCTCTATCACGTTTCGTGTTTCCCGACCGCCCGGCCAAACCCAATCTGTCCACCTCACCGTCTTCTCTCGTCCTTTTCTCCTCCCTCTTCCTTCTTCTATCGGTCAACTTCACCTCATTTCTTAAATTCTCTGCAGTTTCTTCCTGCAGTTTTCTCTGTTATCGTTCATGCTGAGCCTCGCTCGCAAGACTTTGAATCGCGTCCCCAGCTTTCAGGATATTCTACAAGGCAGGATGACCCACCCCGACGTGTATGTGAGACCCCTCCTAGGCACCAAACGCCTACTCTCCTACGGCTCTCGGGCAATTGCTCCGTGGGGTTCTGATGAATGGCATTGATCAAATATGTGAGCAAAATGACTGACAATTGTCTCTGTCTACAGTTCTGTTGATGTTCTCGTCATTGGTGCAGGCCCAACTGGCTTGGGTGCTGCTAAGCGGTTGAACCAGATCGTACGAACCCAATCAGTCAAACAGAGGAAATATTGAGGAAATACTGACAATTGACTTAGAACAACCCCTCGTGGCTGATCGTTGACTCCAACGAGACCCCTGGTGGTCTTGCTTCTACCGATGTGACCCCCGAAGGCTTCGTACGTTCGCTCCTGATGAGATGAAATGGAAAAGAAAGAAAAACTGACTGGATAAAAGCTTTACGATGTCGGTGGTCACGTCATCTTCTCTCACTACAAATACTTTGATGACTGTATCAACGAGGCTCTTCCCAACGACGATGACTGGTACAGCCACCAGCGTATCTCCTACGTCCGCTGCGAGGGCCAATGGGTTCCCTACCCCTTCCAGAACAACATCTCCATGCTTTCCAAGGAGCAGCAGGTCAAGTGCATTGATGGCATGATTGACGCTGCCTTAGAGCACCGTGTCTCCAACACCAAGCCCCAGAACTTTGATGAGTGGATTCTTCGCATGATGGGTACTGGTGTTGCTGACGTCTTCATGCGTCCTTACAACTACAAGGTTTGGGCTGTGCCCACTACTAAGGTATGCCAACCTCAATGTCTCAGAGGAATTGCCAGAGGCTAACCAAAATAGATGCAATGCGCTTGGCTCGGTGAGCGTGTCGCTGCCCCCAACGTCAAGGCCGTCACCACCAACGTTATCCTGAACAAGACCGCCGGTAACTGGGGTCCCAACGCTACTTTCCGTTTCCCCGCTCGTGGCGGTACTGGTGGCATCTGGATTGCTGTCGCCAACACCATCCCCAAGGAGAACACTCGCTTCGGTGAGAAGGGCCGTGTTGTCAAGGTCAACGCCAACAACAAAACTGTCGAGATGGCCGATGGCACCACCATTGGTTACCAAAGACTCGTCTCCACCATGTCCGTCGACTTCCTTGCCGGCGCCATGGCTGACCAGGAATTGATCAGCCACACCAAGGAGCTCTTCTACTCTACCACCCACGTCGTTGGTGTTGGTATCCGTGGCTCTCGCCCCGAGCGCATTGGTGACAAGTGCTGGCTCTACTTCCCCGAGGACAACTGCCCCTTCTACCGTGCCACAATCTTCTCCAACTACTCTCCTCACAACCAGCCTGAATCTTCCAAGAAGCTCCCCACCATCCAGCTGGCCGATGGCTCCAAGACTGAGGACACCGAGGCCAAGGAGGGTCCTTACTGGTCGATCATGTTGGAAGTTTCCGAGTCTTCCATGAAGCCCGTCAACAACGACACTCTCCTGGCTGAGTCGATCCAAGGTCTCGTCAACACCGAGATGCTCCGTCCCAACGACGAGATCGTCTCCACTTACCACCGTCGCTTCGACCACGGTTACCCCACTCCCTCGTTGGAGCGTGAGGGTGCTCTGACCAAGATCCTGCCCAAGCTCCAGGAGAAGGGCATCTGGTCGCGTGGCCGTTTCGGTAGCTGGCGCTACGAGGTCGGTAACCAGGACCACTCGTTCATGCTGGGTGTGGAAGCCGTCGACAACATTGTCAACGGTGCCGTCGAGTTGACTCTGAACTACCCCGACTTTGTCAACGGCCGCCAGAACACTGAGCGTCGCCTGGTGGATGGTGCTCAGATTTTCGCCAAGAACAAGCAGTAATTTTATTATAAACCTATTATATGACATGTCTTTAATAATTAAATGAGGATGGAATAAAATATTTAACATGAATAAAGAGTATGTTTCAACGATAGATCTATGTAACGCCGTAACAAAAGCAATACTACTATCAATCCATCCCGCCGTCCATTTTCCCAATCCAGTATGCAGGAAGTTCGCCCTGCCCATCCCTATCTCCAATAAATTCCATTCTCGAAATAAATCCATCACACGATTGGCGCTGGAAAAGCACTGGAAGGATATCCACAGATCCATCGCGATCAGAGTCTTGTGGCGGGTGTCTCCGCTGGACGCGTCATGTCATTTTACTGAAATGAAGAGCCAAACTATGAGATTTGGCTTCGTTTGTTGTTTCGGGTTGATATATTTAGATCTATGATATAGTTTGGATACATGGATTTGGATATGTATATAGGTGGATTGTATCTGTTTGCGTATGTGCTGTAGTAGCTACCAATGGACATGGAACTAATATGTATCAACAAAGTACGGAGTACAGTGGCAACACCAAGCCACAAAACAATTCCTCCACACTTCGTACAGTAGTAAAATTTCGATAATAAATCCAACACGCCCAGCTGATTGATGTGCTTACGCTGAAATATACGTCATTGATCAAATGATATTAGTGATGGCAATATAGCCTAGAATATGGAGTATAGAATACGGAGTATAGGACTTGAAACACTCTGCCTGGTAAGCTATTCTTGGAATGAATGAAGATGGAGTATGTACTTGTATCTAGGTTTCATATGTAGGAGTAGAATATATGAAACGTGACATCGAACGATTGCGATGGATTAGTTGTGGTGGAGTGAAATATAGATACATTGTTGCGATTGTATATGTATGATGATTGCAATGATAATTACTTGCGGGAGTGATTTATATAACCCGACAAGGCTATGACTGTTATACAAGTAAATGTTAGGAACTAGCGTAGACCAATACTACTGTATTACTGCTATATATAGGATGGAGTCACTATATTACATCCAACCAAGCATCAACTTCCCTCAGTCACCAGTCATCAGTCACCAGTCACCAGTGTTCTAGCTCCCCTCCAATACCTCCACAAGTTTCACAATCCCAAGTAGATTCTAGATCATAGACATCAAGAACTACATATTACATATGACAATGTAACTCTCAGAAGAGGCAGGTCCCCCGCATCCGGGGCCGTAATAAAGATACGATGGTCACATCTCAACTGCGCGGGAACTCCATATACGAGAGCGGCAATATTGCATTCGTTGGAGTCTGCTTGTAGATCCCATCAAGACAGATAGCGAAGGTTGCCTGATTGAGTCATATGGCATCCGAGGAGGATTGAGGCTCTTGTCTTTTTCTTTTCTTTTCTTTTTAGAAGTAAAAAGTAAATTACGTCATCCAAGATGGAACCATTATCAAGGTAGTACTATGCATGAACCTGCCAGTCTATTCTTAAGTACTGTATCCTTCGCATTGCCAGAGCACATGAGACATCAGACCAGATCAGACCAGACCAAACGACGGGCATGCATTGCTATTCCAAAGAAGCTTGCTCATTTCACTATCCCATAAAAATATCAGTAACACCGAAAGAAAAAACAAACGCAAAAAATCAATTAAATAGATCACCCAATGGCCTCCGACGCAACTCACCCAATCCAAATACATTCGCATTATCCTCGTCCTTCTCCATCTCCATTAGCATATGGCTGACATGTTCCCGGTACACCCGAGACACCTCCATCATATGCTCCCACTTTTCGGGGTTGAGGGCCGTTTGGGGCGGCATATTTATTCCTGCAGGCGCAGATGCGATTGTGGTGGGCTGTGCGGTAGAGGGCTGAGTAGATGGAGTAGTGTGGGTGCTCCTATCCGGACGTTGAACATTGTTCGAGGCTAATAGCGCTGAGCCTTGGATACTAGCAGGACGTGAGCTGGACGTGTGGGTTTGGGCGGTGTTTGTCGTGCGACTCATGCTTTGACCTATTGAGTTAACTTGGCCCCTGTTTGTGGGCTGTCGCCTTCCTTTCTGCTCCTAAGAATTGATGGATTAGCAGACGATCTGACAGCCCTGATAGTCGTAAATTGGACAAACCTGTGGCGCGCTGATGGGGTGCCAACTGGTACGTCTGGTAGCTGGTCGAGGTAGCTCTGTCCACTGAGACACTGTCCTTTCCGTTTGATTGCTGGCGGCTCCGGTGGCATGTGCGCCTCGCTTGTTGCTAGAGCTCGAAGTTTTGCCCTCAAATGGTAACTGGCTGGTGCGTTTCTTTGGCATCAATTAGCATCGATCTGCGTGTGTAGAATGCATGTAGGCCTAATTGCAGTGGTTTACTTTAAACTTGGTGTCGCTTGAAGCTGCAGATATGCGGGAGCCTGCAGATACGCGGGCTTTCTTGCCTCTGTTCTGAGAGACCATGCTTGAGACATGAGAGGTGTTGTTATTTTCGCTCTCAGTGGCATCAGGTTCGGGGGCATCCCTCATATGGGCGTCAGGCTGGGGTATATTTCGTTCATCCTGAATCGACCCAGGCATCTTGTTGTCTCGAGAATTGGGAGAAGTCTGATGGATTGGATGGGCGAATTGTACTGATCGATTCTTCTCTTTGTTAAAAGAGACGAGCATCGAGTCTAAACCACGATTGAGTTTCGAGGTCTTTTCTGTATCTGAAGGCTGAAGTGGTTGGTTCTCTATACAAAACGTTAGCGTTGTTGAATGACAACCGCTGATATACTAAACCTTTTCCCTTTGTTCCCAAGTGACAATAATCGTGTTCTGGCAAGGTATTCAAGGAAAGGTTTTCAAATAAAGTCCTCAGAGACAATGCGTCCTGCTGTTCTGAGTCAGTGGGAGAAACGATATATGAAAGAGTGAAGAAAGAAAAAAACAACCTGTATTTCAGGGAACTGGGTTGAGTATTGGGGAAAGGCAAACAAAAGCCTAGGATTGATTTGGCGAGTCGGAAACAGTGAATGCATGCGTTCGTGATGCTGATAAGTTCCTGATGCCACACGTCTTCCAAGGGATCGACGATGACCCTCCAGTGAATAAGGAGCCCTGCTCGACTCTCCATAGTCCATGCGACTAGATGGCGAACCCGAGCCCAGACCATCCTCCTGCATACCAATGACCGGCTCCATCGCCGTTTCATACGAACCATATTCATACGAGCCCTCGTATGTCGTGTCAGAGATCTCGCGTTCAGGATACTGTTGAGGATGAGGATGCTCGATGACCCTAGAATCCGACAGAGAAAGCCCATCATTTATCCAATAGTCCTCGAGTTGTGAAGATGGATAACGCTTGTATTCATAGTCTGCATTGAATACAGAACTCGCTTCCGAGTCATAGTCCTCGTCAGCAGCTGAACTCGACCGGAACGACGAGGGGACATCTGCGTCGATAAGGGATGCTAGGTCGTCACCGAAATCATCGTCATAGAATTCTGGTTCGAGCGCGCGGAGCCGTTCGTACAGGCGATCGAAGATCTGCTCGATGTGATCATGGATATCGTCGCGGCTTGGGACGATTCGGGTTGGGGGGAGACGGATCATGGCCATTTTGTATACTTTGTCAAGGTTGGTTTGCTAAGAAAGAGGAGAATTGAAATGACCTTACTACTATTCATTTTCATTTTCACTCCGAATCTTAAAAGGCAGGTGCAGCGGGCAAGTGTGTATAGCATCGCCATTACTCAAAATGGAAAGTGTCTATTCATTGCTTGACAATGTCCGAGTAATTGTACAAATGTTGTCGAGTATATAGCTTCAAATGTTACATATTATGGCAGTTATATTTATAGATTGACTCGCCTCCATATAAATAGCTGCTTATGCAATGGAAATGCACAGTCAATGTGTTGGTGGTTTTGGCTGCAGAATGCAGATACTCACCACCAGTAGAAAACGACACTGATTTACTCAACCAAATCAGAATGGAATAAGGCCAGAGATCAGATATCAAATAGAACTCACTACTCCGTAGATGGTGGTGGATAGGCAACTCCCCCTATAAAAAAAACACTGCACTAAAATTATTATGTATTTGGCTTGAGCTCCCTCTCTGTACTATCCTCTTCTCTCCATCTCTCTCTCTCTCTCTCTTTTTTTTTTTTTTTAACTCTTCGTTCTCCTCTCCATTTTATCGTCCTGTTCTTTCTTTATCCTCGAATCACTCTCGCTTTTCATCCCCCAACCTGCCATATATTCCTCCCTCTCTCCGTCTGCCTTTCCCGCACTTCTCCTTTCCTCCCTCCTCTCTTCTCCCTCTTCCTTCCTCTGCCCGCTTATTGCTCTCATCTCATCTCTACGCCCTCCTCTCCCCCCTCTTTCTCTTACACGGATCTGGCCGTACCATGCCTCCGCTGTACTTACGACCGCCGCCATAATCCGTCGGCCACACCCCTCTCGACTTGCTCGCTCGCTTTTCTCACTCTCGATCGCTACTTTTGGTGGCTCTTTCTCCGTCCTGTCGTTCACAACCGTCGTTTTCTCGTCATCTTCCTTTTCGATCTCCTTTCTGACGCGTACTTTCTCTCTTCATCGCTCCGTCCACCTTCCGTCCATTTCTGTTCTAAGTGCCAGGGTGGTTGGGTGACTTCTCCCCTCACCGTCTCTCCGCCTTCGGTCCCGATCCGGTTTCCTTCGATAATTCCATTCTGCTAAGCTCTCCCTATCCCCCTCTATCCTCTGTAACATACCCGGTTACGGTGTTCTCCCGTTATGGATGGGGATCTCAGTCTCTCCCAATCCTTGGGGGGTCTCCGGATCGCGAATCCAGATGATTCTTCCCTGAATTCTTCCGAGGAACCAGTGGCTTCGGCCCCCGAGGCTGCTGCCTCAATAGCCCCCGATGAGAAAACGGGTGACCCCGAATCACCATCCAGCTCTGTACCGGAACCTCCTCCGTCCTCTCAATCCTCGATACCCCCTTTCATTACCGAAGAATCCTCGCGATATGCTCCGGATGCCGCTTCCCTCAGATCTTATTCCAGACGGACTGAAAATCGAACATCCATCTATTCCATCTCCGATCCGCAACCGCAACCGCAACCGCAACCACAACCACAACCACAACCACAACCACAACCAACACAACCACAATATACTCCTTACCTTCCTCAGCAGCATTCGCAATCCCCCACTTCCTCCCGTCCTCTCTCCGCTTTCTACTCCAACGGCTCCTCGCCCGCATTGGTGGCCCGCGAAGGCTCCTACCGTATCCGCACCGACTCCGCCGCATCATCCGCGTCGGAAAGTCAAGCGCGGGTTGACTCTCGTGGTGGCTCTTCTGCGCTCCATGCTGGCGTACCCGCCCGCGACAACACGCACAGTGATCGGTCTTACCGACCAGCTCCCCATAACGGACCGATGGTGATGCGTCAACCTTCGAGGGCCCATACTCGCCCTGCAGCCGCTGCTCCGCTTAGCGGAGCTCCATATGGAATGGAAAATGGCCCGAGTCCAAGCAGTGAAGAATGGCAGCATCGTGGTGCGGCAGTCGCAGTGCGACAGGAGATCGATCCAAATGGGAAGCCGGTCGCTCGTTACATCAAAAAGGGAGTCCGTGATTTTTCGTTTGGGCACACGCTCGGCGAGGGCTCTTACAGTACCGTTGTGCTGGCGACAGATCGCCAAACATTGAAAGAGTACGCCATCAAAATTTTGGACAAACGGCATATCATCAAGGAGAAGAAGGTCAAATACGTCAACATCGAGAAAGATACTCTCAATCGACTTACGGAACATCCTGGTATTGTCCGTCTCTATTATACGTTCCAAGACGAGCGATCGCTTTATTTCGTGCTCGACCTCTGCAAAGGTGGCGAACTGTTGGGAGTGCTTAAACGAATGACTTCGTTTGATGAGGAGTGCACACGGTTCTACGGTGGTCAGATCCTGGACACCATCGATTATATGCACAAGCGCGGCGTGATCCATCGTGACCTCAAGCCGGAAAATGTCCTCCTAGATAACCAAATGTACGTTAAGATCACCGATTTCGGGACAGCCAAGATTCTCAAGAGCCAAAGGCGCCCCGATCACAATCCGAGCGGGATGCCTCTGTTCGACTCGAACGAAATACCCGAGGAGGAACGGGCCAGCTCCTTTGTCGGAACCGCCGAGTACGTCAGTCCAGAGCTACTTACGGATAAGAACGCCTGCAAGGCAAGCGACCTGTGGGCCTTTGGCTGCATCATCTTTCAGCTCCTGGCCGGTCGGCCACCCTTCAAGGCCGGAAATGAATATCAAACATTCCAAAAGATCGTTGGGCTCGACTACGAGTTTCCCCCCGGATTCCCTGCGGTCGCTCGTGACCTCGTGGAACGCCTTCTCGTTCTAGACCCGGCCCGCCGTCTCCCGATTGAGCACGTCAAAAACCATCCCTTCTTTGAGGGTACAGTGTGGGGGCCCGAATTGTGGAAGCGCAAAGCCCCACGGCTCAAGGCGTACGTCCCGCCGCCGCGCGAGCCGATCAAGTTGAACGGGGGTGAAGGGGACAGTTTCCCTCCCAATGTCACGGCAGCACCCTCAACTACTACCAACACCAGTTCACGAGTGGTTCCCCGACTAGTCACTGAGCTCCCGCCCCCTAGCCAACTCGATGTTGAATGGTCACCAGTTCTGACCAAAACAAATGAGAGGATTCTCAAAATGGGAAATCAGGTGGTGTTGTCTTCGCCAGCCTCCCATAGCCCGGTTTCGAAGGGAGGTGAATCCGAAACGACAAAGAAATTCTCCCGATTTTTCGCAGGGAGTACAACCAAGAAGCGGCAACGGTTGGTCATGGTTACTTCATGTGCGCGTATAATCATGGCAGCATCTGGAGGGGATGAGAAGAAGGCAAAGATGGAGATTTCCCTTTTAGCAAATGGAACTCAATATCGGACCACAACGGACTCGAAGGGACTTTCGTCGTGGGTTGTGGACACGGTATGTTTAACTCCTCGGTTCCCTTATTACAGGCTAATCTGACTTTTTGTTGCTCCAGCGAGACAAACGTTTTTCTTTCGAAGACCCCAAACCGTCCTCTAGCAACCTCGGAGTCACAGCGCTATCCGCGCAGGAATGGCTAGACTCACTAGATCGTGCAAAGGAGATGGCTTTAACTCAACACAACAATGGTGCATATTCGGGCGATGAAACATTCCGTGATCTTTCTTCGGGCATGTCCAGCCATTCGAACACCCTTGACCGCAGTTCCGAAATCCACGCGGAAGCCGCACCACCGCCTGGACGAGCAACCCTAGTCAAGCACCAAGCCACAGATTCAGAATCAGTCAAGGGGAGAAAGAGATTTAGTCGGCGCCATTCCAAGAACGGTCTTGCGGCTGTCTTCTAGTTCAGCCGCCTTTTTCATTCCACCTACGTACCTAACTACCTTTGTGAAAAGGATTGCTTTTCCTTTCCTCTTGTTTGATCTCGTTTCTGAACCTTTCTCAAAGCTCGCCTTTGGATCAGACCAGCCGTTGTGCCGGAACACATATCCGATTCTATCTATGGACGTTTTGGCTATTCGTCTCTTTGCTCCTTGCTTTTACTCTCACCTCTATCGGCATTATCGATGGGTCTGCCCTGAAACGGCATCATCTCACATTTCCCACATTGGCAGATATCTTTTTGTCGGGTTATTGATATCCGTTGGAATTTGGTTGTGACCTTTAGCCGATTGTCATCCATTTGTTTCTTTGCATTTGTAAGAATTGTTTTCCTTATGGCATGTTTGGATTCTCGTCTTTGCTTCTTGCATTTTGCAATGATGAGCGTGTGTTTTTGCATTTAGATTGGTTGGAAGGAGCATGCATTGTCCTTCGTCATTTCTTATTTACACTTCTCTTTTATTCTCTTTTCCTTCTCCTTTGTCTTTTACCTTCCTTTACCTTTCCCTCCCCACTCTGGTGATATATATCTCTTGGTTGAAGTCGTGGCAAGAGCACAGCTTGACTATTTGGCATGCCTTGGTCAACCGTGTCTACATCAGTATCTTGAGCGGTTTTGAAAGTTGGTTTGATTCCCTTTTTTTTTTTTTTTTTCATTTTCTCTCCTCCTTCCTTTCTTTTGTCCTTTTCTTCTTTGCTCGGCTCTTGCTTGATACACAATTATGTTCTTGTCATATAGCTTTTCTTTTTCCTCAAATGCCACTCCATACAACCAAGTCATTTCCCAGAATGTATCATTTCCCTTGGACATCCTGGCTGGTTCGTTTGCTTATTTTTTTTATACTCTCTTTGCCCAGACACCTATATTGCCTCTCTTCTGTTATTTAACTTGTTAGGGTTTGAAAGTTGGATTAAGCGTTTGGTTTACACGTACAGAATTTAGTGGATAGATTCAGAATCAATCAGATTGGTACCGAGATCATTCGTTTTCTTGTTCCAGTCCCGTAGAATAATGTACGTACTCTGTACATACATCCATTAAGTGTGTATTAAACCCCTATCTATGATTATTCCTCAAGTATAAAAAGCAGAGGAGAGAGACACAGAGTAGAGTATAAGTAATGCCATCAAATAAACAACCAATCAATCCGTGACTCATCAAGTTCTTGAATCCAATCGAAATCATCATTATCATAATCATCGCCGTCATAAGGAGCGGCATAATCAGTATTCCCTTGCCTGTGTCTAAACCACTCCTCCCTCTTAAGATCCTGCTTCCGCCACATAAGACTCAACACCCACGCCGCATTCCGCACATTCACAGTGGCAATCGCATAATACAGCGCAGACAACCTATCCAATATAAACGGTCTATGGCTCGAATCCCGACACTCCGCGCCTGCGATGAAAGTGGGCCAGATAAGGCATTTGAAATGTGGATCTTGGGGAGGAATCATGGCAAGTTGGTCGATGAGGATGTGTGCGACGGCTGAATGGTCGTGCGGGAGGCCGAACCATTCGCTTGTGGATGGGAAGGAAGAGCCGGAACGCGGGCGGGAGAGGACACGGCTTGTGTAGAGGTAGACGGCTGCTTTGTAGGTCGTTGCGAGGGCGATGCGCGGTGCTAAGTCTGGAAGGTAGAGGTAGGATTGTAGGTCGATGGCCCAGGCGATGGGATCGAAGGCTTGGATGTGGTTTAGGAGGGCTTGGGGGGATTGTAGGGGTTTGGAGTTTGGGGGGAGGAGGGAGGAGGAGAAGAGCATTGGGGGTTGCTCTTGTTGGTCCTGTTTTTCGGTGGTGGTGGTGTCAGCGTGGCAGAAGCGGGCGTGGACGAAGAAGATGACTTCGAGGAGGTAGGCGGGACAGCCGACCCAGGAGGTCTTTTCGAGGCGGCGGAGCGCTGTTGGGCCCATGGAGGGGGAGTAGAAGGGTTTGGAGAGGACACCGGGTCGAGCGAGGGTTGAGCCCATGAGTTCGATGATGAGACACCCGTCGACGGTTAGTGTGTCCAGCCAGCCGAGGATCTCTTGGGAGCGACTGGCGTCGAACCCATGTTGGCGACTGTTTAGCAAGTTCTTTGCTCCTTCCAAGTGATATTTCCATGCTTCGTCGCCTGATTCAATGGCGTCCATCAGTGCGAGAACCATGATGGCTGCCGCTGTCTTGTCGTCGTTCCGTTTGACCGGATCACGGATGTCTTGGGATAACTGGCGAAGGGCCCGTTGCTTGAGCCCTAAGAAATGTTCGTATACTTTCGAGGACGGACGACGAGACATGGAACTCGTCACTTCTCTTTCCACTTCCTTGGGGGTTAAAAGTGTCCCGTTGGCTGTCGGTTCGCCCGTTGACCACGGCATTGGCGAGAAGTCACCATCTGCCAGAAGCGCATAGTGCAAGGCTCCCGTAGCGGATAGAGCATTGGCGAGAAGGGGAGACTCTCCAACTAGGGAGATGAGATCACGGTATGGATTCTGAGTGTTCGCATAGAGAACAAGATCGGCTGCTGTTTTTTCGTTGACTATGGAGCTACGTGTCAGCACGTCTCGAAAGCAGAATTGAATGGCGACATACAATGAAATATGTAAAATCTCGCCAATCCATTGATATCTTTTAAAATAGGATCAATCAAGCTTGACGGAATATGGGTATCATCCGTAGAGGTGTTCCGGGATGCAGAAACCTGACCATTATTCCTTCCCCGCTGCTGAGCAGCCCCAGAAGAGCCCGGTACGGACAGTTTATTTGAGCCGTTAGGAACAATGACTCGATTCGACGTATTTGGGACAGACTGTTTAAAGACTTGGATTGTAGACGGAGGATTCGTGTTCTCGATTGTTGCCGGTACTGACAATTCGTTCGGCTCCCCAGCGCGACGAGGATTCTTCTTCGTGATTTCTTCAAAACTGCGGCCCATCATCTTTCCACGACTAGCAACACCTCCCTTGACCCAAACGAGAGGTTTCTGATATCCCAAGCATTCCTTTCCGGCATCTCGACACTTTTGACAGGTGGGCTGGCCATTGTCGCAAATAATGCGCCGACGGCGACAGGTATAACAACCTTTAGCAACCATGACTTTGAAGGAGGTCTCTGCGGTCTGCTGGTGAGTCTTGTAAGTCCGAAAACCGGGTCAGCGGAGAATCGTGTATTTCAAGTTGACAGCCATACTCGACGACAGTCAAGCGTAATCGGGTGGCGGTATAGCCTGATAGCACTGCGACAACATCTCTGAGTTTAGTCAACGGTGACGGAATGGAAAATTATAATCTCCTTAACAAAGAAGAGAGCATTAGAGTCAAAAGACAGGATCGCAACAAAAAGAAGATGTGTCAAAGAAGTTGACTCGAAGATCTCGAAAAGAACAGCGGGACCACCCTGCTGAGTCATCTCTACTAAGGCTAACTAACTAACTAGACCCAGATTGGCTAATGATTCTCGACTGTATGGTTTGTAGCTTATTTTGACCAGCTCAATGTCGACTATCTCGGAGATTCTCGGTCGATCGGAGCAAGCAAGTGCGCACTACACTATCTCTGGATATTATACAGTACAAAATGACGTAGATGGGATGTACACAGCAGATTACACAGGCCGGGAGTCCTTTTGACAACCTAAGCTTCTAGAAGCCAAGACGGTGGACTCAGTCGGATCATTAATCCATACAATCGCCCTAGCAACTCTTAAGCCAAAGTACAAAGTACTACAGCAGCTGCAAGTCATGGCCAAGAGGATGACAAGATTGGGATGTTTGCGTCTTCCGTCTGCAGACATTCTGCCCCTTGCAGGCATAACTGCTTGTACTTGTAACTATATATGTACAAGACGCGCGGACGAAGATGTCATATGCGATTCTGCCAGTACGTAGGATAAGTATCCTTATGCTGTAAGAAATGGAGGGTTCAATAAGCTTGCTTCCGGCTGAGAAGACGTCTGTGTCTCTTATAGGACAGTCTGGAAGATATTCAATTGGACCTGGGGGCTCAATTGCCCGTCCTATGCATATAATAGCACGAGTTTAAAGTAAACTTGAAAGACCAGAGATCTATAATAGTTACCATCAGGTTGAGTGCCCTGTGTCGAATTGTTTGTCCCTGTACCGAAGCGAGGCGGTCACCACCAGCAATTCCGGATTGGTCGGTCGCGTTAACCTTGTCAGACACCAGTCCGGATACGGAAGTCATTATACCGCATGCAGTATAGCTTATACATTACTATACCCAAATAGGAATGGTTCCTAGTACATGCCAGCTGAAAGGAGGAAATGGTTACCCGATTAAGCGAACTGCTTCCAAGATAGATTGGTGGTATATCATTTTCACACACCCTCCACCGGTCTAGTTGCCAATTCTTATGCTTTTTGCATTGTGTTTCTTAATTGTTATGCAGCCCTCCTTTACGCTGTGTATGTGTGTCAGTTTTCTTTCTTTTCTTTCTTTTTTTTGCAGCATCCCAGTACAGTCTCCCATGGTGATCCCGGTGTTTATTTATATGCATTGCATCAAGTGGGACCTTTTTCCACAATACGATTCAGATCTTTTTTTGCTAGAGGTCAGAGACTAATTCCACTTTCAACTAGTTACGGGCCTAGCTTCTTTCCTCGAAACGATATTCCTGTGCGCCGCAACTCGACTCCATAAACAACTGCTCCGTCCGCTGTTTCAAATCATCGTTGCGGGGAACACAAAAACACCGGCGACACCTTCGTGCCGACTCTCTTCCTTCCTCGTCTCCAATTTTACGAGTCGAATACAGTCGATTATAATCTCTGGCTTCCTGCTTTGTATGGGAGATTGCACTTGCAGCGCGCGCCTGGGGTGTCTGGTAATGCATCACTGACCGACCCTTCTCTGCGAGCCTACGCCTATACGCGCCGCCTTAAAAAACCGGCCATGACAAACAGGAGGTCGACTACCTCTGTTACCGAAATGGTCTCTCAGGCCCATGTTCTCGATCGCCCTGTGCCCCCGCGAAATGCGACTTCCTCTGTGGTGTCGCGCCACAGCCGTCGACGCTCTGGCCACTCTCATCACGGCGGTACCACTCGACAATCGCAGAATGATTTTCCCATTTTCACGCATACGGGCGATGTCGAAATTGTTATACGCGCGGGAGGACAGGAGAAACGATATTTGTTACATCGGTTGATATTAGCGCAGTGTTCGGGATTCTTTGCGGCTAGCACTAGCGAGGAGTGGTCAAGGCAGCCTGTATCAGCTGTATCAGGGCCGCCAAAGCCAGATGGCAGTGCCATGTCGAGGATGACTGAGGATGATACACTGTCTACTGGATCGACACTTGCGCAATCGGATGTTGGAGGGATGTCTCGTCCGATCGAAAAGAGAAGGTTGAGGTTTGAGCTGGATTGGCAAAATAAAGCAGAAGACGAGGAGCCAATTCTAGTCCAGAAGGTTGGTGCTCTCACCATGGAAAAGCAAGCATGCCTAACATTTGTCAGCCACCAAGCTTTTCTTCAGCCTTTGCGAATGCGGTTCAACCCCCTCCGGCAGTGACCAAACCATCAGGGTCACAAGCAGGTTTCTTCCGTTCAATGGCCAACTTGACAGGCATGCAATCAACGAACAATTTGCCTCATAATAACACATCAGACGAGCTTCCGCATCCGCTCATTCGCGACTACGATAACCTATTCCGTCTATTCTACAACCATTTCCCGATCCTAAACAGCGTCAATATCGCGACGGCCTACGCAGAATCCAAGTGTCTACTCGGCCTGGCCGACATGTACGACGCTCTACCAGTCACAGGTCCACGAGTTGACCATCACCTCCTGGGCTTCGGAACACGATTATTCAAGCAAATCGCCAAATACCCACCCAGCTACCTAAAACTAGGCTACATGGCGCGCAGCCGAGTCGTCTTTTCAGAAGCGCTTATCCACGTCGTCGGTCAATGGCCAGCCGCCCTATCCCACCTACGTAACGGCTCCTACCCCTCCGTCCCAGACTCCGTCCTTGATATCATTGAAGACAAAGTCGAAGACCTAGAAGACATGAAAGCCCGCGTCGACTCCAAACTTTTCCGCTTAACCCTCACCACCTCGCGCGGCGAACGCGTGAACCCCAACAACGCATACCTAGATTGGCTCGCCGTCTCTCTCTTCCGCCAATGGCTCGTCGAAAGCACAACTCCTCCACCAGCCCCAATCCTCAAGAACTCGCCAACCCCGCACCAAACTCACCATCGACACACAGAATCCTCCACATCATCATCCCACAGACCACCATCTGCGAGTCATTCTTCTGCTTCATCGCCGTCGCCAGCGAAGGTATACCGCCTTATTGGCTCCTCATCCTCACAAGCGTACTTGGCGCATGACGATCTCAAGCGCTTTCTCAAGGTCCACCCGACGCCGTCGTCGGACTCGCTTTATACGCGGGACGTGCTTAAGCGCTTCGAGCGCAAAATGGATGAGATTAAACGGCTTGCTAGGGAGATTGTCAAGCCATTGATGCGGAATTTCCTCGAGCTTGATCTTAAGGGCACTGCAAGTGGGACTGCGAGTGCTGAACAGGGGAGCAGAACTATGGAGTTGCCGTATTTGACTTGTACGAAGATTGAAGATGCGGATATTCCGTGGAGGTGACCTGGCCCTATTTCTTGGTTGTCGATACGCGAAATAAACCACGAAATATCTACAATACGATACGCTGTCCGTCTATTATATCGATGTCTCTCACTCTCTTTCTCTCATCATATTTGATGCTTAAATTCGATCTTTTCCGGCACACAGTCTTCTCGTTTGACTGCATATTATCACTCGTTATGGCCTAATCATTATTATCCTCATACTATCCAACCGACGACCGCAATGATGTCCTTATAAACGTGTCTATGAGTTATGACCCTCTGAGCGGACAAGGGAAACTATCATCTGATTCGATTTACCCTGTTTCAATTGATGTCCGTTCGCTTTTCTACTGTCACACTGATACCTAATTATTTGTGTTTTTATTGTTTGCGATGGCATGTGTCCTATCCATCTATATCCCGTTTTCTAGATCTGAGATGGAAGATGCATTGGATCACGTCTGAGTACTTTTATATCCTATATCAATCACATCGTGAATCCTATCTTATCGTACAAGCACGTCCCCTCATAAAACGATCCATTCATTGCCTCCCAATAACCTCCAATCCATTCATATACCCCCTCAAAACCTCTGGCACAACAACAACCCCCATCTTCTCATCCCACCCGTTTTCCAAAATCGCCGCTAGTACCCTGGGAATTGCCATCGCTGTCCCATTAACCGTATGGGGGAATCTAGACTCCTTCGCCGACCCACCGCGCACCCGCGTTCCCAGTCGTCTACTCTGGTAGTCCGTACAGATAGACGCGGAGGTGACCTCGCCCCAGGCGGGTTCGAGATCGGAGGTGTTGCGTAGGCGAGAGGGGAAGAGGGCTTCGATATCGCGTTTTCGAAAAGCGGAGGCGCCGAGGTCTCCAGTTGGCATTTCGAGGATGCGGCAAGGAAGGTTGAGGGAAGTGAGGATTTCAGTTTGGATGGTAAGAAGGTTGTTGAAGAGGATTGTTGAGGGGTGTTCGGTTTCGGGTTGAGTGGGGTTGTTGTTGTTGTCGGTCCAGCCGAATAATTCTACCTTGGTGAATTCGTGGACTCGGTAGAGACCTTTTGTGTCGACGCCCCGAGATCCTGCTTCAGCGCGGTAGCACCGGCTGGAGCCTACCAGTTTGAGGGGGAGCTGGGAAGCCTCGATGTCGCGGCCGGCGTACATGGCTGCGAGGGGGATCTCGGCTGTGCCAGTCAGTGAACGCGGGGGCCTCGAGTTTTTATCCTTCTCGCTCTGCTCAACAGTCCAGATCTGCTGCTCATTGTGTTGGTCGCGGGGCTGGAAGCCACATGCCTCTGCGATGTACGAGTAAACAAGCGAAGGAGGGGACACAATCTTCCATCCGTGACGGCGCGCGACGCCCAATGAGTACTGGACCAGTGCATGCTCGAGCAGCGCGCCTTCGTTTGTGAGGAAATACCATCCCCAGCCAGTCGTGGTGGCTGAGCTGGTGAAATCGATCAGGCCCAGGGAGGTGCCGATAGCGATGTGGGACCGGGAGGGATCTGGTGATGCACGGGTAGCCCATTTGGGGGGCGATTGAGGATCAAAATTGATATAGTCAATTAACTTAGGGTCATGTCCGACGGGAGTTTCGGAGGATGAGAGGTTGGGGAGGGCGAGAGCGAGACGCTGGATTTCCTCCGCGCAGCCCGCTTTCCGGGTGTTCAGCGCGTGTGATTCATCTTTTAATCGCTGCGCTTCAGATCGCAGAGCTGTTAAATCCTCCTGTCCCGTATTTTCCTGCTGCTCACGAGCCACCTTCGCAATCATCTTCTCTAGCTGCTTAATGCGGGACCGCGGAGCTTGAAGATCATGATCGAGTTGTCGACTCTCCTCGGACAATTGCCGAATCTGGAGTGGGTAATCGGAATGAGAGGCATAGTTTCGATCCAGACAGTTCTTCGAATAAATCTCTGCGTTCTGGCGGATGTGTTTGATGTCTGGTGTGGGTTTTGGTGCTGTCGCTGGTCGGATCACATCTGACGGGCGGCGGAGGGACGAGGTGAAATTGCGGCGGATGGAGGGGGTGAATCTGGTGAATCTGATGAATCTGCGAGTTACTCTGCAATTGAGGCAGACATATGGTGCCTTCGAGGCCATGGAGGAGGCCATTCAAGGAATGGGTGTTGGAGGGTGGTTTATTTTTGTATGGATTGAAGATCTGCGGCGTTGAAGTTTTGGATTCTGCCGCTTTCCCGATCAGGATACTTATCGTGTTCCGTATTTTTATTCAGGTTTGCCATTGTTAAAACATAGGTAAATGCATTGTCGTAACTCTTAGGACCATAAAAAAATACGGCGCTATCAGCCTGACCACTAAATTCCCAGCTTATGCTTCTTAACCCTCGCGCCAACGCCAGCAACAACCAAAACCGAAGTAGCCACAACCCCCCACAAAGGAATATGCAAAGCATTCAGATTGAACGTCGTCTGAGTAGCCGCTGTAACAGTCCCCAGCTCCAGGATCAGTAGCGCATACCCCGACGCACGATGATACTTATAGATCTTCTTTCCCGTATCAACACTCCCCAGCACCTGGACCGGCAAGAAGTACTGCACCACACCGACAGATGCCTGCAGAATGATAATGATATATGTAATCAAGCCCAGCACGCCATGGAGAGATGTAAAGCGCTCATGGTCGCCCTTGTTGATCTCGATAACGAGAAAAGCCATGATGAAGGTGAGCAAGCTGAGTCCTTGGATGGTGTAGTGGAAGCGGGCTCCGATGAGCTTCTGGCGTGCTGTGCTCGTTGGCTGGAGGATGAGGGTTCCTTGGACTTGGAGGAGGAGAGCTATGGTGTTAAGGAGCTGTATCGGGTTAGCTATGATTCATGAGATTGGGGTTGGATGAGGACCGTTGGTATACGCACCGGATGACCAGTAAAGAGCATCAGTGGCTGGGATAGGACGCCCGACCAGACGATGATCGTCAGCTGGGGATAATCAATTAATATCTCTTCATCTGTATATAGATCCGTGTATATCTGTAACAGGCGTAGCACTCACCACCCATATTCCAGCCTGCGCGATCGCGGCCGTGCCTATGGCAGCCAGTCAACATAAATTATTTATCAACATTTACGATATAATGGACTTACCAGTAAAAACATTATACGGCATAGCATTCTCCTCTCTCTGTGTCGCGGCACCTGGTCCGCCCAGCAAAGGCTGCTCGGCCTCGGCCTCGATAGTTCGAGGATGTTCCTGTGGAATTCCAGTAGCAGACGCCATTATCGAGTCAATTTATGTTTGAAATGATTACAGAGGAATGATGTTTACAAGAATTGCATTTGTATATAAACAGTGAGATGCTCAATTGCCAATCACAGTCAGCTGATTACAATGACGCAGCTGGAGGCGTCGATTGCTAATCAGCTGAACTAGTTAACCATTCTGCAATGCAACAATAAGCTAAACAAAAGTACAATAACAGAGCGAGATACCGAAAGAAAAAGCAAATGTAAACATGTAAATCAAGAATAACAGCAAAATCAGCTAGGGAAAAAACAGAAACAAAAACAGTCTATTCGATATGCTAACACAGCGACCTCAGGAAAAACAGCGGAAACAGAACAGTATCAGAGTATTAAACATGGGGAAAAAAGCAATAGCAAAGCAGAAACAGCAAAATATTTATCGATCTCTTACCACAGTAACAGCAGCTACTGGCCTCCGTTGCAGACACACGCAGCACTCAACTCGTGCTCGCGACAGAATCCAAACTGGTGACAGTCACGTCTAACGCACATGCGCTCCGGCAAGTGATCATTGACGCATTCCTCACCCTCACTCTCGCTCTCGTACTCGTCGTTATCACCATCCTCGCTTTCGCTGTAGAATTTCCAGACGTAAGCAGGGTCATAACCCTCGGGAAGTAGGTAATCATTTTCATCGAAATCATCGACATCGATACCTTGGTGGTTGGAGCTCGGGAAAGGGCTCTGTGCCTGCCCAGGGGGAGTAGGATAGGCAGTGGCTGTCCGTCGCTGTTGCTCTTGCTCTTGCGCCGTATCTTTCTGCTGGAGTTGCTCGAGTTGTTTGACGACCTCGTTATAACGCTCGACGAAGATTTTTAGTCCGGTAGAGCAGTGGTAGATGAAGCATTTCTGCTTGCGAATTGTTTCTATGAGGGCGTCTCTTTCGTTGATGAGAATGCAAGGATGGGCAACCATCTTGGTGCTTCTGCTCGTTGGCGTTGTCGTATACTAGAGGGTCCGAGTTTGGCAATGATGGAGAGGAAGGAATTGACGAGATGACTGTGATGCATATAAGATGCTCACAAGTGAGGTACGGCCCTTTTATAGCTTAGAAGCTGTCCTGAGCAGCCCATAGGATTTCCCAGTCTGAAGCTATCCCGTAGTCTGAAAGGGAACAACTTCATTGATGCCCCTGCAATGCCCTTGTCCATATCGCGACAAGATCATTGATATAATTGTTCAAACACACCATGTCTCATGAAGTATTAATGGAGTATCTTATGGTCCTTTCCACGACTTTAGGTGATATGAGGCTAAGTGTGAAACATGACCCCCAAAAAAGCCATGGTATATGAGAGCAATCCTTCAGGTTCGAGACACTAGCAATGCCGAAGAGAAACCACCCGAAGGCAAGACTTAAAAATCAAAGATTGAATAGTCATTTCATCCAGATAAGCCAATTAAAAAAGCAAAGGGTCAGGGCTTTTTCATCCATTCACTTCATCCCTTAGCGGCATTTACCATGCACAAATACTGCAAAGAGAAGCCCTAACCATTCTAGGTTTATTTAACGCACCAAAACAATCCTCTTTACTATCTAATCTTCCTTCAACCTCCCACTCCAAGACAAACATATTTGTAAGAATATTAATCGTCCTTCCTCCATCCATTGACCTAAGACATTGCCTTCTCTGATCTCACAATCACAATGTCCAGAGCCGAAATTGAGATTCAATCCATCCTTTCCGCTCTCAACTTTCTTTACCGGCGCTGCACCGATCCCTCCACCCGCATTACCCACAGACCCCACGGTGTGGATTGGATCTGCGTCGAGCGCTGCGTCTACCGTCTTCTCGTTTTGCGCGGAACCATCGCCATGGACGAGAAAGTTCCTGAGGATCCTTGGGACTTGTATCTGAACGAGTACGCGCCTACTGGTACGCGTCGTTCGATGTCTTTAGGTCAAAGCCAGGGTCAGGTTGTTCAGAGTCCGATCTCGATGCCTTCTACTACTTCTGCTTCCACTACAACCGCGTCTTCCGAAGACCTGGGTCGGGGTCGTCAGCCTGCGAATTGTGATGGAAAGCAGCGGCAGCAGTCACAGCACCGTATCCGTTTCCTCGATACTCCTAGCCCTGCTCGTGATAGAGTTCCTCGTCGCCTTCCGCTGAGCCCTGCCCCTAACGCGCGATTCCATTGAGTCATTATCGGTTACTCCAACACGCAACATTGGGTTAGCTTGGATTGGCTCTTGTGGTAACTTTATTTCTGGTAAGACTTATCTTGAACAGAAGACTTGGGCAATGCTTACTCTTTGCAATAGGACTGCATAGACGCCCGTTGGCATATCATAATGCTTGGATAGTGGTCGAGGACAAATGTGTGTTGGATATGGATATGGGTACGAATTTGTTATGGCTCCTGTTTCTCTCGATGTATCTATCTTGTCAAAAGTAAGAACAGCGTGACGTCTCGTGTAAACTCGTGGTAAAGGCAACTTGCATTGTGGCACTCTATATTATCTTCTTGTTCCATAATATAGCCTTATATACACCACAAACCTTATAATAATTATTTCAATCCCATTCTCATCGTCTCGAATGTACCAGAGTATTTCTCATATCTTGATTTTCCATTTCCTGGAATCTGAACCCGGGTTATCCTGACGGCGACAAACCTCGCCTGAAAGTCTTGATAGAAGATCTTGATAGAAGAACCCATCCAATTGTTTTGAATCGTCAGAACTTCAATAGCGAGAAACTTATCCAACTTGGTAACCATTTCCGACCTTCATTCCCTCCAAGCACGCCCCCTGAGCTACAACAGCAATGGTTGCATGTGAGATTGAGCGCTTGGTGGAGAGATGGCCGACCTACGATGTATACTGGCATGAGGCATTTGCTTTGTACAACGCTACTGCTGTCTCCCAAATAACCTTAATACCGCCTTCTTTACTTCTGGCCGCATCAGAGCTCCTAGATACGGTCCACAAAGCGGTCAGCTGTTGTCGAGATTCTTCCACGATTCCCATCAAGAGTACCCGCTGTGGATCTATCTACGCTGCTAATGACTCGTTTGCCGCGTGCCCAAGGTACCCAGCTACGCACAGACTGCTCTCATTGACATGATGAGAGCGTTTGCCCTACTATCTCTGGGTGATGAGAGAAGTATTAATGGTGCCATCGGCGATGACTCGATCGATTGCGCAGACATCACTGATTGTCCATGCTGTCGCGCTCCCCCCAAGATCTGGTGGATCTGGATAGAAATCGACGAGTACACATATCTATAATCGCCCATTAGCCGGTGATGAAACGGACGACGTCCCTGCGCAAGATGTAGGTCGATTACGCTATTCTGAAGATATGAACGTTGCATATCCACACAATTCTAGCCAGTCATGTCAATCCCACACATCCTCTGGCAACGAGTATCGTTAGGGTCTGACTGTACTCAATGTGATGCTTGTCCAAAAGGAACATGAGACTGAGACAAATATGGGTCGTCGGTGCGAAGTGGGAAGGTTTTTCTCAAGAAGTATACTAAGCAAGCTTACAGTCGAAGACAGTCGTTCTCGATTAAGCGTGGCTCACTCGTTGGAACTATTCGGAACTTGCTGCACCCTCTTGACAAATACCCCAGGACAACAATGAGACAACAAGAAGGCAAAAGAAGCAATGATACCTTCCAGCCACACCGCTTATTTCTCCGTGGTTCCGTCCAGATCCTCAACCCAACTCCTAAAACAGCTTACATTCCTGAAACAAGACTTCTTCAGAGGTTGGGCTTGCACAACACAAAATGTACAGCATGTAAGGCGGTTGTCTATTTCTGGCACTGTTCTAGAATATGATAGCATGACAATAACAGCGTGGACATGCGTACACCGTCGTACAGAGCACATAATCTGGGTTAATTAGTTTCTCGGGAAAATGCAGAATAACGTGCATATTTGATCTCTTCCGCTCTGGGTTTCTGCCAGGCGGTACACTGGGTGGCAAGCATTGCAGATCGTTTATGGTACGGAAGCTAGGTTATAGGAGAGAGTGGGGGGCTCAATGCATGGCATGCATGTATATGTACAAGTACCCAGCGTTTGTAGGTCTGTCAGTGTCAGCATCAGTATGATATTGAATTGGCATTCATGATGCTGATGCTGATCGCATAAGATGTGCTCTAAATGGCTTTTGGAGATCGTAAGTAGACATACCTGAAAATCACTCTAATCGCCAATGTGCCATGTAGCAGTCCAAGAAGACGACACCGCTGCGACACAAAACAACGGTTACATGCAGCCGGCCAGGCAATCATCCATACAGACACGCGCTCTGTTCTCCCGTCATTCCGTTTCTATCCATTTCTGCCGCTGTTCTATTCCAGGATCGTCAGGAGATCCCCCAAACTTCCCCGTAATCTGGCGTGGCAATCTGACAATCAACGCATCTAACAAAAAGGGAAGTTGAAGAATGCAACTACAGATGGATGAATGACACACGGCCGCGGCATCTTCAAGACACTTCCGGGTTACACTGAAGTTCGTTTCTTTGTAGATCGGCTTGTTTCTTCTTTGTTTTGCTGTTTATTTCTCCAGATCGGCGCAAATCAGGTCTCAGTGCGCGATTGAACTCCGATAGATCCTTCTTTCCCCCCTTGTTCCATGTGGCCAGCCAATTGTTTGTTATATGCAAACGGACCCCAGCATGTATGCAGCCCATCGAGAGCAAACATTACCGGCAGCTTGTCCCCATGTATTGTTTGTAAGAAGGAATTCGCATTATAGAACCATAGAAACTTCCAAAACATGATCCGGTTCTAGTAAAACCGTTGCCAATAAATTTCTTCTACACCGACTCGCCACCAGTTATACGGTCAAAAGGGGGGTGTCGTGGCTCGTGGCCATCCGTCCAGACAGGTTCTATCCGGTTCGGTTGCGCGGTGATATTCGGGTGGTTTCACAATTTGTCCCAATGGGGAACAACGGAAGTTGCTCATACTGGGACCTTCGCAGGGCAGCCAATGCAACCAGACTGACAGTGGGAGAAATTTTTTTTTCCCAAAGGAGTTTCGTTTTCTGTTTTTTGATCATCTGTTGTTTTGCCGTTCAGCTGCATCATTTCGGGTTGAAGTGCAGTGGTGCAGTCGGTGACAGCCCTGGTATCACCTTGGCGCCTGTCACCAAAGAACAATGAAAGATCATTGAACATCGCCAAGACTGGGGTTTATATATATATGGAGTTGGCGACAGACCTTCATTGTTGTGGATCAAAGCAACTATTCCTCTTCTCCAGCTTCAGACACCTCTTTGTCGGAAGACATATCTCTCTCCTTAGTATCAGTCCTCTCCAATTCCAACTTCTCTTAACATTCTGGAGAACACGGTTGTCCTCAATCCTCCTTTGCCCTCCTCCGACCAAGCAAGCAGATCGTCAAGCTCCCCGTCCCCTGGAAATAAACACAGAAAGACTGCCACTATTGCAAGATTGCAACTGAAAATGCCGTCCTTGCATATCTACGAGAATGCGTCTTTCCCCGAAGCACAAGGTCTCATCTACGACGAATCCGAAATGGCGCTCTTCCGCGCAAAGCTCTCCTACCAATCAACCATTGACGCCCGCATGGCATCGAAAGACCCCAACCTGGCAGCAATCGCGGAGACCCAGGCCCGTATCCTCAAGCGCTGGGAAATGCTGAAACACATAGACAAGGAGGCGACGGACAATGGGACGCTAAATCCGACAATAAAGGGAGAACTGAAACAACTCCCTTGGAGATATAAGGAGCTGGAGAAGAAAGCAACGGAGACCGGGGCTTGAAGACGGAGACTTGTATACTAGGAGTCAGATCATTCTTTTTTCTCATCATTTCCGGCGTTCGAGGATTCAGGAACCTGCGAAGCATACCATCATGGCACATGGAGTTTAGACATAATACCAATTGCTTTTTTTTCTTTGTTTCACTTGCCTTTCCCTCTTCAAAATTGTATTCTCTCCTGATTCTATCTCCTAGCTCTGAACGAAAGGGCCCCTGCATCGTCACAGGCCACAGTAGAACACAGGAATCGACTCCCGAATCCCCCTTGGTAGAACGTCACACATGTCAACGAGTGCTGTAACAGTAACACGTACGACACGTACACCATGTGTACCGTCCAACCGTCACATAATAGCAGAGAATCTTCCAATGCCCCAGATCGGCACCGGGGAGGCTTTGTGGCACTCTACAAAAAACGACCAATGCCAGCCTCCAGCCCCCCGAATGGAAAGAAAAGAGCCGACGGAGAACACGATAGATGACGAGATGACTCCAGCAAGTGAGTTCTTTTGTCGAGGACTGGTTGACAATAAGCACGTGGTTTTCTAGGAGGTTCTCTTTTTCATGGAGATTCGTGGCAGGTGTTTCAGTGCGCAACCATCCGGAGGGTTGCGATTGTGGATCGGAGAGTTCCAGTGTTGGGGCAGTTTGTACACCATGTTGTCAGAGCTGTGACCATTATGGGGTTATTTAAACGGATATTTCAATAAAATATCTAGAACTAGACAGAATGGCCATGATGAAGAAGAAGACAAGAAATGCACAGAAGAAGGAGGAGAAGGAAGAATGTATTTCTCGATCACATCGAGTAATACGGCCCTATCTACCATTTCCGTTATCTTATCGATGAAATCAACCCCGCCTTGGACGAGCTAGTTGCCATGTTCGGAGTATATAAACAGTCCATATCCCAACTCCTCTTCCTCCTGATAATCAAAATCTATCTTATCCTATTACTACCATTCCTTGACTAAGATTACTACTTCTCATCTCTCTCAACCAACATGGAAGCCAACGCATTCCCCCCCTCCGCCGCCGAACCCACCGCCGCAGCCACAGATTTCATCCCCTCTACCGAAATCGACACCACCTTCGCCCACAGCACCAACCTTGCCTCCGCAGCCCTAAACACCAAGATCCTCTCCCGCTCAGACGACTACTTCGCCTCCGCCACAAACCTCCTCACCCCGACACCCCCCATCAACCGCCCCGGCGTCTTCATCCACACAGGCGCCTGGTATGACGGCTGGGAGACAAGACGCCACAACTCAGAACCCTATGACTGGGTCGTGATTAAGCTTGGTGTGGCCAGCGCGGTGATTAAGGGTATCGAGGTGGATACGGGGTTCTTTGTGGGGAACTTTGGCGAGAAGGCCGAGGTGCAGGCGACGAATGCCGAAGGCGGGGTAGATGATGAGGAGATCGCCAAGGCTGGATATCGCAAGTGGGAGACAATTTTGCCGGCGAAGGAATGTGGGCCTTCGCAGAGACGGGCGTGGTGGGTTGATGGGCAGTTTAGTTCGAAGCCCTACACGCATGTGCGGTTGTTGATGTATCCTGATGGCGGGTTTGGGCGGTTGAGGTTGTATGGACATGCTATTCCGCCTGCGTTGCCGGCGCAAGTCACCGCGAGCACGGACCGCGCGGTGTTGCCGGTTGAGGAGCTTTCGTCGGCGTTGGTGGGTGGGTTGGCGCTGGGTGCGTCGGATCAGCATTTCACGCCGTGCTCGAACCTGTTGCTTCCTGGTCGTGGGGAGAATATGGGTGATGGGTGGGAGACGGCTCGTTCGCGGGGTCCTGGACATGTCGATTGGGCGATTATCAAGCTTGGTTTACCGGGGTCTGTGGCCAGGATTGTGGTGGATACTAAGGATTTCCGGGGAAATTTCCCGCGGACGGTGAGGGTGCATGGGTTAGTGGGGAGGAATGATAAGGAGGGGCGAATTCCTGCGCATGATGACCCGGAGTGGGTTGAGTTGCTTAAGGGGGACAGGGCTTGTAAGGCGGATATGGAGCATGTGTTTGAGGGTGATGACCTTGCTGCCGAAGGCGAGGATATTCGGGTCTTCTCTCATGTCAAGTTAACTCTCGTGCCGGATGGAGGTGTGAAGCGACTGCGCATCCTGGGTAGAAGAGGAGCCATTGCTTAAACAAGCATCTTAGACTAGTTATGCATGTACATATCGGAGCATTTCAAGATACAGACCCAATTCTATATCCTAAAAAGCATCTATGCACGTTGTATTTATTGCCACAAGCAAACTCCAATCCATATCCAGACCGTCTTTTAAAAAAAACATAATGAAACAGCAGCAGGTATCTAAAGTATTAGAAGAAAGAGAAAGAATTTCCATCATCCTTTCAAAAGAAAGAATAAAAAAACAACCGCATCATGATTCATATCCATCGTCATTATTCATTGGAAAGAAAAAGGAAGAAACAATTAAAACATCAATAATAAATATCACGCTCTCGAATGAAGGGGATATAGAACTGTAGAAAGACAAGAATAGAAAAACTGACTCCGAACTCCAACGAGACCCCAATATCTATGAGACGTACTTCTCGTTCCCGTCTGGTTTTCTGGTCTGCAATATCGAAACGTAAAAAAATAAGTAAAAGTCTAAGCAGAAGAAAGGATCAACCCGATTCTGACGGCGGCTTCTCCAACTGTTTCTCCTCATCCGGCGAAAGAACAACATTCTCCGAGCCCAATGACGTAAAACTATTTGGACTCGGCACTCCAACATCCGACGAAGAACCAGTAACAGCAGCACTAACACTCGCCCGATTCTTGTCGCGAATCGCCAGTCTTGTCTTCGTATAGGTCGGCACAGGAGCGAGGTACTTATCCAACATATCGGAGAGGATACTCGAGCGCACGGGTTTGGGAAGGTAATTGTTCATGCCAGCCTCGATGCACTTCTCGCGATCGCCCTCGATGGCGGACGCCGTCATAGCAATGACAAGGACTTCGTTGACGTTGGGGTCTGAGTCGCGGCGGATCTCACGGGTTGCGTTGTATCCGTCGAGAGTTGGCATTTGTACGTCCATTAGGACGACATGGAAGGGGTTTCCTTCCTGAGAGCATGAGCGCAGGGCTTCGACTGCTTGCCGGCCATCGCTGTAGGCTTCGCATTGGAGGTTGAGGCCGACAACGAATTTGACGGCGATCTTTTGGTTGATAGGATTGTCTTCCGCGATGCAGACGCGGATCTGCTCGCGCGGAACCATGGAGAGATCGCGGGCGATCGGCTTCGCAGGCGTCTTGATCTCGACTTGGTTGTGATTCTGGGAATAGGTGGCTTTGGCAAAGGTTTCCTTGGGCGCCTTATTGAAGGACAGGTGGAACGTCACTGTTGTGCCGCGGCCAGACGCTGAATCAAGCCATATCGCACCTCCCAGAACATCCTCAATGATAGCTTTACAGATACTAAGTCCTAGTCCGCTACCCCCATAGGATCTTGCGGTTGAGCTGTCGGCCTGCGAGAACGGTCTGAAAAGTCGCGATTTCTGCTCCTCAGGAATTCCAATTCCAGTATCCGTCACGGAACACTCGAGACGCACACGGCCCTTACCCTCGCGGGAAACTTTAGCCCTTACAGCCACGGATCCCTTTGGCGTGAACTTGTAGCTATTACTAAGCAAGTTCATGAAGATCTGATGTAGTCGGACCGGATCACCAAGAACAACAAGGTCCGGCGGAACTTTTTCCAGGTCTTCAATCGTCTCCAAGCCTCTGTCCCGATGCGTGTACCGCAGCGCACGAACAACCTCCGAAATAGTCTCCTTGATATTCAACGGAACCGTAGAGATTTTCATTTTGCCCGCCTCCAACTTCGAGAAATCCAGTATGTCATTAATAAGCGTCAGCAACGTATCAGCGCAAACACGGATTGACTCGACATATTCATCCTGCTCTTTATCCAAATGAGTACCTTTAAGCAACTCCGAAAGACCAATGACTCCGTTCATCGGCGTTCGTAGATCGTGCGAAATATTTGCCAGGAAGATGGACTTGGCTCTGGCCGCATCTTCCTTCAGTTTCACATTATGGTTGGCTTCTGCTTCAGCAGCCTTGGCTTTCTGCTCTGCTTCGCGGGCCTGTGCGAGGGCGCGCTTTTGCGCCTCGACCATCGACGCGTTGGTTGCGCTGACCTTGCGGACTTCCCGGAAGAGCAACGCATTAGACAACGAGATACCAATCTGGTTGCAAAGCAGATGAAGGACCATCACGTTTCGTTGCGTGAAGGAGTTTGGTTTCCCTTCGATATGGATGACACCAAGAAGATGCTCTGCTTGCAGAATGGGCAGCGCGATCACGGATCGACCAAATGGGAATCGGACCTGGTAGGCCTCGCTGACATTGGAGAAGCGTTCATCCTCGAGGACGTTGTGGACGAGAACTCTCTCCTTAGTACGCATCACGTAGTGCGAAATTTGCTGGGCCATCTTGTCGTCGACTTCGGAAAATGGGAGGCCATCAACAAAGGACTTTTGTCCCTTTTCCAAATCACCTGCGGCTGCAACGGCGAAACCATTGTCGTCGAAATCTGTAGCAATGACTGCATAATCCGACCCGTTACATGATTCAAGCACAATCTCGATCATCTTGGTGAAGAGCTTATCGATCTGGAGCTCCGACGACATAACTTGACTGGATTCGAGAATGCTCGACAGATCGATGATGTCGATTCCAAAAGCAGAGATACTGTCAAGTGACCGCTCCCCTGTTGTAACTTCATTCTGCTCGATCCAACGATGCTTCCTATCATCCTCCATATTTCGGGTCATCACCATATGATCCTGCCCAACCGCTGTATGGTCAATTTCGAGCGAGTCAACAGTTTGGCATCCGACATCGATGCTTCTCGACGAAGTAGCCGTCTTGAGCAGCCACTCATGTTTCTCAGAAAGCTGTGCTGCTTTGCCTGCTGCGCTGATAGCAGCCCATGCTGCGATAGCGTCTTGCATCACGGAACGTGCGGCTCTCTTGGCACCG